TTATTAATATCTTCCGCATCAGAAACTACTAGAACATTTGTATGTCTCTCTTTGTAGTATAATAATCCAGAAATCAATGAAAATTTCCCTTCGTAAAAAGGTTCCTTCCAAGATTTTTCCAAAGTACTTTCTAATGATGTATCTCTATGTTCCGAGTTCAGTATCTTTAATAGTGTAACTGTGTTTGCGTTTTTTGAATAGCTTTCTTCTATTTTCAAAAAGAACTCATCAGATAGTTCGCAGAGGCTGATCCCCATTATAGGTACATCTTGGTCTATATCCTCTGCTTCCCAAGCTGGGTTATTCTTGTCATTAGGCATAGCCATCCTGCTTAGTGCATCCGCGTTGCTGTGTAAAATACCAGGTCGGTGTGTAATAGTCATATATGACTTATACTCTTGTATTGCCATTTGCCAGCGAAGCATATGTCTTGTTGGTGTTTTTGTATTCAACAGTGATTTAATTGCTTGGCAGTCTGTAATAACTTCGAAATAAATTCCGTCAAGATAGTAGTGTAGTTTATTTAATGCCCAAACTAGCGCTAAACATTCTAGTTGGGGTGCTCCATATTTTTTCTCGCTTTCTTTCAGTTGTCGTGAAATAAAGCAAACTGGGCCATTCACTAGTTTGTTTCTGACAATCTGTTTCTGATGTAACGCTGCTCCTAGCCCTAAAAAACTCGCGTCTACATATACGATAAATGGTTTGTTAAAGTCCGGCTGAAGTAAACATGGTGCTGTAGTGAGAAGTTTCTTCACTTCGTCCCATGCCAAAGCTCTTTCTTTAGTGATTGAAAATTCTACTTTTTTCTTAAGTAAGTAGTATAGCGGAGAGGTTACTTTCGCATAACTTTCTAGGTACATTCTATAGTAACTAGCAAAACCCAGAAAGCTTTGTATATCTTTAACGGTTTTTGGTAGAGGTCTGTGTATTACTGCGGCTACTTTATTCTGATCAATAGCCAACGTAAGACCTGACACAGTGTGCCCAAGAGCTTTTACCTCATGGAAGCCAAACTTACATTTGTCCAGAGAGACTGTTGCTCCTAATCTATCAAGCTTAAACAGTATCTTTGCCAATGTTTTTGTATGTTCTTCCCATGATTCATGAAATACAATGATATCATCTATATACACTATGACATGTCCTTCACGGAGTTCTTTGTAAAATTCCGTATCCATCATTTTCTAAAAAAATGCTGGCGCATTTTTGATGCCAAAGGGCATACGTTGGTATTCAAATATACCCAAGTGTGATATAATTCGTAAAAACTTCTTACTATCTTCTGATACTAGGTTTTGGTGAAAGCCTTTCATAAGGTCCATTGTAGTTATGTATACGGATTTACCTAGATTCGTGATTACTTGTTCAATCCTTGGCATAGGATATCTATCAGGTATTGTATACGCATTAAGAGCTCTGAAGTCTCCGCAGACTCTGGATTTCCCCCCGTGCCATGCTACCACACAGGGTGTTGTGATTTCCACATCTTTGTTCTGTAGGACTTTCCGTAGAATACCTAACCTGAGAAGTTCATTGGTATGGATTTCAAGTTCTGTGCGATTTCTTGGGCTTGCGGGGTACGCAGCTTTTCTGAGGATTGGCGGGTATGGTTTATCAACCGTAAGCTGGATTTCCACTTCGTACTTTGTTATTTTACCAATTGCATACTTTCCTAACCCAAAACTGTTATAGTATTTTTCAACAAGTCTCTGTATATCCTGTGTTTGCGCGAGATTCAATTTTTCTCCTGTAATGATGCGTTTCTTCGTTTCTGTCGTAAGAAAAGTTTTGTCTTCTTGATCAAGTGATGATACATCCAGTGTTCTCTTCGCTTGTTGCAATGCAAATTTCTTTCGCTTATTTTCATTACCAATCGTGAAATATTTCTCCCTGGTGTGTATAATATCGATGCCATAAAGTGATAAAAAGTCGTCTCCAAGAATGAAGTACTGTGGGGTCGCGTTCTCCATTATGACAAATTCTGGACTGATTCTGATGGATCCTTCTGTGTGAGGGAAGATCAAGGGAACTTCTATTACCCCTATCGCTTTAAGTACTTCCCCACACCCACGGAAGGTAGTTCTACTTTTTGGTAACATTCGATGTTTCCAATCTGGGATAATTTTGTCCAGAAATTGTTCTCCTACTGCTGAGCAAGAAGCTCCGCTGTCCAATAAACAGCTGACTTCCTTACCGTCTACTATTACAGTGGTCAGGCTGTGTTGTCCAGTCATATGAGCTCTTCCTACAGCGGGTCTAGACTTCATTTGCCTAGCGTCGCTGACTTGTTTACTATTGAGTCCTTGATGCCACTGTTGTGGTATATCTGTAAGTGCTTGCAGATGTGATATATCCATTTCTTCTGTATACGCTTCGATAGCTCTTATAGTTGATTGTGCTATTTCTCGGCCCAATATCCGTGATTCGTGGATAGGAGTGAACATGGTCTCTAAATCTTTAAAACGTAAAGTTATCTGATCTTCGTATGATATGCTCATTCCGTAAGCGTTCATCATGTCTGCCCCCAAAATAATTTCTATTATGGTAGCATCCTTGATAATCACAAAATCAATCATAAGGGTACAAGGCTGAGTATGATGTAGAAATGTGATGGGAAGAGTTATCTCTCCGATCGCCGTGAGACTACCTGACGCGCTCAAGTACCTCCTGTTTTGTTGGGCACGCATATCTTTCTGCCATGTGCGCCATACTTTATCCAAGATACGGGGAGTAATAAGGGAACTGCAGGCACCTGTATCAATCAAAATGTTCAATTTCCAGCTATTACATGTAGTGATCATGAAAGGACTTCCAAGATGTCTGTTCGTCTCTTTTTTGTTTAGGAATACAGGAACTAAAGAAATTGTCTCTTCTAGGCATGATATATCCATTACTTCAAATGATCCGTCTTGCACAGCTCTGTACTCTCCGTCATCATAGAAGGAGTCATGGTCATCGCCAAAGATAAGCTCAATTTCTTCCCCTGTTAGGGATTCTTCTTCTGGGGAATCTATTTCTACCGCGTTAATACCTTTACTTTTTCTTCGGCAGGATCTATAATCATGTCCTGACTCTGTGCTGCCACAGGTATCGCACTTCCCAGGTACTCGAGCAATTGGAGGTTTGGATGCAGCTGTCTTGGCGGGTAAGTTACTACCACTTGTCGCTTGTGTCTTCCAGTCTTGATTGGGTCTGTTTGGTGGCCTGTTACGCCCTATTGAAGTTCTCCTAACTACCTCTTCGAAAGTGGTTGAGAAATGAACAAAATCATTCTCACCTCCTAGTCTACTTCGGACTGCGTGATCTAAATCTCCTGGGCACTGCTCTAGGATCTTATCACTTGTGTCTTGTATCGGTATATTCGCGTGAGCGGCTTCTAACCCTCTTTTTTATGCGTGACCAACCATTTCACTGGGTCAGTGTTCACCCTGGGATTAAAGTGGTCTTTATCAAATAGGTTCTGCATGTTACGTTTCCAGTTCCTGGATCCGAACTTAACAATTATCGCAGCTCTCCACTCGTCCCAGGTAGATAATCCTTCCTTTCTTTTTTCTAGGAACCAGACTTGGGCCAGTCCTTTAAGTGCCAAACCCATTCGTGATGTGATCAGAGCGTCCGGAACGTGCATTGTTTCTTTTACATAGTCTACCCATTCTATGAACTCCATGTGGTTATACTCGCCTTCGCCGCTGAGGGTAGGCCAGTCTTTACTGTTTGGTACGTCTTTCTTCAAGAGGTTAAACAAGGTAAGATCTGGGCCTGTAGACTCTTCTCTTGCTGGGTTCCTTTGGGCTAGATCTCGAATATTTTGCCTATTCTGCTCAGCTGGTGCGTTTCTCACAGTTTCATCAGGTGTCAGAAACGTGTCGTGAGGTGTAGGTGTAGTATTTGCTCTTCTAACGTCTGGTAAGGTAATATGTTGGACATCTTGCATATGAGGTGGAACGTCATGAAGACGTGTCTCAGCTACTTCTTCCTCTAATTGTAGCCCCGTTCCTTGGTTTTTTAGTTGGTGTAGGGTAAGATCAGATAGTAGTTTTATTACTTCCTCATTATGGGAGCGCATGAGTGCTAACTCTCCATTCTGATGTGCAACTGCTGTTTGAAGTTGTCTTACTATACCTTGCATGCTAGAAAGTTGGTCAGAGGTCTTTTTCGCATATGTATCATGTTCATTCTCTGATTGTTTTATATCATGGATGGTATCGGCACGATTTATTTTTTCAATTGCTGCAATGATAGCGTTGGTCTGATTTTTCAGGTTTTCGTTTTCATGAATAAGCAGCTGGTCTCTCATACCGTTCATACCAATCTTTATTGTTTCAAGAGCGTTACTTGCCCATCTACCAAGATCTTTTTGACACTCTGTCATGTCATCATTGGTTTTCTTGACTGCGAAGCTTACTTTGTTCAGAGCGCTTACTTGGTCGTTAATATTCTTGACTAACGATTTCAGAGTTTTGTCAACCATATCAAGTCTTTTGTTCGCGTCACGATCTAAAACGAATGACTTGGTATTCTGTATTTCATCATATAATTTATCAAATTGTAAGAACAAAGGATCTAAATACAATTTAAGATGATGAAATACAGGGTTCATGAGCTCTCTATCCAGAGGTAGTATAGTCTGGTCTAATTCCTCACTGCTTTCCCCGCTTCTCTGATCATGTGAATTGCTAACTCCCCTTTGGATAGACCTTGTAGGTTCTGAGACTGGTTTCTTCTCGGGTAAGGTGCTGAGTTGGAGGTTTTGTTGCCTTTCTTTCGTTTCTCGAACGTGTTCCAATCCCACAGAGCTGGATTCCAGTTGTTGGTTCGGTCCATAAGGTACTTGAAGCCCATAAGTTTGGAGAGCTGTCGATGGTAAGCTTTCCCTTTCTGGGTCGCGTTCTTGAATGTCTTCGCGTCTTTCTGATTCTTCGCTTTCTCCCAAACCTCGTAGTTGGCTTGATGCATCAGAAGTAAGTCTGTTTCTTCGAGCGTCAAGGCCCGTCCGTGGTCCGTCTGGAGGCGGTGGTCGAGACGCTCTGTCTCCTACTGGTATCGCTGGGATGCTGGCTGAGTCGATCAACATTGCCGAGTGCATCTGCTGCATCTGCAAGGCTGGATGCTCTCGAGGAGTTGCTTCTAGTAGTAGGAGCCATAGTAAGTACCGTGTTTTCTTCTTTTTTTTTTTTTAAAAAAAAAAAATCGGTTATTGTGACTTACTGGGTTGAGATTGGTGTTGCAGGATAGTACTAGTTCTACCGAACGAGGATTGAAAAGCTAGCTCCGAGACTCCTACTGGCTCTTTATGCTTAAAATGTAAGTGCTTCAACGGATCTGCTGTAGCAAGTTTAAGTGGCGGGGGTTTAACGAATTTGCTGCTTTTCGCTGCTGATTCTGGGGCTGTAGCTGGAATTGGTATGTCTTCAGGTCTATGATCTTTGGCCAATTGGTCGGTCACTACAGGTGATGGATTGGGTTGTCAGTGTTTCTTTTTCTAAAAAAAAAAAAAAACTTTTATCAATCGATTTAGTGCTCGGTCACGAAAACTACGTACTCTCTGCCTCCTTGTAATCGATCAAATCTTCGCCACTTGGATTGTAAGGTTCTACCGAACTAACTGCTTCGATATTCACTAAATGATAGTCGCCGTTTTTGGTCAGTATCAAGTGGTGGTTCTATTATGGAGAACTTTGGCTTACTTTCGAGTCGCTTGATTTGTTTACAATTTGATCTTGAATCCACAAGTCTGACGAAAGATGTTCGTAAAAAGTTGAAAATCGAAGAAACAGGTGGTTTCGATTCAAAGCTTGTATACCGAAGTACGGGTTATAAACGTCGTCTGAGAACGGGTTTTCTAGTTCGAATAGAAAGTAGGGTAGCTCTTCTAGAAGGCTAAGAGTTCGTTTTTCGAAGTCGAGTAAAGAAATCTTGAACGAGTTCTATGACCGTGTGTCGTAGCCGATAAAGTCAACCGATCTGGTGTGGAAAAGATGCTGGGTTCTTGTTTTTCTAAAAAAGAAAAACTTAATGTGATAAGGTGAGGCCCCCAAATGTCAGCTTGAGACTATAATCGAGTATAGACTAAGTGAAATGTTACTTACTAAATGTAGGCTTCTAGGAGATTTGATCTATCTTCCTAAAGCTTGGTTTTCGGTATCTTAGTAAAGTGATGAAAATCTATAGTTGGTTTCTATAGATGCCTGTGGTGCGGGATGTATACCGCTGCCAGGTACTGATCGAGGAGCTGAACACTCGAACGTCTTCCAAAGTAAGAAGGCTTTCAAAAAGCAATTCTTGTCTTTAGGCCGCACTTCAGTGCTCGTTGACTTATCGTAAAATCAAAAGGGGATGTTGATGAAAGACTTTAGTCGAATTGTCTACGCAAAACGATCTGTAACGCTTTCAGAGAGTAAGATTGAAGATAAAGGAAATAAAAGAAAAGAGTTTCGAATGAGACGAAAGATGATTTTGAAAGTAAGAGTTCTATTTTAAAATGAGAAGTCTAGCAAAGAAAAGTATCTTAAGTTTTTCGAAAAAAGGAAAATGATAGATTGGTGATCTAAAAATTGATTGTGTTAAAATTGAGATACTTCTTCTTTCTTTCTTGTTAATCAAAGCACTTTATGTACTCGTTTTTGATTGTACGTATTAAACTTTTTTGCAAAAAAAGTCCCTTCTCGTTTTGCTTGGTTTGGTTCGTAGATATGTAAACCCTTGACTAGGCCCTCTTATCTTTGTTCAGCTGGTCAGGGTTTTCATTCTTGTTAGACCCTATCTTAGACTGGTAGTCGCGACTATCTATTAGTTGTTAATACGTCATTCGAGGGTTTAACTTCCTTCAGGCTTCGCGGTAGTAAGATGATAATTAATCTGGTTACACTCTTGATACTAGAGTGAGAGAGTTGTAATGTGTAATTATTTTATTACTCGTGTTTTTTGTTTTTTATGTTATTTGTCAATGTTTGGGAGTTTTGCTCTGCAAAACTCCTCTTAGTTGACAGCGCTGCTGTTTACCGCTGCTCGAAAATCATATTGATGGGAGCGCGACGGCAAAAAGCGCCGCTGCGCTGCCGAAGCGCCGTAAGCGCCGAGAACACAGCCAAAAAAAATTAATTCAAGATTGTAAGTAGAGAAATAATGTATTAAAGTATGTAATAAAGTATCATATCACAGGTTTAAAATAATGTGAGGAAAAGAAAAAACAGGAAATATAAGACAATTAAGAAAAAAAGTGAAAAGGAGCCATAAAGAAACTAAAGTACTGAATCAGCTACGAGAAGATTGGGACTCATAGTGCACCTTCACATAGCCACTGTACTCGGACATCTTACACGCCTCCATTAGCTTCATAAACTCTGTGCCCAGAGAGACCCCCTCACGAAGCCAGATAAGAGTGGATACTGCCCTTTCGATCGTGATGGCAACTAGGCTTCCTCGACTTGAAGCACAAACATCAGCTGCAGCCGAAAATATCCTTTCGGGTGCAGCCGACGAACCAGAGCAAGCAAGATAGTCCCGTGCCATCGTGGCAACAATTGGGTATCGGTTGCAGTGAAGCTTTATAAGGCATGAAACATCAGCCTCGATAAAGGACAGCAAAGCAGATGAGATGAATAACATACTTTCCACCATTGCAGCGCAGAGTTAGGATCTCTCAAATCGTAATCCGGCGCCTTCATACGGTCACGACCACCTAGGTAGTCTCTAAGTTGATTATCATCACCCATCTCTTCTTCTTGCATATCATTATAAACTCCGAAGATGGAAGGCTCATCGTCTCCAGTGGTTTCTGATTGACTGTTCCCTTGAGTGTTTGACGGTTTATCTTTCTTCGAAAAGGCTGTTTGATACTTCTTGAAATGTTCATTAAAGAGAGCCTCTGCCCGGATCGAGATAGCTGAGTTTGGGCCAAAGAAAGTGTGGAAAAACTTTAGGCGAAATGCTGGATGAAGGAGGCAGGCCATGATCAAGGTGTCGCATTTCAGGGCTCCATCCAAGATCTGCTGCGTCTTCTCTAGCATTGCAGCGATCATCGGGTACATCGCATCGGTCGTATCAAGTTTGTCGGATCGTGCCTGCAGGGTTTTCTTAAGCTCAACGTACTCTGCAATAACCATGCAACCAGTCGGCTTATCCCCTTCCATCCGTTTGGTGGCATCAAGAAACGGCTGAAAGAGTCCAACAAGAACCATCAGATCTCTGGCAAAAACACATGAACCAAACTGGAATCGACTTACTTTAAGCTCAGCATTTAAGTTTCGTATTTGAGCCCATTGCTGAGGGGATACAGTCAACTTGTGAAAATACCCCCATGCTTTACCATTCTTGCGAGGTCTTCGGTTTTTGTTGTGAACTCGATCCAGGTCATCCTTGAGAAGTTGATCGATGACCAGTGAGATGTGTCAATATCTTGAAGATGTAATGAATTAAGAGAGATGCAAAAGCTTACATCACGAGCCATCCAAGCTTTATGACGGCTTATGTACTTTATGTTCCAACGAATCCCATAAGCAGCAATAAGGGATTCAACCTCGAGTCCTAAACTCTTCTTGACTCGATCGTACTCTTTTCGCCAGGCTGAGGAGCTAGTGATACGGCGAACGATGAAATCGACCTGTTGAAAAAGAAAGATAGGACATGTCAATATAACCAAGTCCGACTGTGCATAGAATAAAGTAAAAACGACCATACTTTGGTGAGAAGAGCATCAAGCTTGTTTGCTTCGCGCCGATGAGTTGGGTGAGCTTCATTTTCAAGAGATAGAAGTGGATCCTCTGCCTCTTTGGCATCAGCTGCATCCCACTCGTCTTCTTCAAACGCAGCTGCATCATGCTCAGTGTCGTCTTCTTCACGTTCAGCAAGTTCTTCGAGGTTAGGTTCCACTTCACAATCATCAACAAGTGGTGGTTGAGGTACATCAGGTACCTCAGAGACAGGTCCCTCGTCATTAAGGTCAGCTTCTTCATCTTCTTCTTCGATGGTGTCGGTTGATCGAACATCGGGGAAATGGCCGCGCATTGCCGACTTGGTTTTCCTAGGAGGTGGGGTTTTGAGATCAAGAGCTGCGAGTCCAGCGCCAACAATGAGTGCCATCTTGTGGCAAAAACAGTAGATGTGCATTGTGTAAGGATCCCAGGTGTAGTTGGAGAGGTCGGATGATTCGAGGAACTGTGAATGCATTTCCCTAGCCATGGTGTTATTGTTAGATTCGGAATCAGTGGTCTGGCAAAGGAGGTGGATAAAGCAATGGTGCGTTAGATGGGAATAAACTTTCTGGGATCACGTGAGTTGAGATAGATAAGAGAAAATACTTATCTTATTAACCAAACCACGCTTTACAAATACATTCACAATTGGCTCAGCAAGCCATTTCCCTTTATGTTGCCAAGCCACGAGCTTCAGGGTAAGATGTCGAGTTTTGAATTGCCAGTCATCGTTGATAAAAGTCACTGCAGCACCGATAAAACCGTGTCGATTACCTTTGGTTGTCCACACGTCTTGTTGGAGACAAAACTTGCTTGTCAAGTTCTATGGTATACAAAAGATTAGTACACAACACAAACACCAGAGAAATGTGTAAAAGAAAACCTTACCTTCAGCTCTTCAAAAACAACCTTCTTCATTGAAAGGTTCAACCTTTTAGCCTCTTCTGCCGCCCAACGCCGGCCATACAAGCGTGCATCAGGCCTTAAAAACTGCACCGCAGCTCGTAGCCACATGTCGTTCATTCGGGACCATGGAAGGGCTTGGCGGACGATCCATACACACATCATTTGATTGAAGGTTAGATTGTCAAACTTTACCTTTTGTCCTACGGTTACATATGATGATAAAGTGCCCGGGTTATTCACCTTGGCAATGGCTTCTTGATGTGCCAATTCTGCCAACGATGGAGGAACATTGAGACCAGATCGTCGAGCTTCATCTCGACCAGGACATCCAGTCTTCTGCCGACCAGGTGCTGGATTCCCATCTCGGTGACACTTCAGGTTGTTTGTCATGTTACTTCGGCTGACTCGAACAATGAAAGGCTTCTTTCTTCTTATCGGTCGAACAGTGAAGACACGGATAAGAGAGGGGGGGGAGGGTCTGATCCTGTAAAGGAAGAAAGGGAATTCACATATCAATGATTGGATATGTATAGACATGTGGTAATGAAAAACAAACTACTCACGTCTGTTTTTCTGCGAAACGGTACATCATAGTAGTCGTTTAAATCATTGTTCTCTTGTTTAGACATTTTAGGTGCGCGTGGTTGGACTTTGTCGTTTTCAATGTCAGAGTCAGCACGTAGAGTTTCTTTGTCGACAAAAGTAGAACCGGTTCCTGTGCCTGCAGTCTGTCCAAGAAAGTATGAAGCAGTTGATTCATCAACAACTTCATAATTGAAATGAGAGATTTGGACTGAAATGACTTACTTCTTTGGATTTAGTGGTTTTCTGTTTATTAGCCGGCTTCTTCTTTTGCTTTTTCTTTGCAGGTTCAACACGTTCGACTTCACCCTCTTCTGAGTCCGATTTGTCCAAAACCTCGATGGGTGCTGGACGTTTCGTATTGGAAGGAGTGCATTCGGTTGGAATCGACAGGCGGCGTCTGCCATCTGGGCTGGGTGGAATCATTCCGGGGTTAGAGGGTGGCTGCCGAATACGATGAGGATGGCTAGAAGAGGGAGTCGTAGGATTTTGTGATTGATTTTGGGAGGAAAAAGCAAGAGTTGATTGAAGGGGCATGATGAGAAGTGGGGTAGATGAATTTGAAGGATCAGGGAAATAGATCAAGATTATAAATTGTAAATATGAGTGGATTCGACTGAGGAAATGTGGGAGTTGACAAAGTGATATCCTGTTTGAAGTTCGGATGGCTTCCTTCAAAAGTTGAGCATGGTCTTGGAGCAAGGGGTGGGTTGAAGTGGCGTGATTGAGGTGAGATGGTGTCATTGAGTCTAGGTTGTTTGAGATCGAGCAACCTCGAGCTCTTCTGGCTTGCTTTGGTGTTGATTGATGGACGTTTTAGGATTAACCGATCGAGTTTGTGCTAAGTAAGGGGGTCTTGAAGGGTCTTGAATGAATATATAACCAATTTGGGACTAGTGGGTGGACAGATTGGGGTGCCCTTGACCCCCCTGACGCACAAAACTAGGTTCCAGGCGCTGCAGCCGCTGCAACCGCTGTGTAATGACCGCAGCACCTGGGGCGCAGCGGAAAAAAAAGTCCTTCAAAATGAATTCAAAAAGCGCTGCTGGAAATGCGCTGCACATATTTCGAAATCAGAAGCGCGGCTGGCAGGCAACCCGCAGCGCTGCCGCACAGCGCTGCTTGGTAAAGCAGCGCTTCAGCTTTTCACTGCGCTGCTGGTCCAGTGTTGCTCATAAGGGGAAACACAGTCACTTGGATTGGTACCCTGAAACCTGGTTCCTTGGATTAGTTATTCTTGCTAGTTACAAACATGACTGCTTGATTGGATGAAACACAGAGTGACAGGGGCAACCTCTTCACCCTGTGATCTCAATCTTTTTGCATTCAACAACAGAACAAGGGTACTTTGAGCAACCTGAACAGGAATTCCCTACTGCTTACTATCCTTTAATGACACCTATTTGTGCATTTGTACCTGCTGTTATCAATGCTAGCTCAATTCCTAGCACGCTTTGTCAGACATTGTTGATACATGAATATATCAACAACTGGGACTTTTCTCCAAAAGTACTTCATGGTCATGTTCTTCTTGTCCAATTATCATGATACCAATGTAGAACATTGTTGCCAAATGGCCAAGGCTGGCCTTGGTATAAAGGTGACTTGTTCATTTGTGAAGAATATAATGAATCTGACCATGTCTTGTGACAAGGGCCAAGCAGGCTGGAAGAATATAATTTTAGATGAGGTCAGTTGGGGTTCCAATCTTAATGTCAGTCTACATCATCCTATGTCATACTACAGTACAGGGTTACCATAATGTGATACAGACCAGTACCAAGGATCTAGCTCTGAGCTCTGGATGATACAACTCTGGAGCCTGCAGTATTTTATACTCTGTTATAGAAGCACCCAGTTGTGTTGTAAATTCAAAGCTTGTTCCCTTAGCTATTAATCCCACTAGCAAAGAACACCACATGAGGTTCTACAATGACCTGAACAAAAGAAATATGATAATCAAGTTACAAATGTATCACTTTACTCAATATTCTTGTTGAAGAATCAAGTAAGTTGTGAGGTGGAGTTGTGTGATGATATGAATTTGGTTCTTCTTCCAGAGTGGGTAGAAGAGGGGTTTTATATACTCCAATAACTAGGCGTCAACTTGTGGTTGTCACTTTGGTTTGCTTTCCTTTGGGTTAGGTTTTGAATTTACTATTTGGGTTGTACTCATTCTCATTGCTTAAGAGCATCCACCACAGAATTTTCATAAATTTGAAAAGTCTGACTTTTGAATAATAAGGGTTATTTTGGCTTTCAACTCTTGTTGTCAACAACAGACTATTAATTTTTGTACTTTGATTTTCTGTACAAGCATACTTCAAACTTCCTTGAAGCAACTCAAGCAGCAAGATCATCACTTCCAGAACACACTTGTTTTGTTCAGTGTGATTGATATGCTGTAAAAAGGTCTTTGTTGAGTGCAACTGATTGCACAATGACAGAATCTTGGTCTATAATAACAATTGATGTTTTTATGGCCATATGAGGTCTTCTACAATTCATTTCCATGAGATCAAACAATTTGAAAGGTGTTGGAGGGGGACTAGAGCTGGATAGAGGTGATGTGGCAGAGGAATTCACAAAAAGTTGTCACAACCAGTGTTGGCATCTGATTTTTTGACTTTTCAAATTTTTGGATCTGGCCTTCAAATTTGAAGGTCAGGTTCAAAAATTTAAAAAGTCAAAAATCAGAATCTTCAAATTTGGAAAGTCCTTGGTGGGTGCTCTGAGGGACTCTTGATACTGATCAAGTCATTTCTTAAATATATTTACACGTGTTTTTGTTAGTCTGTGGTTCTGTACACAAGGCTCAGGGCTGACAGTCCTCATTGAAAATCACAAGAAGATTGATGGCAGCAACTATATTCATATCAAGTGAATCTTGGGCATAACAAAGCCATCATGAAGAATCAAGTTCTTCAAAAAGAATGAAGTTCTCAAATCAATTGATCTTGGGAGGATGTGGCCTTGCTGTGCAAAGATGATTGGTACTCTTTAAATAAGCCAGATCTGTAAACTTGGTTAGCCACTTGAGTTGCAAATCCTTGTGACTATTTACATTGAACTGTCCATGTTCTTATCAAATCAATGCCTCTTTGCAGTTCTGTGCAGTGTTGTATTGAGATCACTGGTTCAGATTCACAGCATGCATCATCAAACAGCTTTCTAGAACCAAGTGTCTGGACAGGATCCACTTGGTCTTTGATATACTTTGGTGTCCAATCCCTGGCTGTGCAATCAATACATCAGTTGAACATTACAATCTGAATGTTTCTGGGGCAATTTACTACTCAAACTCAACTTCAGACACCCTTGTAATCAAGAAGCCACAATGTACTCTGGAGAGAGAATGATACTGGCTGGAATATTTGTGCTGATCAGGACAAGCTAATTACATGACTATCAACAGGCTGATGCTCTTCTCTTTGACATAGTACATAGGGGTTACAATCAAAGTTGTTGGATGTTGTAGAGCTGACAGAATGACTACTTGATTTGTTGCAAGAATGTCTGGATATTGTTGTGCGGCTGAATTATGGATTGACGAGTCAAGGATCAAAGATTCATGGCTTCCATAGACTATACGGGTCTTGGTCATAATTCCAGTCTTTGGGTCTGGGTAGAAGGAGTTGCCCAGCACTGATGGTCATGAGAGGGAGAGTATGTTGAGGTCCAAGGGAGATAATGATGTTCAAAGCGGCACTGATTGAGTCAATTGCCTGATTGAGTTGATGATCAGAGCTACAATGGGAAAATCGATTTCAAAAGCTTTGTAGAAGAATTGATTGAAAGGACACAAGTTACATTTCTCTCCGCATTCATGATCAATGGAATGCGCTCCATACACCGCGTACGGGCTCTTCGTTGGTCTCGGACTTCACTGTTACCCTTCCAAGATGTTTCAGTTTCTCACCAGAAGAGTTCAATAGAAGTTGAACCTATAATTGCGCCCGATGTCAAGTAAAATGTTAATAATACTCCTTGGCTGACATATGTGGAACCAAAAGTCATGAGAAGGTAGAGAATGTCTGACTTTGTTGTGTATCTGAGATGGATCCAACCGATCAAGGGGGATAGTTTTTGTTCGATTGTTGTTTACTGATAATTTTTGAACGTGCATATCGACCATTGCGATGAAAAGTTGAGAAGCAATTGGGGCAAGGCGCATAGTCAGCTTCTGACCTTCAAATGATGGCAGGTGTTCATTAAGGTGTGACGATCACAAACAATAAAATCCTTTGGCGATTCCAGCTCCGCCGGCTCTGCGTACAACGACTTCGACACTTGGGTTTTCACTCGCAATTTGGAATAAGTATGCACTCGTAAGGTAAGTTCGGAGGCCGGCCTGATTCGCTCGCTGTTCGTTATACTCGAATACTAGTTTCCGAAGGGGAAGGATAAATTGAGACGGATCGGCCTTGGTTGGAGTCGTGATGAGCTGACGCCGCAGCAAACGAGGAATGATGTGAGGTGCAGGCATTGTTTTCAAAATATGTGGCTGTTGACGATCAACGGTGGAATCACGCTTGAAGAGAAAATCTGGTCTAAGTGGGACGTAATGAATAATTGTACCTTAAGCCAGTTTAATCTTGAAACAAAACCATCATTTCTGAAGGAAACTCAAGGGTTAGGTTTCGTTAAGTCGCTGAAGGATTTTAAAGTCTGCAAGCCTGAAGCAAGAAACAGCAAGAATCACTATTCCACTGGACTTGATTTCAGAACCATGAACTCAAGTGGCAGTGTTAATCCTCTATTTTTCTTTTCCTTTTTATATCGCCAGACAGCTCGCATAGCTCCCTATAGGCATTGGTCTTCCAATTAAGCCGACCTTCTGGTTCATACTCATTCTAAGTTTTAATTCCATGTCTGGCAAGAAAACAATAAGCTCAGTAAAAGATCCAAGAATTCTGAGTATAACGAGGGCGTCAAGTGTGCAAAATTCCGACGGCAGGTTACATCAATTTTTTATGACTACATGATACAAATGGTAACACGATAGATTCCTTGTTGGTGAGCGTTTATCCAGAATATCCGTTTCCAATACTCATGACATGAAAGCGGAACTGAAAGCTTCAAATGCCTTTGTTGGTTTATAATTTTCGTCGTAGAGTAAAGCAGCACCCGTACCTAGCAAGTTCATCCAAAAGTAACACGATTCTCAGACCTTGAACTCTGAAGAAACTCTTTGAACAGAAAGATAACTAGCTTAGAGTGTAGACAAACCTGGAAAGAACGAAGGAATCCAAGAGTTTTGGTAAGAGACTCCCCAAAGAGTGATCCCAACACATCGAGCTATCGATCGACAAATCTTAACTACATTTGAATAATCTTGTGCTTGTTGATTTATATCTTCATTTGAAGATGGTAGTTTCATTCTGATATCTAATTCAGTGATAGCAACATCGAGGTCTTGGTGGATCATAAGGATAGTGAGGTGTTCAAAGATGTGACCAAGAACCGAATTTGTCAGAAAAGTTACCGAAAATTTAAACGATTCTTGATGCTTACCTAAGGCAGCAAACCGTTCGAGATTCTCTTGCATATCTGAAAAAGCCACAGAGAATTTTAAATCACAAGTTTATTTCAGTTGTTTCCTACAAAGTTAAAACATTGAAGTAGAGAGATTAGAATCAGATGATGATTACCTTTTGGTACTCCTCCAACCGTGAAATGTGATTGGAATCCGATCCCATCCAGTAAACCTTGTTCTTTCAATTCCTTAGCTAATTGATACAACCCATCTGATTTCTTGTTGATCGCCTCGATCGAATAATCATTAACTATTGTTTTTCCAAAGAAAAAGATAAAAGAACCAAGATTTCAAGAAGAATCAATGAAGAAATCAACCCTTAATCATGTTCAAAACTTACTATAAAGTTTAACCGTAGGATCTAGTTCACGAGCAGTTTTTAAGGCTATTCTTGGGAAGGTTTTATTTAATTTCTGGTACCAAAACGTGTTTTTAAATGATCCATCTTCTTCAATGATTTCATTACAAATATCTATAGCATACAATCGACCTTTGTAATGATGTAGTAAAGCCTTAAGATGATCTTGAATAGCTTTTATCAATTCTTCTGGATCAAGTTCTGGTAACCAACTTGGCACTTGTTGTTGCCTATTGAATGTTATGCATTTGAGATCAGATGAAGAAGACTGGTTTGAATGATCAGCTTACCAGATGATTGTATGACCTCGAGAACGTTTGTTGTGCTCAGAAGCATAATTCACAATCTCGTCCCTTTTTAAAAAAAAGATTGAATTAGTTCAAGGTAAAGTCCAAAGAAGATTCTAAGACCACTAACGCGTCCTCAAATGTGAAAACTCCTCTAACCTTTTCCGTCAATTCCCACTTCATAGCTACCATTCAAAAGAAACCACATCAAAGATCAATATCGAAAATCCTCATAAAGAAGTATTCAATTACCTACCATTCTCAGGTGTTAAAACTTCAAAACCTTCTTCAATGATCTTTCTATACTCTGAGTCAATCTTCAATAAGGTACTATTCACTGCCACTCCTTTGTATGGAATCGAAACACTGATTTCATCCCTTGACTTTAACTTTGAATGAGTTTGAGTCAAGTATGGTGTTGAAGTTGAACCATGAACGAATTTGGAATCGAAAGTAAAAGAAATGATAACCTGAAGTAAAATAAAATTCATCTTTGATTTGTAGAAAAAAAGTGATCTGTAAGGATTATAAGGAGGAAAGAATACCTTTCAGCTCGTATATTTGAGTTTGTAATTCTACTGATATATGAGATCCGTTGATTTGTATATGCTTCAGCTTGGGTAAGAAAAAGCTACAACGTTGTGAGATGAGATCGTAAGTTGCTGTCATGAGATGGTACCCATGGTACCTACGTGTGGAGTGTGAACTTCATTTTCTGAATTTATCAAAGAAGATCAGTGTTTGAATTTTTCAAGGTTTTTCCCAAACGAGTTGAAGCATACTATGAGAAGATCAACATGTGGATGTGTGTTTTTGATGAATGAAAAAACATTGTTCATCTTTGCAAGAAGTATGCAGTTCAATTTCAATCACAACCAACTAAAACAAGAGATTTGTGGGTTATCATGTTTTGCTCCGAGGTATGAACACATTTGTTCATGACCTACTCCTGCAAGAAAAATATTTGAGATATGTAGAATTCATTTGCATGAACAATTCACAAGAAATTTCACAAGAATCTTTCGAGCTCTGTATCGAATTGCACTACAAATCTAGCCAGATCCTCAAATGCGTGGATAGAACCTATGAAATGATCAAGTATTAAGACCTTTCCTTGAAGTTGCAAAAGAACCAAATGACCCAATCAAGTTCATCCTGAATCTGATCCACCAATCCCATCATCTTCCATCATATCTCAAGCTAGTTTCGTATTCATACCACCATCTCTTCATGGATCACACAAGCTTTGATAAAACCATCATCGAGGCACCTTCCTAGATTTCCCATCATGACTAAAACCTGCGCAACTTCGCTCACTCCAAAAAACCATGTTCCAAACAAGTCAAAAGAATCTGTGTAAAAGTTCGTGGTATGTACAGTGCTACGCGCCTTCTGACGTGTCACATCTGTGAACGAACCTGTTACATCCGTACGATTCCGAACTTACTTTTCACTGAAACCTAAACTCACGAACTCCCACTTTAACTTTTACACAACTTTTTTTCTCGACAGTTTCAAAACGCATCAAAAAAAAATAAAACCAGTCTTTAAAGTCGCCAAGAAACTTCATTCACACCTCATACCCCATATTTTAAATCAATCCATCAACCCCCAACCTCCAAAAAAAACCCCTGAAAAAACTTTATATATATATATACATTTTTGATTTGAATTTTTTTTAAGATGACAGACAGTAAAGGAAAAGTTTTACTAGCTTACTCTGGAGGATTAGATACGTCTTGTATCTTAGCTTGGTTAATCGAACAAGGTTATGAAGTTGTTGCTTTTAGTATGTCATTTTCTCATCCTCATCCTCACTTCTTTATACAAAATCAAATCTTCAAAAAAACCATTCTGATTTTCTTGATTTTCTTGGTTTTTTTTTTGTTTGATTGGTTAGTGGCTGATGTGGGACAAGAAGAAGATTTTGAAGCGGCTCGGTTAAAGGCTTTGAAAATTGGTGCTACTAAATTCGTTTTACAGGTATTTATCATTTATCATTTTATTTCTCTTTATAAATTATCTATATTCTTTAACTTTCAATTTCACTCAAGAAAAAAAGAAACAATCTAATTCTCATTCTAATTCTAATTCCAATTCCAATTCCAATTCCTGATTCCAATTCTGATTTTAATTTTACATTTACTGATTGTGATTGGGATTTTGATTGTAGGATTTAAAACGAGAATTTGTGACTGAACTAATCACACCAGCAATCCAAGCTAATTGTATCTACGAAGGAGTTTATTTACTTGGAACATCACTTGCTAGACCAGTAATCGCACGAGGCATGATCGAAGCAGCCACGACTGAAGAATGCGCGTAAGTCGAATCCACAAAAAAATCTCCCAATCTCTCTCTATACTGATCTGTGTGTGTGTGTTTCTAGTTTCGTTTCACATGGTTGTACAGGAAAAGGCAACGATCAAGTCAGATTCGAATTATCATTCTATGCCTTAAGTCCTTCAATCCAAGTGATCGCACCATGGCGTTTACCCGAGTTTTACAATCGGTTTGCAGGACGTAAAGATTTACTTGAATTTGCTGCTCAAAAGCACATACCAGTCTTTCAAACTTCTGCAAAACCTTGGTCAACGGATGAAAATCTACATCATATTTCTTATGAAGCTGGAATTCTTGAAGATCCTAATATCACACCTCCTCAAGATATGTGGAAACTTACTAAGTCTTTGATGGATGCTAGTCAACATGGCGTTCAGAGTGTTGATCTTAGTTTTAGGAATGGGATCACTTCTGAATTAGTGGTGTACAAAGCTACTTCGGATACTGAACAGAGTAGAAAGGAAGTTGTCAGTCGTCATACTGATCTGGTCGAGATCTTTGTTCAACTTAATTCATTGGCTAGATCACATGGAATTGGTCGAATCGATATAGTCGAGAACCGATTCATCGGCGTAAAGTCCCGAGGATGCTACGAAACGCCAGCAGGCACAATCTTACGTAAAGCTCATATGGACTTAGAAGGCTTAACCTTAGATGGAAAAGTAAGATCCTTAAGGGATGGATTTTTGACGACTGAATTGAGTAAGATTCTTTATAATGGATATTGGTTTAGTCCTGAAAGGGAATTCGTTCAATCTTGTTTACATGCTAGTCAGAAGAATGTCAATGGAATGGTTAGACTGTCACTTTATAAAGGTAATGTTGTGGTTGATGGTAGGGTTTCGGATGAAGGACTTTATGATGCTAGGGAAAGTAGTATGGATGAGATGGGTGGGTTTGAACCGACTGATACTAGTGGGTTTATTAAGATGTGAGTTTTGGTTTTTTTTGGGTTTGGGTTTTCTGGTTTAGGGATTGATTGGATGGGTTTGGTTTTAGTGAATCGATTCGATTACGTAAATGGGGAACTCAACGTGAATCAGAAGGTAAAGGGGTGACTGCTGGTAAGTTGAAGGTTTTTAAGAACACTTGATCATGGAACAGATCGATTCAAGCTGAACTTGAATTTTGTTTATAGATGATGTTTACTTTAAGCAATAGATTTCTGAGATTCTTTGTAGTCACTTTGTTTTGATTTGATTCATGATATCTGATTTTGACATTGATAGCCAAGATATCCAAAAGAGTTGTAGAGAGTGATTTTGAAAAAGAAAGAGTTGTGTTCCTAGTCCTAGAATGTAGATCTGAATTTAATATGTTCTTGATTTACAGTAGATCGTAATTACATAATAAGATATCACAGCTTTGAGAATGCTTGACAAGATGAGATTGGATATGATATGATCCAAAATGAAAATCAATTGAATTTCTTAATCCAAACATAAATGTGAGATTAATTTGATGAATCAAAGTAAAAGTTTGAGAAAGTTTGGATTCGATTTGGATTAGAATCGGTCAAGAACACTTCAACTTCAATTCAACTTCCAAATCATCAATCAATCTTACAATTATCACTATACATACACTGCTCAACATGGACTGGTCTAACTCTCAGTAAGTGATCTCTTCATATCAACTCAACTACATACAAACAATCAATCCATCAAACAATAAATCTTGGTATATCTATTGATTGATTGATTAATTTGACAGATTTGATGATCCCAACTCATTTGATGCTATTCAAAGATTCTTTGAAAACAATCCAGTAGGTTCGATTGGTGCTAAATTATTATCATCTTCTAATACTACTACTACTGCTACTTTACCAAATCATCATTCATCATCATCATCATCAGATAAAAATCACCAAAATCAAATGTCAAACCATCATCATCATCACCATAATCCTTCATCACCCGATTCGATTCCATCTCCCTGTTCTTCTCTAAACCAATCTACAAATCATCAAACCCAATCCAATCCAATCACAACATCACATCCTAAAAGGAAAACTTCACCAGCTTCAAGTTCTTCTTCTGCTTTAAAAGATCGAAAAGAACATAACTCTTCAAAGAAATCATCTACGGGAAACCTTTCGGATCCTTCGTCTAATGTTGAACATACTCATGAAATTGGATCTGAACCTTCTGATCATCATCATCATGAAATTAAAGGGGTTGGTAAGTTGAAACGAAAAGAACAGAATAGGTTAGTCTTCTTCGTTTTCTTTTTTTTTTGGTTTGATTACTTATTCGATTTGGTCGCGATTTAGAAACGCACAAAGAGCATTCCGAGAACGTAAAGAGAGAGTAAGTCAACTTGATTCAACAAATCAGTTTTTGCATGCAACCTGCTGATGGAAATGGATCTGGTATCTATTTAGAGGTTACAAGAATTACAAGACCAAGTAGATGAATTATTAGCCAAACAAGAACCCTTAACCACTGAAAACAAACATCTCAAAGAATTAGTCAACCGACTCCAAACCGAAAACCAATCATTAGGTGTTTACAAAGAAGTGTTTACATTCACGATAGCTAATGATTTACGACGATCTTCGATGCCGATTTCTACTTCCTTTGATCAACCTCAATCGATGACGTCTTCAAGTTTAGATCAATCAGGTCTTGAGAGTTCTTCTTCTTTAAAGAATGGATTCCATACTGGTCATCCACTTAAAGCTATGATGAACCGTGGTAATCAAGAAAACTTGAATCGATTAGGTTTATCACTTCCTACTTCAGGTGCTCCTGATCCTGTTCTTCAAAAACCTCCTCTTGCTCAACACACTCCTCGTAATAGTATCAGTGGCAATGGCACTACTCATGAAGGTTATACTCCTCCTCTCTCTTCTAGCTCTTCATTGGCTAGTTTCTTGAACACGAATCATACTCCTGTGGAAGCTTTTAATGAAGATCATCAAAGTTATGGGATGAATTCTTCTAATAAACTTTCAAAGCCTGTTGAGAAGTTCGAGTCATCTTTTCCGAGTTATACTACTTCATCTATACCAGCTGATCCTATGCTAGCTTATAACGTTCATCAATCAGATCTAGTTGGTCATCCAGAACCAATAGATCATTCAAGTATGAATCCGTTATCTACATTCACATCTAATGAATTGATTCCATCAACGTTGGATTTTAATGAGCTTCTTCCGTTAAATCAACCACGTCAAATCTCTGCATCTGAACCGGATCAAGCTTTTTGGAACTCTTACTTGAACTTTGAATCTTCTAATGATTCACTTGTTTCAACAGATGATGAAAAAATTAAACCGAATGCGTTCGAAACTTTTAATCATCAAGACACATCTTTCTTGGAAATGTCTTCTAAAGATCTTGGGGTATCTAGACTATCTAGTATGAAAGAAATACCGGATTTGTTTCAGCAATGGAGATCGACGGGTTCGGGTTCAGATTCGGCTGCTTTGGTACTTGGAACTGAAAATCTTCAGCATCATCAACAGTTTGGGCTTGGGCTTGGGAAACCTAATCCACTGATTCAGGTTGGGTTGAGTAAGTTTGTGGATCGAGGTGTCTTGTCTAATTTAGAATTAGATGGGTTGTGTGAGATGTTGGAAAGTAAGGCTACTTGTAAAGAAGTATGTCTTGATTTCCCTTTCCTTAAATTCATTACTGAAATCTAGTGACTGATTTTTTTGATTTTTTTGATTTGTGATTTTTGATTTGTTTTTTGGGGGGGTTTCTAGAAAAGGGAAATGATGAATGATGTGGTGGCTATTAGACCTGATTGGATTGAATTGATTGAAGATATTACCAGGAAGGCTAGGTCTAGGTGTACTGAAGGAGGTAAGGAGATCGGGTTGAAAGATGTGGGTTTGGAAGAAGAAGATCAATGCAAGATTGGAGAAGTGTGAGTGAGTGAGTGAGGGAGTGAGGGAGTGAGTGAGTGATGAGCGATGAGGAGGAGTGATGAGGATGAGGAGGAGGAGGAGGAGGAGAAGGTTTGGAGGATGAGGAGGAGGAGGAGGATTTAAGTTTGGATGGAAACAAGACTTGGGTGGGGTTTGGTTTTGAGAATTTGTTGTTGATTGGACTGTTGGTTTGGTTTGGATTGGTTTGTTCAGCTTTTTGTTGCAAAGTGATGTGATGATGATTCCTGATTCTGGTTGTGGTTTGGTTTCTTTTTGGATGCGTTTTTTCTCTTTGTAAACGTTGAGAGTTTTTTTTCGTTTTTATTTTTATGTTATCTGCAATGCTTTTTCTTTTTTCTTTTTTCTTCTTTTCTTTTCTTTTGTCTGTTTTGGTTTGGTTTGGTTTGTAAAATGAAATAAGAGTGAAGATTAGATGCAATTAAATATAAGATTTATAGATGTCCTTCTTCTTTTCTTCTCATCATGTAAATATCCTTGTAGCACGTCCATATGCACACACACAGAGAGGTTTGAAACAAATCTGAAAGTGTTTTGGTGGGATTTGGATTGAGATTGTTGTTGAGAACTTTTTGTGAATAGTGATTTATTCAAATCCGATTGTTAATCTTGCAGTTGATAAGTGGAAGATGTATCTGTTGTGGTACCTCTTTGATGGGTCTAAGGAAAGACTTGTGTGTGTGCATGTTAAGGATGTTTACATGGTGTTTTGAATTTGGTTATTTATTCAAAGCCTTTATGAAAACTTTTTAGATTGATTTTTTCTTTGTTTCTTATTTATGGTACCATGTGAGATTTGGAATTGATCAAGTTTGAAACTTGATTTCATTATGAGAAAAGGTATGCTGTCTTGTGCAAGTTTGTAACTTTTGTTAATCATAGAACTTGTTCATAGTTGGTTTCCTTTGAGCTACCAGTCTGATATACCAAGTGGGGGAAATCATATTTAGTATGTATGTGTATACATACCACACAATTTCAAAGATACACAAAGTCCCTTGCAACTCATCAGATATCTTCCTGGGTATCATTCTGGTCTTTCTGGGTTTCATCTTAGTGCTTTCACCATATCACAAGACCCATCCTTCACTTTCATTGAGGTTGCTCACCAATAATGTTGAATAAAACTGACTGGGTATGAGAAATCTTTGGAGATATAAACAGTGAAGTTTACTTATTAGTCATTGTTGTGATGAAAGATATGTTTTTTTCATGGTTTAGATGATTGAATAACAAAGAAAGGAGGCCAGCAGGGACAAGATGAAATTTGAGCTTGTATGGACATCTTTACAAAGGCAAAGTACAGCTCAAGGGAAATGATGTGAATGAGAGAAGTTGCAGAGAACTTGGACACCACAACTTTGCTTGCTTGGGTTTTGAACTTGATCATTCATGTGCTGTGAGTTTTTTTCCTTTTGTTAAATTCAGTCTTTCATATGAGATTTTTTTCTGCTAAAATTTTTAACAAAAAAGTTTAGACATACATATATGAATATAGAATGTTTTATGAGTGATTATTAGGTTAGTAGAGGTGATCAAAAGGATAGTAGAAGACTAAGTAAACTTCTACTAGACAGTGACAGTGACTTGTAGGGATTAATATCCATGAGTTTGATCAGGTAAAGAGGTGGGCATGAAAGTTTTGACTTAAATAAATAAGTCAAGATATCAGTTTGATGAACATTAAATGAAAGGGTTTATGCTTAAGGATGATTATTTTGGGTAAAAGATCAAATCAAAATTATGTGTTGATCATTGGTACTAATAACATGGTTTAGTACTCAGGGTTGATAATGGTTATTGGAATATCATATGTGTTTTGGTCTGGTCTTGGGGTCTTTGCTTATGTGAGGAAAGGATCTGGTCTTTGTGATCCTGAAGATCAGGTACCTATGTACAGTCCCCTCCAAGTGGTTTACGTAATCATTCAAGTTCTGCAGCGGCGGGCCGGGGCCTGTTGCAAACCCAATGATTACAAATCCTAGGCGTGGGGATGTGTACAGGTCCCTATGCCTAGGATCTGTAATCATTGTGTTTGACTGGTACTGCATTGTACCACATTCCTTTACACATCAATTTCAACTAAAGATTAATGGCTTCAGCTGATTTTCCTTTGGTTATGATTTGTTCAATTAGAAAATCATCAGGAGTGGATGTTCAAGGTGTTTTTATCTATGGAAAGATTGAATTCACCATGCCCTTGTGGTGTTTGCTGGTTGACAAGCGCACATGAGTTGCCTTTGTGCCTCAAAGGCAGTCTGTGTGCGCTCATTGTTGGGCAACTGCCACAAGGACATGGTGGTTTGCAATCAATTCATCATAAACATGTTTTTAAAGTGCATTTAGCTTGCTGCATAAAACACTATCTAAACATGTTAAAATAAAAAGGACTAGTCTACCTAGGAGAAGTCGGCCATCTAGTTGGAGCAAGGGAGTTCATTGTCATTTGATGTCGAGATATATTATTCTTTCCCATCATCTTTCAAAATAGTCACTCAAAGGAAATCCAGCTTTGTTCCAGTACCACTCAAGCAATTGAGTGATTACAAAAACTACTTGCAGGGGATTGTACATATGATGATTTTCAGATGAGGGGAAAAGGGAACTCTGCAAGTGATGTGTTCTACCAGACTTATTCAACAACACATCTGTGATATCTACTCAATAGTACACAGATGTTTCTTGTGTATAGTTTATGACAATAAGCTTTGATTTTTTTAACTTTCCATTCATCCTTTTTTGTGACTCTGTTTGAATTCAATTCTTAAGTACACCTTGGCTTTTGCATAGTCATTTTCTTAAGGTGTGCCCCAATTTGACTACATAAATGCTACAGATTGTTAGTATATTTGAGGTAAAACTTATGAAATTGATTTTAGGATGTTTAATCAGTTAGGTAAAGTGAGATGAGTTCATGAAAACCCCTAAGCACCACTTCATGAACCAATCAGATTCACAGGTTGTAGTAGAGATTCTGAACTCTTACCCTAAGACCTTTTCTAAAACATGGGTATTCCTTGCCAGCATCAACCAGTATGAACTTCTCAGTTATTATTTGAGTTCAAGATCTAAATTCTGGTCCAATGGTTTCTTTATTCAACAGAATTTACATCTTTAGATGGCCTCACTGGCTGCCATTGCTCGTTTTCTGCTGTTATTGATGGGTTTTTTGCTCCAATATATACTCAGGCTGTGCCCCAAATGAAAAACCCACACTCTACAATGTGATATCACAGGAATTCTTCCTGTGATAAAACCTAGATCTATTGTATGGAAATGTCAAAAATGATAGGGAATGTGTTCAAGGTTGGAAAAAAATGGGTCTTTGTATGGAAGAAAACAGGTGTTCAAATGGAAATACAGGTTTTTGGATGGCATAGATTTTAGTCTGAACTCTTGGCTATCAGACATGGGATAAAAGTTTATGAGAATTCAGAATTTCATTCTGGACTAAACTGATGATTAGCTCACTTTGTATGACCCATTGGATAGCCTTAATGTACCACCCTGATTATGCAATCACACTTGGCTTTCAAACTTATTTATATCTGGTGAGTCACACCAACTCTGTGTATGGTGTGCAGCAAATCTAAAGACAGTCTCAAGTTCCAGGTTGCACTGCAAGCACAAACCACCACCCACCCACCCTTTGGCTTTTGACTTGTCTGTCATGATTCTCAGGTGATGACTTGAGTAAGTGGGACTTATTTGAATTGCCCCTGGGTAACTGTGGGGCACAGGAAGCACAGCTACAAAACTTGTGATGGAAAGCCATACAATTTCTGTATACCTTTTCACAGCACAGAGCTTTAAAATTGGTGTAGTCGTCATAATGAGATATTTGCCTGTGCTTCTCCAGGTGGTTCATCTTTCAACAATTTCTTGTGCTGACTGGTAGCGCTGGTTTGGACACCAAGCCTTGGGGGACATGTCCCTCACATTTGTGTCATATGTACATTGATTAGTCACACATCCACAGTGACTTCCGCGACTGCGGATGTGTGACTGACATCAGTGCATGCCTCAGATATGTATTTACCTTTGCTCGCAACACCCCAGCAGTGAGAGTGCACGTCGTAGCCAGCGCTGGTTCAGGCATTGAAGCCTTTCTCCCAATGTGACACTCGCAACAAATCATGTTTCAAGATATTCTCAACTATGATAAATTGCGATGGATTCCCTGGAAAGAATTGTGATTGTATTAACAACAGTTCTCTACTTTGAAGACCCTTACATTTCTTGATTCTTCAAGTAAAAAGCTACCAAATGTTAGTGTACAACTTCGTTTTATGCATATTTCTAGCGCGCGTAAGCACATCTCTTTGTGCCTTGCTACGACACAATGAGTCAACTGGTCCAAAAGCTCATCGAGGAGAGTCTTATAGTATCTGGAGAGGTGTCAATATACCACTTGAAAGCTGCTCAGATTCTAACCCCACCAGCCCCAAAATTGGCTTCGATGGGGTATTTGTCAACTCGCCCGATTTTTCCTACTATGCAAACCCCATCACAGGTTTAACTCCCAGGAAAGATTCTCCGCATAGAAATAAACAACATCTAAGGGATTACAAAAATGTGTAAGTGTTTCTTATGGATTTGAAGGCATTCTAACCAGACTGTCACCAAAAAGGGAACTCGAGATATCATATATAACAGACGTCTTCACTTTTATATGGGCTACAGGAGGAGGATTGAAGCTCCTATTCAACAAATTTTGGACTCTCCAACGATTTCTTTTCAAGAAATTTTAGCAAAGAAGCAAAGCATCAAGCAGAATGAAGTTAGTCAAAACGAACAAGAGCGAGTTGCCGGAAAACGCAAACTTCTCGAAGAACAAAAGCACAAGTTCCAGGAAGTACTTGACATAAAAACCTATGGTAATAGATTTAAGGAGAGATCAAAAGATCTAAAAACATCTTGCGAGCCATCTCAAAAGATTGGATCCGAAGAAAAGGATGTATCAAGAAACAAAATAGAAAATCCTCCACTACGTGAGGTAACTGAACTAGTGCGACAGAAAAAAGATCCAGCACCTCATCAGTCTCCCGTGATTGAAGATTCAAGGAGCAGTGAAACATTAGCCGGAACAGTGAATCTTGGTGGAGATGGAAGGCTTACTCAAGGACAGGAAAAACTTCAGAAATCAAAGGATCTATCCAGAATCTACAACAGAATGAAACAGGAGGGTGATATGCCAGACGTCGAACCTCTACAAAGAAAACTGAAAAACGCTGAGGTCAAGAACAACGGTCAGGATGTTTTAGGGAATCCAAAAGTTGACGACATCATCCCGGGACCAAAAGAGACGATAGTAAAATCAACCCGTGAAAATACCATAGACACTTCGAAAGATGATTTGAGCATTCAAAAGGAAGCTATACCTGCTACGTCTAATTCAAATGATAAACTTGTCCAGGAACGAAAAATAAGATATGGGCAAGATGTGTCGAGAAACTCAATCAACCAGAATCCATTATTAACAAACAAAGTTCGCCCTCCACAATCACAATTTGAACGTGATGAAGAAAGAAGCAAAAATCTGACAAGAAAACCACCGATATGGCGGAAGAAAACAATGAGGACCAAAGTCCATGAAGGCTATTTGGATAGTTTTGGAAAGGAAATCACTAGGACTCCAACTAAAATCACAACTGGAGAGGGGCGCGAGACTAAAAACATTGAGGTGGCTTTACGCGAAGGATCACCACCGCCTGGTTCATCGGAAGAAGATGTCAATTTGAAACAACCAAAAACACTCCAAGAGAAAAAACAAGCAGTTGAATCATCTGGTGCGGATTTTAAGAAAACGGGAAAGAAGTTGATATCACAGGAGGATACCAAGATTAATGAGATGCGCGAAGAGGCCTCGACTTCACCCCCGTCTGTATCTATCATTAATCCAATGGGATCTGACATAGGGGACATTGATGAAGCATCTTCTGATTCATCTAGTGAAGATTTAAACAGTTTCAAAGACAAAGATACATTCCAAGATATCAGCGCACAAGATCAAGCTCAAGGGGTTGATGAATTTGATCAGAAAGGTTCAAGAATAATACATCCTTCAAAAAGAAAAGGTTTTATGGAAAACAAAGTCATCAGAAAACCTAAGAAAAGGAACAACATATCAAAACGTAAAAGTAAAGCAAGGTATCATAAACAAGATGAGTCACAGATCACAGTCAAAGACCAGATTGGTAACCTTGAGGAACACGATGGATTCCCAAAAGCATTAGTTTCTCAAGATTATGTGAAAGATATTTCCAAACTTGACAGGAATATTGTTTTGAAAGAAGTGATAAAGTTGCAAGATCCAACACCGCTGCTGACAATCAAGGTTTCAAGTCTTCAATTTGATTACCTCCAAAGAATGAACTTTGGTAGTGCCAATTGGAAGTCGCCTTCTACCAACTTACCGGTGCAACTCGATAATCCACTCGAAGCCTACAGACGCGTGGAATCTGTCCAACGTCAATTTAGTGCTATGAAATTCACACAGTTTTGGAAGGAAAAAGGAGAAACACTTTCACTTAACAACAGACGCATGGGAAAGATCTTAAAATTTGATGAACCATTTCCAGACTTCCAGAACGCAAAAGTGAATGAATTAGATGAACTTCACATTTTGATTGATGAGTCAAGTGAAGAAGAATGGAAGATTATGAAGGAGATTTCTTCATTTCAGTATCATAGAAGATATGCAACACTTTACATGATGGGACACGATGATACATACAAGGAGTCAAGTGTCCTTAGAAAAGCTCTAGCTAGAGACTGGATCAAAGAGGGATATATCATTCCTGTCTTGGGAACCATTGATGATATACTTGAATTGTCTCATGGGAAATGGGGATACTTTGGAAGGGAACAGATCCAAAAGAAAGTTTATGGCATGTTAGAGTTAATGGGCGGAATTGTCAACTTACAGGATGGTATGAGAATCAAAGTTTTCAGACATGATTGGAACGATGAACCCACAAGGTGTCTTTTGACAATGAAGGATGATGATACTTCAAAGCTTTTTGCAATCAGGTTAAAGTACTTGGCAGAGCTTGCTGATCAGATGAACATAGAGTTTCCAGAAACATACAAAATTGAACAAAATCATACAAAACAAATCAGTATTGGAGAGGCTTTGATAGCTCAGCATGTTGGATTAGATGTTGAATTATTGAGGAGGTTTAAAACTTGGTCTAATTTCAAAGAATCCAAAGAGAAAATGAAAGCACGTATCATTGGAATATGGGAAGATGTTCCAGAAGAATTTTTAACAAAAGGCCACATTTTCAAAGCATATTTTGAACATAGATTTGAAAAGGTTAGGGGTTTAGAGACTTGGATTCGTGGAACTGATAGAGTTGTTGTTTGGAAAAGCAATCTACCAAAGTGAATCAGATTTTGCATTAAAAATATGTTTCAAATCTAGGTTGTATTGAGGAGGGTTCAAGACTATCATGTAAAATAACTTTGATGTAAGCAATTTTCAGAAGCAATTGAAGAAGCAGGACTGATGTAAGGCACATTATATATATGTATTTGAGAGTTCATTAAGGGTACACAAACAGTAAGAACCCATATGAAAAATGTGTTCCAACTCATTTCAATTTTGGGTTTTTGTGGGGAAATCTTGAAATTCAAATGGGTTGGGACAGGTTTTTTGATTTGGCTTTTTAATGTTTGTCTACCCTTATCGATATTTTCCTTATTATGATAGTCTGAGCTGCCTATAAGGTAGCTTAAAAGGGTACAAGTTCAGTCAATCTGAATTATCCTAAGTCAATTGACAACAAACAAAGCCCATTTAGTGTTCAATTTGTTTACAGTAGAGACTGATGACATCTAGAGCATGTTTTTTGAAGCAGATCCTGATCAAAGTTTGTGTTTTTATACAAAATGAGGTATGTGAAATGCCAACCCACACATGTGATACTCTTACATGTACCTCTTAGCACAATTTCATTTTGTGGATGCAGTAAATTTTCCAAGGGGTCTCTCTGCGCCTAGGTGCACCTTTTGCTAAAAGATTTAGTTGGAGACAATTCTCAATGACAACAAAGGTGCCTTTCCCATATATGAGGTGAAGGGGGTGTCACATGTATTGTCAATGCAATACTGGTAGAGTGATGATGGTATCATTCCTTGCAGTGGAGATTCAGCTGCACATCAAAATCAAATAAACTATCACATGTCACCCCGGGCAAATCAAGGTCATGCAGTGCATACAGGTTGTGCGGTCCTGAATGCATGTCTGGACTCAGTCTTGGTGCACCTGTCAGGTATGCAGGACTTATCATCCTGTATGCACTGTGTATCAGTCATACCAATCACATTTATTTGAGTATGTACTGAAATGTACATGTTATACACAGCTATAAGCTGCTATAAGTTGCCCACACGGCCGGTATTGCACAGCTCTTGAAGGCCCCTCACACATGTCACTGGTATGACTGGCAGTGGTGCGCTACACAAATACATGTCATGTAGCTGTGCCATGACCCAGGGTGTGGGAATATATACTGTTTTCAACATGACCAAGTGACCTGTATTCACTCCATGACCCCAATTTGCCTGGGGTGTGTCCTCTTAGTTTTAATTGTAAGTTAACAGCATCATGGGATGGGGGTACTCAATCTTTGGTCAACTCAGAATCACCAATAAAGTCAAATTTGATGGCAAGCTCTACATTTTGAATTCAATTTTTGGAGAGGACCTCTCAAAGGTGTTGATTTGAGCCTGAGGTGAAATCTGTCCCTGAGCAATACCTTGAGCAATTTTTGTTGGCACTATCACATATTTCATATACAGCTGTTTCAAGAAAGGTTGACAACTTTTTTTGGAGAAAGTTGTCTCCGCAGCGGGTAAAACTAAAGACAAAACTTGATTACAGGTTTATTTTTTACTGTATTCTTCCAATTAGCGGAGAGACAAAATCAAGCAAGGGACAAAACCCGGGTTTTGCACATTGGCAAGATCTTCAAAAAAAATCAATCTTTGTTGAAACAGCTGTAAAAGGAATCTTTGCTAGGAATGCAGATGACATGATGTGAGAAATGTATTAAGCTGAGATGAATGATAAGGATCATTTTCCAAGAAATAAACAGAACTCTCAACAACTGCAATTTTGATGCTGTCAGAGATATTCCCACAATCACACTGATTTTTGTGTTGATGTCAAGGTCAGAGGCACAAATTGGGATGTGTATGCATATGCATATGGACAATGAGGTTCAAAATCTAGGAAGAGTTGAAATTGCCCAAGCTTCTATATCTGACTGACTAGGAATTGAGGGGTCCAGCCGCGGCATTGGCCATTGCAAAGCTTATGGCAGTTTCTCTGCAGCATACTGCTCTCATTGTAAGTTGAAATCATTTAGCGTTCTTTGCATCACATTAATTTTGAACATTCATGATACCATCACTTTTCTTCTTTAGCCCCACAGCATCCACTGTCATTGTGATGGTGGTACCAGTGCAGAAGTACAATCAGTCTCTCTGATGGAAAGTATCTCAGCAAACTTCTTGCAGGTTTCAAAGTCTTGAGGGAGGATTGCATTGGCTGCTTCCAAGTTTAAATATGTCTTTATCACAAGGGACAGATCTCTGGATAATCCACAGCAACTATCTTGACATTTCTAGCCTTCCCAATTGTCAATCTTGTAATGGATATCTAACCTGGCCTGGATGAGCCACCCAAACAGCATCTAACCACCACCTGGAATCTGGTGCAGATTGGCCAGGAATTGGAAGTACCCAGAAAACATAGAAGAGTAACAAGTCATGGCAAGTCCTGACCTCTAGGTCAAATTTCACATATTTTGGACATTTTGAGACTCGTATGCTCATACAACCACCCTTTTTTGTGAAAATTGAACTCATACCTGTCAGACCCCTACAACATTTTTTTCAAAAATTCATACCTCCCAGGTCATTGGGCTTTGGTAGGATTTGCCTGGGTCCTAATTTTCCACTTCTTCTTCTTCTTTCCTTTCACATATGTCCGCACTTCTTTGGAAGGAAATTTTACAATTTAAAAAAAAAGTTCATATCCATAGTGCTTCCCATACTTAACAAACAAAGCAGAGTTATGACACCACAGAATTGTGGATATCTTTCCCAGTGCCTATGAAGGACCAGACAATTTTGAGACATCTTTTTTACATGGTGAAGGACAAAGTTAGGGATCACAAAAGACCTGCACTACCCTCAGAGCAGAATCATCTTGGGTGATCAGTATCTCTTTTACATATATGTCTGATGTGTGCGTGACCGCGTCGGGCTTACTGACCGCGGCGCACGATTTTGTAGAAAGACACGTCAAAATGGTCATTTCCTATGTCCGCTGGAGCCTGGGCATGCCCAAACTCTGGAAAAAGACCATCATCTGAGAAGTAAACCGATCGCAGACGGTGCTATCGGGCGGATCAAACCACCCCGTAGCGTGTTTACGTTTCGGATTTTATTTCCAAATTGATCTAATCAAAAAACCTCCTGAGTCATCAAAGTCTCTCGCTGTCTCCAACTATCATCTCATCATGGCTGCTCCATCTACTACACCATACCCTCCCATACTTTATACCCTTCCGAAAGAGTCGGTTGCGAGCGCTCTGGGCGATTTTGTGATCAAGGCTCAAGCCTCAGCCATTGCCAAACGATCAAAGTTTACCCTGGCCGTCTCAGGTGGCTCATTAGCCCAGACGCTTGTAAGTGGCCTATCAGGTCGAGATGAAGTGCAGTGGGATAAATGGTATAATGCCTCCATTCTCATCACATCACTCTCATCTTGTCCCTTTCAGCGTAGCCTGATGTTCTTGAAACTCTCGTAGGGTGGTGTTCTTTGCAGATGAAAGAGCAGTTCCGTTAGACCATGAAGAATCGAACTACAGATTGGTCAACGAGGGCTTGTTTAGTAAAGTACCCATCCCGTCCGAGAATATACATCCCATCTCTGCCGACCTTATCCACGATCCAGAAGAGCTCAGTCACGATTACGAGAAACAATTAATGAATGAATTTGCCGGTACGATGCTCGATCACTTGTATTTTTGGATCTTGCATTACAAAACAGTCAATTGACATTTGATCCTCTTTTATTGCTTTCAATATATAGGCAAGAACGCAGTTGCTTTTCCTCGTTTCGATCTCATCCTACTTGGTACTGGTCCGGACGGACACACATGCTCCTTGTTTCCCTCTCACGCTCTTCTCAGTGAAGATTCAGCTTGGGTAGGCTGGTTAGATGACTCACCTAAACCACCTTCAACCCGGATCACCATCACCTATCCAGTTCTTAACCATGCTCACAAGGTCGCCTTTGTGGCAGTAGGAGAAGGCAAAAAGGAGGTCCTTCGTAAAGTCCTTGATCAACCTGACCTCGGTCTTCCAGCTTCAATGGTCAAGCCTCTCCCTCCCGGTCAAGTCTATTGGTTCGTCTTCCTCATCGTCGACTGGCCTTTCAAGCGTTCTGATCGAATATGCTGCTCTATGATTTATAGGTTTGTTGACGAAGCGGCTGCATCTGAGACGCAGTATGCAAAGAGCGAATTCAAGTTATAGATATCCGACTATCCATTCCGAACGGAGATAGCCTGTCTATATATATATCCTCATTTGTTGTGAATCTCAGATATTCTATCTTATGCTAGATCTTTATTCCATTTCTTTCACTTTGAACCACTTAAACTTTGTATCACATCGGCCAAAAATATTACAAGCATACCTTGGAATTCCGCTCGCATACAAGGATGTCACTAAACTAAATTGTGTGCGATCGGGTTTGATCACCTGCTCATTTGTACTGGCTTGTGTACTAGCTTTATATCAATAAGAATCCTGTTTTACTTCGTTCAGATGAACTTGATCTGTGCTGGTTGTGACGATGAGCGCTTGATCTTCACTCCTAACTACATAGCACCTGACCACCACCTATACCATGAATAGTTTTACCAGTGTTCCTACCTCGGGGTTCTTTAATCGGCAACTCAGGTATTTTGAGTTATTTTGACCAAAAATCCTCCACCCCTTGAACAACAAAAGCGCTGGCAATCGCCAGGGAGATGCGGTAGTAAACATCCAGGTGCAAAACGCTTCCGGACAGGATTGAACTGTCAACCTCTCGATTGCAAGCACCAGCGCTGCCCATTGGGGGTATGCCCAGGTGCTTGTAACAGTCGAACGCGCTAGCCAATTGCGCCACGGAAGCCGATAAACATCATTGCGGTTTGCCGTTTAGGTAGGGCAAACAATGTTTCCGCAGCGTTCTGAGATTGGTCAACGGTCATGAAAAGATCAAATTTTGAAGTGGAAACAAAAGTGAAGTATTCTGAAACTTCAAAACAAGCAATCCTAAAAAAAGGAACAGTATGGAAGTGTTCTTAGTGGAGTGATGGTTGACATCAATGCTCTCCGGAGATTTGACTCCACTCCCTTCTTGGCTGGTGCAATTGTAATTTTTTAGCTGTAGGTAACTTGTTGTTTACTGATTGGAATATTGGAAATTAGGTACTTCAAGTATGAATGTTTTTCATTGTTGGGTGCGGGTCATTGGTAGTAATTTGCCACTGGTAAAATGACATCCTCCTGTTTACCATTCAAATTACTTCCTTGTTTTCTAGATTTCCATATCATCAAATTTATCAAAAGCCACAATTCTAGATCACTACCCCTCATAGGAGCATACTGGGGCCCCAAACAAACATTACCTTAAAGGGCTTGTTGGAGAAGTACATGCGCATACTTAGTCTGGAGGACAAACTTCACTCTATAAGATGAAGAGGAAAACAAAGCAAGCTGGGAAGGAACTGTTGCAATGAACTAGAGCGCGTAATAAGAGGGACAGAAAGTGTATCTAGCATTTCATGACAATAGGTCTTCAGCACCAAGCTGTCAGTGTCACATGGCTTGGGATATGGCATAGGCTAGGCTTGCTACTTATGTCACACTGTGCCACATGTGCACATGGATTATTTAACCATTGTTGGAACCCATACACAGTTAGCAATTCCTGGACCATCACATTTACCAATCAAATTCTTTTGCTTGGCTTAAATTTCAGTCCCTACAAATCAGCACAACCTGCCGCCATGATGACATGAACCAATACAATGGAACACGGCAAAGTGAGATAATGATTTGTTTGGAAGCAAACCAATCAGCAACTGACATCTTGATTGATTCTTAATCTGATCAGCTTGATACATATGATGTATCCTTTTATAACATAGTGCCACCAGATTGGGTGTTGTAGCATCTTCGCAAAACCTTGGTTTTGCCAGATTTTTACAATGTTTTAGGACAGTAGGCATACACCTTCTTTCCTGGCAGCTCGGCTTGGTACAGCAACCCAATCAGGTCCTATTTCCAAGGTCCTGATGCAGATGCTCTAAGATAAGCTGGAAAGCACACATTGATGATAAGTAACTTAGAAAGATGTTACAATGTTCACAAGTTCTCATGATGTCAGAGTATGTGTTCCAGCAGATGCCATATCTTGAGTGGTACACGCACTGTTTTGGATGTAAATTCAGAAGATGGCGATCAACGCCTGTCGGGAAGATTAAGAATACGATTATGTAGTAACAGTTAACACGAAGCGAGTGATGTTTATCAACCAGTGATATCTCGGTGTGGTCCATGTTTTAGAGAACATATGACATCATCACAGCTACGGACAATGTCGAGGTCCTATGAAGCAAAGCTAGAGCGCCATATCTATTGAATTTAAGTCTAAAATCAAGTCACAAATCCAAATCAGTTTCGGCTCAGTGAACGGTCATTGGCTCTTCATGCTATTCACCTGGTGATATCCATCAGTAAGACTCCGCTTGATGTGACCGAACCATCTGCCGGAGCACTTTGTGCCCCTTGTTCGTTTCCCATCACGGTCGCATTCATCATTGGCATAGCACCACTCCCCATGGCCGTCTCGTTCATTGATGGTAGCGCGGGCAATCCAGCGCCAGACTCGTTTTCTGTACTTGATTCAGACGAGACAGGAGATGGCCCCGAGCTATAGGCAGATGCAGACGAAGATGCCGAATTGGATGTGATGTTCTTGGAGGTGCAAGCTGGAAATGATGTCAAAAACACCGTCAGTTGGAAGAAGCGTCCCTAATCAGAGATGGTCAGAATTCAATCACCCTGGTTCATTCCATTGGTTTGACAATCTGACGAGAATCCTAGCTGTCTTCTCAGAACTCCACCTTGACTGACAGCGCTGGTGAGGAGAAGACATGTCACAATATGGGAGACAAATGTTGAGCGCATGGTGTATGTTTTGGATAAATATCTAAGAGGAAGACCTAAAGGAAGTATAAGGGAAGTCAAAGTACTCGACGAAGACTTGAATGAACCTGATTATGTGCTGCTGAAACGCTTGCGTCGCTTACAAAACCTCAGCTGGCGGGCTTGAAGCACAACTCTCTGGAAATAATCTGTAACTCTCTGCCATCATGGAGTTGAGCAGGCCTCAATTCAGTCACCTATGGTCAATCATGAAATCCCAATAAGCATGTCTCTTTCGCACTTGTGATACGACCTTGAATCTCTAAATTCAATAATCAAGCGCAGAGTAACCAGTGATCATTGAACAAGATCAGATAATTTGTAGTTAGAATTTCCTTGCTTTCAGAAATCTTGATAAAACTTCAGGCCTACTGCCTTTGCCACCTTTTGTCCTAGAGAAACGATCAAATTTACAAAGCTCCCTTCTACGGTGTAGTGGAAGAAAAAGGTGGTGATTGGCGAGTAACACTTGTCTACGCCCATCCCCGTATGAGAAGTGAACACACCTCGTTGATCCATATCAGTGAGGCGACCATGGAAAAAACTTATAGCAAACACTGATCACAGAGACGCACATCGCCCTCGTACATCGAACTGTTTGGAGGTTTCACTTTCTGTCACCGAAAGAGCGTGAACTTACACCAGGCTCACCCGCTGTGTACCTCCCACTTGATTATTTACGATCTTATCCGTGGCGCTGGAAATTTATACACTTTATGTTGGCATGAACCCAAAAAATACCCCGAGTCTATGTAATGGCATAAAAAGCGCATAAAGCTCAAAGGAATCTATATTGAGATATCAGAGAGGAAGAGAAGAAGTTGGGCACATGGACCTTTTGTGCAGCCTGTAGGTTTACATGCAAAAGACGAAAGAGTGCCGCTCAAAAAGTCCATGTGAAGTGAATTGAGAAACATGAGTAAGAAGCTGACATGAGTCTTGTCAAAATTTCTTGTACTTCTTCTGGAAATGGGAATGATAAGCATTGGATGCGGAATTTTTGTCAAGAAATATACCCAGGTCAGCTGGATCAAGCCTCTTGGTAAGCACAGCAAGCTCGGAGCTTCGCCTTCATGATGATATGTATTCGTGGTGCAGGATCATCCGAGCTATCTTGCATTGATTGGTTTGTTGGGATTTTCCGAACGACGCTGGAATGTTGCCTGGGTATACATGTAGCTGATATACTGCAATGCTTGTGGAAACTTGAATCCAAAGAACATCATCTCAAACAAAGAAGCTCACTGATCACTTGGCCCGTATCAAAGAAGACTGAAAGAAGGTAAATGTTCTCACAACTAGCCACACAGATGGCATTATTTGACTCCAAAAGTGATTGAGGACGCCTTTTATGTAACACAGTAGAACTGCAGAGCTCCTGATCTCAAGGTCAGGTGATAACATATCATGTGAGGACTCCTCGGTACCTGTACCGGTGTGATGTAACAGCCTGTAATCTGGATTCTGTATTGGTCGAATTTGTATAAAACTGTACGCAGTGTCCACCCTTCAATCTATCGTCCTTGCGACTCGTTCTCACATTCATCCACTGACTTCAGCTCAAACAGTCTATCGACCTGCAGTAGTCTTTCACCATCAGAAATCCTCACCATCCATTCCTATCAAGCTTCACCTTTCTCTTCTCTTTCCCTCGCTTCATCACATCCAGTCAGCAAAAACATTCAGACCTCGACAACCGTCTCTTTCCTGTCCAATCAGAATGGCCTCTCGTAAAAAAGTTCTCCTCAAGGTCATCATCCTCGGTGACTCAGGTGTGGGAAAGACATCACTCATGAACCAATATGTCAACAAGCGGTTCTCGACTCAATATAAAGTCAGTAGAAAGCACTTATCTCATATCCTACAAATCTGTCCAGGAACGGCAATCGAAACTGACGAGACTTGAGCTGGGAATTGCAGGCAACCATCGGCGCTGATTTCCTGACCAAGGAGGTTTACATCGAGTCTGAGCCCTCTACTAGCCAACAAGTCACCTCCCAGCCTCAACATCAACCCAACCCAAACTCAGACCGAGTAGTGACGATGCAAGTTAGTATCGAAACCCATGCATAGCCTCTACCTCCACTACCCATTTGCCCCTAAAACTCACCGGGCTTGCATTATTTTAGCTCTGGGATACGGCCGGTCAGGAACGCTTTCAGTCACTCGGAGTTGCTTTCTATCGTGGGGCAGATTGCTGCGTGCTAGTGTACGATGTGAACAGCAGCAAGAGCTTTGAGACGCTTGACAGCTGGCGAGACGAGTTTTTAATACAGGTTAGATTGATTTTGCTCTCCTGACTGATCCGTGCGAGGAATGAGCTTGAGACCAAGTAAAGTGCGGGCTATCCAACTCATTATCTATTTGCGATAGGCCTCTCCCAGAGATCCGGACAACTTTCCGTTTGTGGTTTTAGGGAACAAGATTGATGTGGAGGAAGGGAAGAGGCAGGTAAGATGTAACTGACATCTTCAGTGGATCTGGTCTAGAAGAGGTTCTGCACATTTTGTCTTGATGCTGAAGTACCATCTTGCTTTTGCTTTTTTATCACCCAGGTTTCCCAGAAACGAGCAATGAGTTGGTGCCAGTCCAAAGGAAACATCCCTTACTTCGAGACCTCAGCCAAGGAATCTATCAACGTTGAACAGTCCTTCGTTGCTGCCTGCCGCAACGCGCTAAGCGTAGGGGACTCCATGGATGATGGGTACGTGATCCATCTTCTTTGAATTTCAACCTTGCTCAGACTTACACTTGTGAATTTCGCATAACTCAGTTTCTCAGATTATCCCGACCCAATCATGCTAAACTCAGAGGGACAACAAAGTTACGGATGTGGATGTTGAAAGGGGTCTCTGCTTTCGTCAATCTCGTGGCTTTACATCATTTCATTATTACCATCTTTCATGTAACACTACTTAATTGAGACTTTTTTCTTTCGAACACGAAACTGATAATATGAAACTAAACAAAAATACAACATCATCACCATCAAGATCATTGATTTATGTTTTGTTTGACAAATCTTATTGAACCTTCAACTCACTTTACTCCTTGACCATTTGATTTCTATCGTTGTTTGTGGCTTCTGTCTTTTTTTCTTGGTTCTGTGGCTTGATTTACATAAATATAATAACCTATATTTGTTCAGTTTTTTCTTTATCTATTCGTTTCCAAGGTAGGCTATGAAATATGAGTATTTTTTGCATTCAAGACTTGGTTTCAATAGTTTGTCTCTTAAATGTGACATACACATTCTTCTGATGGGGCTCGGGCCTTTGTCGAGGGACTTGCATAAGTTTGTTCCTCAAAAACAACTAGGTTACTAGACTTTTAATCATAGTTTATAACAAACCTCCTGGATGGGAAGTAGATGAGGGTACAACTCTAGTATGTACTCCTGAAAAGAGCTTTCAATGCAGCATTGGTAAATACACACCTGGAACACTATATATCAAGAGCTTTTGTAGCGGTGCACAATCTTGGCTCAAGCTTGATGGGTATGCAGACACAAGCTATTCTGATGGAATCATCACTTTAGGAGTGATGCATCTTGCAACTTCTTCTTCTTCTTGAATCGGTTGTATCTCCATGGATTTGAAGTCCAGAAATAAACCAAAAGAAGTGCTTGCATGTTTTCTTGATGGGAATACAAATGGTGATGCTTTAATACTCTTAAAGCATGTTATGGAGGTCAGGTATTATCTAATGAATAGATGTTGATAGGCTCATTCAAGTCCAGAATAGGGGCTTAGGGATGGCACCTTTCTCAATTTCCTCTGCTTTGATTTGATCTTATCCTTTAAAATTTGAATCAAAGTGAATCCTTGAAGCAGAGCTAGCATCTTCAATTGAAGAAGGCCCAGGGGGAAAGATTTGAATTCAAGCTTTGTTTCCCGAAGATGGTATGCTAATGAATTGAGATTTTGAAGAACTTGTTCATGCAAAAAAGATATGGCAATAAAAGACAAGGTAAGATGGTAAAACCATTAAGTGTGGAATTTTATGAAGCTGGTCACGGGTATCAACGCCTGAATCGATCCGCTGCAAAAAGCGCAGGCGGGGCGACAGCGGGGCGGTCCGCCCCGCTGTCGCTGCAAAAATTTCATGTATTGGGGCCTGGCGATCCGCCTGTGATACCCTCTCGTGGGCTGTCATGTAGTGGACTGCGTATGTAGCTGAGCGACTGCCAAGACCGCCCCGCAACACCGCCTCAAAGCGATATGCAGCGGTGACCCTAACACGATCAGATTAATCTTTTCATCTCGCCAACAACACACCTCGTGACCTGTTCGACAATCCGATTAGCTTTCGATTCGACTTATATTCCGATTAGGTTATTCCATCCGATCCATTCGATTCCAATCAATGACGCCATTGTAAACAACACCGGCCTGATACCATCTGATACGGCTGGATATTGAATATTTGGGTAAGTTCTTTTTAAAACTTCGATTGATATCAAACAAAATCAAATAGTAACCTTGCTGATTGCGTCGAATGCCCTTTAGATAACAATATCGGTGCGGCATTTTGGGGGTCTTGACCTACGTCACGAGATTTCTATGGCCTTTGTCGCCACCTCTGCCAGCTGGACGCCTATATAATCAGCTACGTGCCGTCTTGTTTTTCATTTTCCTCTTTCTCCTCAGGCCAATAATTTGATAACACTCGAATATATTTGATTGATTGATACTAACACATCATTGTCCACCCATCCTTCCTCTTCTTACTTAGTCGTTTTTACTTAGTCAGAACAAAGATGCCTTCATCAACTCCGTTACTTACTGCTCCTCCTGCTACTCCGTCTACCCATACGGGTCCAATGCTTCGTCCTTGTACCCCAACTCAACCTAAGCCTGGATTTGTTCTTCAATCCAACGACTTGCGTGTATATTCTCTTCGTCCTCCGAGTCCCAGTCCTGATCCTGATGACGATGACGATCAATCCGAGTTTGCACCGGGTCTATCCCAAATTGTCAGCAGTCGTGGCAATTCTGAAGGTGAACTCGAGTTTGTTGACGAAGACGAAGACCAAGAAGAAGCCGAGTTGCCGATCATCGACTTGACAACAAGCCCAAAAGGCAAGAAGGCTGTCTTCCCAAGCAAGAAGGCCAAGCGTCGTCCCAGAGGCTCGGGTGCATCTATCGGTATGTCTCAAGGACCTCCAAGACGAAAGAAGTGGGCTCCTAAGGTAAGTTGTCTATTACCTATTCAATTCCTATTCATTTCTTCTTCTCACCTTTATGTTTCACTTTTCTATTTCTTTCCTTTACATCCTATCATTCCACCCACCAAAACACAGCCAAAACCAACCGAGGCTGTTCCTGATGTCATTGATGTCAATCAAGAAGAATCCTCAGTCGAAATCGTTGACACTGGGGCTCGCCGTCTTCAAATGCAACGAGTTAAGGAACTCCTGGACTTTTACTGTCCTCCTCATCACCTGCCTGGTGAAGTAAGTCTCAATTTCCCCTACTCGACCAACCCAAACAGCCCAATACTAAACTTGTGTTCTTTTTTCTCTCTTTGAAGTCTGGTGACGACCCTCGAGCTTATAGGTGTCGGTGGTGTCATGGTGTTTTTGTACGGGGTCTCCGTACAAACTGGAACCTATACGCCCATTGTGACGGCGCTAAGGGACGAGCAGCCTGTCCTCATCGATCCCGAGCCATCAAAGCTGGCTGCAGGCTACCTTTGAGCTGGGCTCAAGAGCAGTCTGAAGCAATGATTGCTTCGAATGAAGCAAACGGTCAACCTACTCTAGACGCCTTCCTCTCCCAGACCACCTTCAGCGTTGAGTTATGCAACACGGTTCTTGTGGTGTGGACCCTCTGGCACGCTCTCCCTTTCAACAGGTTCTATGACATTCCTTTGCGTGCGGCTTTCACTCTAGCAAATCGACGAGCGGTCTTGAGAACTCCTACCTGGGCAGCTCGTGCAGCAAAGGAGCTCTATTGCACTTTGCAGTCGGCAGCGTTGGCTTTAGTTCGTGTAAGTCCTATTCTGCCTTACCTTACTGATATCTCAATTTGTTTTGAGAACTGACCTTGCTTGTGAACAGGACAATCCAAGCAAGTTCTCCCTTGTCCATGATGTATGGACCACAAAGGGGAACCGGTATGCTTTCATTGGCGTGTCGGCTAATTTCATTGATCAAGATTGGAAGTATCGATCGGTCCACCTCACACTTAAACTTGTTGCTTGGAATAAAGTAGGGTATCTTCTTGCACAACCAGTTGCACGATTCTTAATAGCAAACAATTTACATAAGAAGATAAGTCTCCATTCCTTTCACCCTTTCCTTTTCTCTCTTTTAAACTTATCTATTCATCAGCCTCGACTGACCTTTTTTTATTTGGTTGATTACATGATAGGTCAAACCACTGATTCCGGTTCGTCAAATTTCCCAATGGCTCGAGAAATGCAGAAGGCCTTCATGGATTGTGAGGACCCGGTCGAATGGAATTCACGAGACAATCATGTCCGATGTTTTGGTCATAAACTCGGATTGGTTGTAAAGCATGGCTTGAGTTCTCTACGATTGTCCGCTGGTCACGTCAAACCAACAACTCCACCACATGTTTCAGTCCCAGTCCCCTCACTCATCCTCAATGACGACCTTGAAGCATTAGCCTTGATTTCTGAAGACGATGAAGATGAAGATGCAATTCCCAATCACTCAGGCCGGTTAAATGTAGTTGATGATTTAGATTTTGATGAAGAATATGAAGGTTTTGGTTATGATGATGAGCCAAGGAATGGCTGTGTTGTGGTTCAGGGTTATCTCAAGGTATGTTTCCTTTCAAATGCTTCATTCATCCTTTTTAAGCAGGTATACTGACATCTCTCCATTTTTGAAGCTCAAGGAATTCAATGCATTATTGACCCGAAGCAGTGCTCGCCGTTGCGAATTTCAGGCCCGAGCTGCTCAGATGGGCTATAAGGGGCCAGCACCGATTGCTGGGTGGGGTGTTCGATGGAACATCGACTTGAAGATGTTCTCTAATTTAGTTAGTGCACGCGATGTAAGTAGTTTCTTTATTTTCTACTTCATTTGTTCTAATCTCTTGCTTTCCTCTCTCTAATGCTGACACCCTTCTCTCTAGATTGTCGACTCCATCTTGATTGCCGATCGGAAGACTAAGTACTACCAGGGTATCATGATGACCATGGAAGAATGGGATGCTGTGGAGGCCTTCTGTTTGGTTTTAGAAGTAAGTTCCATTTTCCTTCTGGTTTTCTCGTCTAAGTGAATTGACTAACCTTTTGAATGAGCTTACCCATCAGGTATTTCGGTTATCAACCAAGCGGATGGAGGGCAATTTCGCCTCTGGATCAATCCTTCTAGCTGAATACCTTCGAGTGTCCGAAACCCTCCAGCAGATTCACGACAGCTCAACCTTCACATCCATAGTGAGCATGATCGATGTCATGTTACCTAAACTTGCCCAATATCAGCAAGAAGCGGCATCAGCGGAAATTATCTTGATGGCCACTGTTCTTAACCCAAGATATCGATTGAAGTTCTTCGATGTTCACTATGCTGAACACGCTGACCGAGCCAAAGGTGGTATTCAATGTATCTTTAATAAAGCAGTGGAGGATTGGCCAGCCACTCCTGAAGTCACCCCACCTCCCAATTCGTCCCAACCTTCAAGAGACCATTTCGATCATTTTGACATATTCACCGCTGAAATCTTGTCTGACAACTCTTCAAAAGTCCGGGCTGCTGAGCTTGATCGGTACCTTCAAGGCATTGATCCTATCTTGCCTGGTCAATCTGAACTTACTTGGTGGGAGGTTCGTTTCATCTTTTTTTGTTGAGAGTTTTTCAATCAAGAACTGACCTGGATAATTCATACTATTACAGGAACATAGCGAACAGTTCCCGGTCCTTGCTTCACTTGCTCGCGATTACTTGTCAATCTCGGCCACCTCTTGTTGCGTTGAACGCACTTTCTCGTCTGCATCAGATATTGCTGTACCTGGACGAGGTGCTTTGAAGCCAAAGATGATATCAATGGCTGTTGGTTGTAGGGAGTGGCTTCGGGCTGGTATTGAAGTTCTTGGTCGATTTTCAGATGCAATTACTTATGTAGCATCCTATGCTTTGAATTCAAAAAGAAAGACTGCTGTCTCTAACATTTTGGATTAATTTTATATTCAATCCGTTTTCTCTTTGATTGTCATATCTTTTGAATGTTTCCTTTTCTTTTAAATGTCTTGTTTTGAATTTCCCGCCGATTACCTTTCAATGTCCATTTTGTTCTTGTCTCTTTTCCTTCCACTGTCTTTGTTTTTTCAACCCTGTTTGGTGCTCGCTCAAAGTCTGATTTTCATTTCTATTCACTCGTTCAACATGTTTTTTTCTCAACTTTTGTTGTCTGTTTTCCTCAATCTTTTTTTTTTTTGCTTTCTCCTTTTTCCTTCTACTGTCTCGCTTTTTAAACACTGTCTGCTCTTGCTGAATGTCTCTCTTCAATTTCTATTCACTCGTTCAACACCTTTTCTCAACTTTTGTTAGCAGTCTCTTTGTTTGTTCTAATTTTTGTTTGTTTCTCTTTGTAGCAGACTGTTTATATCTTATTCTTATGTACATTTTGAAAATAAAAAAAAATTGTGAATAAAACACTCGCCCGGCCCGCTGCAATGCCTGAAAATTTCCCTGAGCGGAGCGAGAGCGGTCTGAACAATCGCCACGCTCCCATTAGTGTGTAGCGCTTGCTTTTTGAAAGCGGATCGAGAGCGATTGTACTTGTAGCGGCTTCTCGCCCCACTACAAAAAAAGTGGCTTAGAGCGACGCGAAGCGGGGCGGTTCAGACGTTGCGGGTATTCAAAATATCAAGATAGGAGAATGAAAAACATGAATAGATTCCAATGATCCCATTGACCTTATTTAAGCTCCATTGACAATAGTTATTACAAGATATCACATGATGCCAAAAAGGAATGGATGGATGCAAACCCAAACACATTCATCATAATTCCAAAGCTCAGACTCAAGCCACTCATCTTAGATGTAGAGAGTTTATGGCAAATAAGAGGATTAGTCTCAAAGACTTGACTAGTGCAATCAACAAGTGGATTGTGCCAGGGTTGGTATCTTCCAGGCATCCTGTGAAGTACAAACCTAATTTTGAAATCATTCAGGTCAGCAGTATTGGGTAGCACTTTGTAAAGGTTCCAAATAGAGTTGATGTTTTGTTTTGAAGATAAAGGGTTCAACATGTGATTTTTGATCAACTTCTCACCTGAGCAAAGGAAATTGATGATTACTGAGTGTAATTTGATTTCCTCAGTGAGTCACACTCACACCACGTGTGCTTGTCATCTTGAATTCCCAATTTCCCATTGCTCACTGAGTTCTAAATATTTGATACAAGACTATGATTTTCTTGAAGTTGTCAGTTTTCTAGTGAATTTGAACTTACGTAAGCTTACGTACACAGTGACAGAATATCAGCTTTATGTACATAACACTAAATTTCAAGTCAACTCATCAAGATAATTATCCAAAACCGATTTTAATTTTGAGAATATGTACATAATAATTTGGATTCTAGGGAATGGAAATTTGATTCCAAGTGAAGTGAAGTGAAGTGAAGCGCTTTGAAGTGAATGTGATTTGAATTTTAAAGTCATTTTTATTTTTTATTTTTCCATTTTTGATTTTTGATTTTTTTTTAAATTTCGATTGAGTTCCTTTGAAAAGCTTTTTAGAGTTTTGAAACTATTTGTCTCTCATTCGTTTTACAAACTTACCATCAACCAACTCATCATCACCAGATTCATCATTTCAATCTCAACTCTTTAATAGAAACATCGAATATCAATTAAATTCAATTTAATTCATCTTCTTTTTATGTTATGTTGATTGACGATTAAAGAACACATAGAACATTTCATCATCATCATCAAATTCAACCTTTGACTTTAACCTTTACCTTTGATCACCTCAATCAAATCAATCAAATCAATCAAATCAATCAATCTTATCAAGAACTTTCATCATCAATCTCACTCTATCACATCATGTCTGAATCTCAAACTGATCCTACCTCAACTCTCGATCAACTTAAACAACCAATTCATTCATTACCAACTAATGAACTCAATCAATCAACCGATTCAACCTCACCCTCTCAACCATCTCAATCCACTTCTCCACCTGAACTTTCTGCTGATGTTAGTCATCTTACTTGTCAACTTTTCTATTCATCCTTACTAACTCCATCTTCTATACTCCTTTCTATAGGCTATCGCTTCTCTCATCACTCAAGTACCACAAGGTGGGCCTGCTTATGTTGCACGTCAACCTAAACAAGGTAGATCAGGAACGGTCAAGAAGAAAAAAAAGAAGGAAGATTCAGCAACAGTCAACAAGACCACTTCAGAACCAGTGGCAGAAGAAGTTCAATCATCTAATCAACCTGATGATACTCAATCTGTTGAAGACTCACAAAGAACCGGTACTATTCAAACTGGTGGAGATCTGACATTAGTAGATTCCACTGAACTTGCTAAACATGTTGATGACGAACCTTTGAAGGCTGCTGCCTCTTCAATCACTGCCGCTACTACTTCGGTTCCCGTCATCGATCCGAATGCGAAGACTGTCACTTCCTCTGCTCCTCTCACTTCCCCTGCTCCTCTCACTTCCCCTGCTTCGACTGCTATCACTCCTGCAACTTCAGTACCAGGACCTAACGAATACAAAAAGACCAAGGAAACCAAATTGAAGACGTCGGCAACTCCGTCAAAGAAGACCAAGAAGAGAACCAAACTGATTGGGCTTTTCTTACCTTGCTTTGTTTCGAATGCACATGACGATGAAGTCCTCACCTCCAGGCGTAACTCTCCTAAACCAATCTCGCAAACCTTTGAGGCTCTTAATCAAGCAAATCCAAGTCATCCTTCGAGCCCTACGGCAGCTAATACTGAACGTTCGACTCTCCAGCCCTCACTTTCCAAACGGACTCCAGTCGAAACAGCGAGGCATCTGAGGAACAAGATGAAAAAAGCTCCCACACCTGGCTCATCTCCTCCTCGGTCAAGGAGAACTGGATCGGATGGAGCGATGCCTATCCCAGTCAGTGACACGGTTACACCAGCTGGAGCGGCTGCAGCTGCATCTGCAGCCAACGCAGGAGGTGGAGGAGTCAAACTACCTGAGGATGAGACAGAGGGTGTCTTGAGCGGTGCAGTTGTTCCACCAGGAACAGAAGGCAACTTACCGAAGAAGACTCCATCCTCTTCTCGACTACTCGCAAGGAATCATTCACATGCCGATAGTCTAGGCAAGGTGGCAATGGTTGATGAGACGGATGTAGAGAGTGGTGAAGATGAGGAAGAGGATGATCTAGAGGATAGTGAGGATGACGAAGAAGACCGTATAGTGGCTATGGGTGGAATGGGAATCCCGGTTGGTGAAGATGGTGTAGCTAGACCGCTTCTGGCTCCATTGGACTTGACAGTTCATCAAGGGAGGAAGTGTTTAGTATTGGATTTGGACGAGACATTGGTGCATTCTAGTTTCAAAGTATGCATTATTCACTTTCTATCTCTCCTGTTGAATGAAACTCTGTCCTCGGATCTTGACCATTCATGACCTTCTCTTTCCAACACAGATGATTCCACAATCAGATTTTGTAGTCCCAGTAGAGATCGAGAACGCAGTTCATAATGTATACGTCATCAAGCGACCTGGGGTAGATGAGTTCATGAGGAAGATGGGCGAGATTTATGAAGTAGTCGTGTTCACTGCCTCATTGTCGAAATACGCAGATCCCGTGCTCGATATGCTCGATATCCATCATGTTGTCAAACATCGTCTGTTTAGAGAAAGTTGTTATAACCACAAAGGAAATTATGTCAAGGTAAGCTTTTGTGGTAGATCAGAAGAATCCAAAACGGATCATCATCTCTGACTTTGTTTCATCTTTATAGGATTTGTCACAACTCGGAAGACCGATTGGGGATACAATCATCATTGATAACTCACCTGCTTCGTATATCTTTCATCCAAGCAACGCTGTACCAGTCTCGTCATGGTTCAATGATCCACATGACACTGAGTAGGTTATCCTCTTTCAAACTCAAACAACCAAGCGTGTATCATTTACTGACCAAGCATTGTATCACGTTGACAGGTTAGCAGATCTTGCCGCGTTCCTTGCCGATATCGCAAACGTACCTGATGTTCGATCAATCTTGGATCCACGACTTTAATTCATCTATTTCATTTTAATCATTTACTGTCACTCTTTTCACCAGATACCCGAGTTTCAACTCCCTCTTTCGATCTTGCCTTGCCTGAGACATTCCTTCTCTTCCTTTTAATTAATCATCCTCACATTAGCTTTTTATAGAAGGAAGAACTTTTTGATATCTATCACCACTATTTACAGTTTCAGCTCATCTGTCTCTTGTGATTCTTTTCTTTTTTTTTTTGGTTTTCGATCTTTGTTACTTTTTTTCTTCGGTTTACTCATCTATTTAATGCACAGTTTTTTTTCCCATTCGTAATTTATCTATTTTTCATTTTCTCTCTCTTTCTTTTGACCTCATCTTCTGCTGTGCTTCTCTCAAATCTCTCTTCCCTAATCAACCACACACACACACACAGAAGGAGAAGACAATAAACAATAAATCACCAAAAAAAAGACCCCGAGATGAGCTTTCGATTTTTTTTTCATGGCTCTTCTTTCATTTGGGTTATATCTGGTTCATTCCACACATCCATCTTTTTGTTCTTTAGCAAGTATTTGAATGAAGTGGGAAGTTTTTTCAAATTTTGATTTATCTCCCCTTCACTCTTCTTTGGAGTTCACTTTTTTTTTTTTGATTGTATGTTTCTTTAAATAGAATAGAGTCTTTGAGAGCAGAGGGATGGATTTGAGTTTTTTGAGTGAACTGACTTGATTCTCTCAGATTTGGGATTCAGATTTTCTTTTTTCTCTTTGGCTTGATCAGTTTTTTTTTTTTTTGATTTGTTTGCTGATTTCTTGATTATCTCATGATGAGTGGTAGTAGAATGTTTTTTTTCTCTCTCTGTCTCTTGTTCTCTCTGATTTTTTTTTTTGAAAATGGAAGTAAGAAGAGGACCCTAAGAAATTTTTTTTTATCTTTCATGATTTTCTAGTCTTGTCTAGTTTAAATTTATTTATCTTTTTTTTTTTTTTTCATCATTTTGTTGAAGTTTTTTTTTTTTTTTTTCTTTAGTAAAGGTTTTTTGAAGATGAAAAGGGATGATGGATACAAGTTTTAAGTTTTGGTTTAGTTTTTGATTTCTTCTTCTTTAATATACACATTCATTTTTGTCACTCGTTTGATTTTTTACTTTTTTTTTTACATATGATCATTTTTTTTACATCAATTTGATTTTTTTTACTTTGGTTTGGGGATTTCTACTTTTTGTTGAGTGTCTGGTGATTGTGATCATAGGATGTGAGAGACACTTTTTTGAGAGGATGAGGTGGGTTGGTTTTGAGAGGGTTGAGAGGACTTTTAGGGTGAGGTGTGAGTATATCATTATGGGATCATGAGTAAAAGTGTGAGTGTTTGAGTAATGAAGGTTTAGTTCAAGTTTCATTGAGTAAAGCTGGAGTAAAGAAGATGTTCTGATTGATTTGAATTTGGTTTAAGAGGTCTTCTGATTGCAAGAGCTTACTTGAGATTGAATGTAAAGGATTTTTCATTCCCATCCCTTTGAAATGTTGTAGTGAACAAACCTTTGATACTTGAATGACTTAATCATTCAAGCATAGAATGGTATCTTGATTCAATCCTTAATTAGCCATTGGTCATGCTCTAAAGCATAATGGAAGTCATATTATTGGGAATCACTTTTTAATCTTGTGAACACTGACAGACACATGTTTTTACCTCTTAGATCATGATTTAGATGGTCCAGGTACTGGGTAGCCCAGAGTTCCAGCCCTTGGTGCTTATTGCCCTTCTACACATTTTCAAAGACATCTTTTTTGGTTTAAGCACTCTTCAATTAGCCATAGATCAATGACGGAAGACAGAATAAAAGTTATATATTTGAGAATCAGATCTTAATCTTGTGAACAGATATAGTACCTTTTACATCATGATGAGAGGGTACCAGAGCTTTGGTTATTTGTATTTTATACACTCTGTAACAGTACACATATGTTTCAGGTCAGCCTCAGGTGGGCTGAGCCTGGAAGGTTAATATAGATGATCTTGAGTTAGATATGATATTAGTATGATTGCTTTTGGTTGACTTATACCACAAGTCCATCATAAGATACCAGATAATGTGGAGAAGAAGTATTGAGTAAAAGTTTGTTTAGCTAACAAGATGGACTGTTTCTTTTTACATTGTACATTGGATCATTTGATTTGTCCTTTTAAGTTTTGGATGCTTTGATAGATCAAGAATGGTGGGAATTGGATGGTTTGTGTTTGAAATATGTTTGTGCAAAGTAGAGGAATACCTTTTTGAGAATGCCTAAGCATTCTTAAAGGCCCCAATTAGCAAGAGTGAGATTTCTTGGTCCTTGCCACTGCTCACTTACTTTGTGGGAAACCTGACCAAGCACCCATCTGGCTGTCAGGTTCCATCCTGGATCAGGTATCAAAGATCAAACTAAGGGTTATGTTAGTGACATGTTGGTGAGTGTTTGGTCACACAACTTGATAGTCAGCATGAGGCATGAGGAAATGGAGATACCAACAGGATAATTAAGCACAGGGGTCCTCAAAGCCACAAAGTTTTGGTCAACATGTTAGTTTTTACTAAAATCCTAGGTTTAAAATAAGTTGGAATCTACGCTTTGACTTTGAGTACCACAATTTCCACATTCAACCATGCTCTAATTGAGACCACCTGTGTTGGTTGAAGAAATTATGGAGGGATCATTTGACTTATAATCTTTTGATAGATATTGAACATTTCTTTATTGAGGTCTATGAAAAACTGTGTTATTGTTTGACTTTTATGTGCCTCAATGATTTTTTGATCAGATCTCTTTACAGAATTAAAGAACTTGAACTCCAGGGTTCTGTCTGAATCCAGGGGATTTTTTTTGTCTTTGTGTGTTTGACCAATGGAGGGAACCAGAGAATGACCCAGTGCTTGTGATTCTGTTAAATCTTGTTTGCGATTATTTTCAGGTACTGCTTGCACTTCTCCCCTTTCTTGATACAATTTCTCGCATTTAACCAATAAATTTTCATAGTCTAATCTTGAAGAGAGATTCCTTGTAGGTTAAATACTCTGCCCATTGTCACAGGACTTGAAATGATACTTTTAAAGATATGATTGTTTTTTGTGCAAAGCATAGAGCATATGCCATTAGACTATCAGGCTTTAAGAAGTAATGAGGAATCTTTGTAGTGTCTTCAATTAACTTCAACAATTCCTCATGATTCCAGATTTGTCAATTCGTGGTTCAAGTAGTTCTTGAGGAAATTCCATGCCTCATCAAGCAAAATATCCATTAATGGAAAAACATCTGTACCTTTGCAGATCACATTCACGCTTGCAAGAACTCCCAAACAAAGCCAGTCCTAATTCTCTCAAGACTTATTCTGAGTTGTTTGTCATAGCCAATGTGTTTGGATTGCTCTGAGTTTTTTATCCAGTAAATCCTTTCAATTCCTCAAAGTAAGCTTTGGTACCTTCAGACAACCCAGATTTCTTCCCCAATGCTGATTTTGATTGCCATTGAAGAACTGTCCAAACAGCCTTTTGGTTCACCTTGCCATTGCCAATAGATGGAGCATTGTCCAAGGGTTCACTTTCCTGAGGCAGCCTGAGATCTATTCCTGATAGAGTTTGCATTAGTATTACCCTTTGAGGAAAAGCAGGGACTTGTTTACATTTAATGAGAATTGAATCTCATTCAGCTAGTGTACAACTTATATACAGGGGCAAGTTTACAAATATTGTACAAGGCATGCCCCGATCCTGGAAATGTATACAAGGGGATAATGAGACGGCTAAGAACCTTTGGGTCTTGTGGCTCATGGTAAGATATACCAGAGAAGTACCGGATAAGTAAGGATATGGATGAGAATCTCATCCAATACAAACAAAACTATATGTGAACGTCACCATCGGGCTCTGTAGAAAGGAACAAGGAGCATGATTTCAGGATCAAATACTTCAAAGGACCGTAAAGAGTTTTTGTAACTCACCTATGAATTGTATGCGAGGGTCTTCTGATAGAGTTTGGATAGCACCATCCCGAATTGAGACAGAAAATCCCTTAAGCAGAAAAGAATCATATTTATATCGAATGCTACCACCTACAAAAGATCCAGAAGTTAGAAAAATGGTAAGAATGATTCTGTTTTGAAGTCGAAAAGTTTAATCTACCTTTTTTCTTCAGTTGCCTTTCGTACTCATTCAACTCTTCTGTAAAGTCAAAGAGAGAGTATCAGTAAGAATCATCGACATCTAAATAAAGGATCAGCTTACCTTCTGTTATCTCGGGATTCAAACTAACTGGATTCAAATTGAAGAGTTTGATAAGCTCATTGAACTTTGAAGGATGCAGTGATTTTGACTCACTGATATAGTTATTCTTCGGTTCATCGGAATGTAGAGCGTTTTCATTATTTGATCCTTCGGTTGAAGTTTGTGATCCTTCTTCTTTCTTTGCCTCTGTATCTGATGATTCAGGACTCGAAGCTGAAGAGATAGCTGTACTACTACTAGCAGTCACAATTTCAGTCGTCGAAGTGGTTTCCGGTTCTTCAGATTCTAGAGGTTCTACAGCCTCATCTGGGCAACTTGTGTCGAGGGTAGGAGGAGTTTCTGAGGCCATGTGTGGGGATGATTGCTTAGATTCTTTACCTTTTAAATTACTTTACGATCGTGCTCAGCATTGATTTATTGAGTGGTGGAGATGAAAGACCCAGGTGGGTTGATGACGATCTCAAGGGAAAACACGTGACACTCAGTCTCAAAAGTCATTGACCGACACGGTACTACTACCGGTGACCCGTGACCGGAAGTGAAATGAAGTCTCAGCAAGAAAATTCCAAATTCCGGATCAAACACCCACTACTCAAAGTTATACACCATCAAATATCATTATCAAGATTAAAGCCATGAGAATTCCTTGTCAAAGATTAACAAGAAGTGCTGATAAGAAATTATTAGTAATAGCATCTAATGCTCATCTTCAAGTAGCAGATTTAGGAAATGGTCAAATCATATCTACGCATGTATCTGATCCAAAGTCACCAAATCATACCAATGGATCTCACTCTGGCTTAATCCGTTTAATGGCCATCCATCAACAAAAAATTGAATCAACTGGTCAAACTCGTTCACTCTTGATTAGTACTGGTGAAGATAAACTTTTGAATACTTGGGAATTACCTGAATTGCGGCTTTTACAATCTAGGTAAGTTTTAATAATATTGTGCACAAGCTTCAAAATCAACAAGTTGACATCAATTTTGAGTTGTTTTGTAATCAATAGAGCACTATCCAAACGCGCAACTGCTCTCTTGATCTCTCCTAATGGTAAACATATCGTGATTGGTGACAAGTCTGGAGATATCTACAAGTCAGGTCCTCATACCTTCCCGCACTAAATCACTCGGACGCATGTTGATGATGAAATCCTCACAGTCTTCCGATCGAAGGATCTGAAAATCTAGTCTTTGCATCGGATCCTGACGAAGAACTCAAAGAGAGTACACCAGAAAAAACAACAAAGGATCAGCCCACGAAACCTACAATCGCATTGGCACCTATCGGTGGTCACGTTTCGATCCTTACATCTCTCACTTTCATCCCCATTCAACCTACCCCACTTCTCGTCTCTGCGGATCGCGACGAACATGTCAGACTTTCGCGCTATCCTAATGCCTGGTCTATCGAAAGTTTTCTTCTAGGCCATCAACGTTTTGTAGGCGCACTTCTCTGGGTACCTGATAATAGTGGACAAACTGGAGTTCTTATCAGTGGTGGAGGGGATGATGAAATCTATGTTTGGGATGTTAAAGAAGCTAAATTGAAGCAAAAGATTTTCGTCAAAGGACTTTCAGCTGGGTTAAAAGTTCAGCCTGAAAAAGAAGCATGGTTCATCAAATCGAGAAAAAATCAAAAACGTCAACAGAATAAGGTTGAGAATGGTGAGGCGAAAGTGCCCGTGAAGATTGGCGCTCCATGTGATCCACCAACTGCAGATAAGTCGACAAAACCTACCGAAAACCAGAAAGCCGATGAACCATCGGAAGCTTGCACAGAAAAAAAACCTATATCACCAGAAATGTGTATTAACAACATGATCTGCACTAGTGGGGCCAAGGCAGATGATGAGCGATATGTTATTGTATCTTCAGTTGGGTAAGTCGGATTTTTCTTGATAACTAGTGTCTCAAATTTTAGGTCTGATGACCACTGCAGTTCATCAGTAGTAGCCGTATTATCGGTTTCATCTATTTTGTCTCCTACTGGTGATAATTCGGTTGAAGTCCGCTACCATGACTTCAATCTACCAGTTCTTGACATGGTGGATACGTCCAACCATGAATTATTGGTATCAGTCGATCAATCACACAAAACTGAACAAAATCTCGAACCAAAAGGTTCTCTAAGAGGTTTAGTCATTAACCAGGATCGGGTGAGTCTAAATTATATAGTTCGAGTATTTCGGACTAAGTGCTCAGTTTTTACATTTGTTTTGCTTCAGATTTCCGAATCACAAACCATCATATCCGGTTTAGACAACTTGAATACAAATTGCTCAATTGAAGGTAAACCACCCATTCTATCATCCTTGAATGTAGCTTTATCTTATTGACGAATTGAATGTTTTGAACCAATAGAGTCTAGCACAAACCCTATACCAACATCAACTATATTATACCCAGAGTTATTACTCTTTCACAAAGGACCACAACCATTTGATCGAGAGGATGGTCAAAATGATGATACAAATAAACCACCACCTATGAAGAAAAATAAACAAACACCTAATCAGAATGGTAAAGGGAAAAAGAAGGAAGGTAGAATGTTGAGTAATCAAAGAGTTGGTGATTTATTACAGTCTAAAACTACTTGAGAATGGAGTGAGATGTTTGAAAAAGTGATGCGCTATCAAAGCACAAAATGTATATAGCTACCGTAGATTATGTTTGCAAATTTGTTCAAGTCAATCGCACCACGGTCATTAGATGTCCGCGTTTATAGTCCAGCTATGTATCAAAATGGTCATAAATACATACTTGCCAATGCCAGCAGTAGGACAATTTCAAAGCGGGACGACAAGGTAGCTTGAAAGGGTTCTAGAAAGTTTGAGTCAATACTATCCATAACTTCGCTCTCATTGTGAGCAAAAGTGAGGTGGGCGATTGCTGTACACGGATAATGGATATCCAGCCTTATCGAGCTACCTGGTTAGGTTAAATCGGATATATACATATCCGCGACCTTCAAGGTGGTATGTATTGCGCTTGTTGTATCTTCACACGATGAACCACTCAGTCTACATATTTCGATTGAAGTTATTAGACTAGAACATGGCCTCTCGAGCAACATCACCGTCACCACCAACAGATCAATTGAAAGAAGATACTGAATCTACGATCGAACCAACTCAACGGATTGCATCACCACCTCCAGTTTTACCTAGTATTACCCAGGAAGATGGAGGAAGTGATACCTTTGGATTCGAATTACTTGAGTTAGCAAGAAAACAAGAAACTGAGAATCAAGCATTACTTCACTTCCTCTCAGGATCAACTGAAACTCCTTCGAAACCTGAATTAACAAAACCTGAATCAAAAGAAAAGGCTATCTCAAGTTTCAATGATCATAAAGGATTAAATTCAGAAGCATTATTAGATGATTTAATTCCTTCAAAAGATCCTTGTTATCTTAATATGAAATTAAGAGATTCATCTGTTTTACTTTTACATTCGATCACAGCTGAAAGTGTTTATTCATTTATAATTTCTTTAGCTAAAGATTGTTATGAAATTTATTTTGGTTCGTCAACAAACCAAAATACTTTAGAAAAGGATCAAGAAGTAAAAGAAGGAAAGAAGGGATTCGAATTTAATGAAGATGAAAAAGAAATGATCATTGAAGAGAATTGGATTAGGATTAAGAAATCTATTGAAAAGAATCGAAATAGTTTATGTTCTAATGCCAGATTAGAATCACAACTTTTAGTTGCTCAACATGTATGTTTTCTTATTTCCTTCATTATTTCAAGAAATCCTCTCGTCTTATCTAAATTCGTTCCTTAACCTTTTTAATTAGTTCAAAAAGACTTACTAACTAGTAATCATCTTTCTTTTATTGCGATTGCAGTTACTCGAAGCTAGATCAAGGTCTTCTTCTTCTTCAACAACAACAGATAATCTAAATTATGCAGATCAAATAGCTGAAGAAGTTTCAACTGAATTAAATCAATTGGTGAAAACTAGAGAAGAATCTATTGAAGAAGGAACAAAGATTAGAGAATTGATTAGTGTGACTGGTAATGTGTTTTGGGATAAAGTGAAGATTCCTTTATTATCTAATCCTTGAAATTTCATCTTGATGATGAGTAATTTTTTGATGTGATTTGTGTTGATCATGAACGTTGTTTGGTTAGAGTAATATTTGACTGGTGAAGATGGCTGTGGTTTGGATTATATGTTATTGATTATCAAGGGCTTAAGGATTTTTCGAATTGAGATGGCTTTCAGCTGCGTGCAAGATTTATTTGTAGGAAGTCTGACTCTATTATTTTCCAAAAATATTTTTTAGTGGTGCAGGGTATCAGATGATTGAGAAATATCACATTGTGAATTTATATAATATGTAATGTTCATTGACAAAGATATTTCTTTGAAGGTTTTTCATTGCCAAGAATGTGACTTCTTTCAAAGCAATTGAATTTGAGCTTGACAGATACTACAATTATCTTGATCTCAACACTGTGTATCTAGATCTGAAGCTTCAAAAATCTTATGTTTTTGAATCTATCTCACTACATTACTTATGAGGATAAAGACACTTGATGGGGATATGCTTCCCAGTTGACCTCAATAGAATCAATTACAATGTATTTCCAAGTCACCAGAGTCACCAAAATTTATAAATATCAAAAGCAGGGGCCCCTGGTCTTTTGATTAGAATTGAAGACTGTTCCTCATCTCTAGAAAAAAAATATGAACTGAATGTTTCCTTGAAAAGTTGTAGCTGGAAGGCTTTGGAAAACACTGTTTGTAAGCTTCAGTGAGGGTAATTAGTGGGTCAGGACTGCTTTTACTTACAAAAAGGCCAAGCCTTTTACCTAAAACAATGTGGTGTAGTTCCCAGATCCAGGTGGTGTGGTAGATGGTGTAATTCTGGCGGCCAAAGTTTAAACCACCCTACAAAATGGGACTAATGCTGAGCCAAGGGTATATTTGAGCTTACTTCACTGCCAAAAAAATATGTGGCTGTTTAAATTCCAGGTGTGCTCATATACATATTTCTGGGTGTCCATTAAGGTGGTGGATGATTCTAGAATTTCTTTGGCCTTGACAAAAGCCTCGGATCAAATCTTGCATCCCACATCTGAGGACATTCATCCAAGGACACCTTGGAATTTGAATCCAAGACATCATTGTTGGTAGCACTTTTGTATTGGACTCACACTGTGGGTTCTAATTTATGGTGGCTCATGTCAAGACATTTGTAACTCTGAATCAATTTTTCACGTCTTTGACCCCACAATTCTGTAACAGCCAGTGAAAAATCCAAACTTCTATGGTGAAAATATAAGAAAATCGTCTTTGTTTGGGCTGAGAAATCATTTTTGGAATTAGATTGTAAAGAAGTCTTTTGGAATTGTATCCATTTTCTCAAAAAATCTAGATTTTTGGTGGGCCATAGATTTTGGCTCAAAACTTATGGTTACCACAGTCTTGACATGCCCCACTATCCATATGAAGTTCCGGTTGCTGGGCAGTTGAGACAAAAATGCAGAATTTGCAGACAAACAAGGAATGATGGTATTCTACCTAGATATGAAAGGGAAATGGCAGACCTCACAGATAATGCTAAAATATTGTGATTGATACTGTGATAGGTGAAGTACAAAGAACCTTTTGGAAGAACACTCTTGTATTCAAGAAACTGTTTAGTAAGGCAACAAGGTGGAAAGATGTTTAGCTGAAAATATCAGATGAAACACAATGTAAGATATCTCCTACAACAGCTAGAAATGTATTGAAAGAAGTTCAAAATATCCAGAAACTTAAAAGGAGTGTGCAGACAAACTCCTCTGGTGGTTTGAATTTGGTTGTTTCCCTTAATTGATTGGAAATCATTGATCATCCAATTGGATGCACTTGATTTTCATTTTTTCCCGGTGTGGGGGTAAAACATTGAGGTTTGAAGACATGGTGTTACTATCACTTCTTATTGAATCATACCACAAGTCCACAAGGTACCATATAGGCCTGCAAGGGAAAGCATTATCACAAGACAGTCTATGCAGGTAATGAAGTGTTTCCTTGACGTTGGCCCATTCAATCTCATCTTTTGCATCCTTTGGTGGATCAAAAAATATTGGATGTGCAGTTTCTGAAATATATCTATGCCATGTAGAAAAATAGGATTTCAAGAATTCCCAGCCATTTTCATAAATATCATCCCAAGCCATGGGGGAGGTTTTTTCTGGATGCATGAGCCCCAACAAGCCTATGAAGGAGGGTGTGATTGACTCTTGGGCAGCTCTCATTGCACCCTCAACTATGGCCCAACTAAGACCCACTTTGTTGGTTGGAGCATCTATGGATTGACCAATTGGTCTCATATTTCCTTGATAGCTGTCCCACATCATTTTACTGAAGTCGGTGAAAAAATTTGCAACTGCTTGACTTCTTTGTGCCCCAATAATTTGATTTCCAGATCTCTTTATAAAGCTGGAGAACTTTCTGAGGGCAAATGTTTGTCCTCCAGTGTTTGTATCAATTAATGAAACTGGGGGAGTATCTAATTGATTTGAGTGTGTGGGGTTTCTAGCTCGGATCTTTTTTTCTTCTCCCCTTTCTTGATACAATCTTGCACAGTCAACTGATAGAGATGCAGGGTCCAATGATATTCTGGATATAACTTGCTTATAAGTTGATAATCTTTTCCAATCTCTTATCACTTTTAATGTCAGGCTTGAAGGCATGTTTGTTTGTTTTGATAGGCTTAGGGTGTATATCATGAGTTGGCCAGGCTTTAAGAAGTGTTGATTGGGTTTTGTTTTGTTCAAAGTCAGTTCCAATAATTTCGCATGATCAACCCACAAGATTTCTTGATCCAGGTAAGATTGTAGAAAATTCCATGCATCCTCAAGCAAAAGGGGTATCAATGGTGAAAACTGCGCCCCTCTAAAGCTCACATTCACTATTCCAAAGATTCTGAAAACCAGATCAGTCTTGATCTTTTCAAAAGCAATCTCAACTTGTTTTTTGTAATGAGTTTGTTTTGATTGGTTTGAAATGTTTGATATACTATATTCTTTCATTGTCTTAAAGTAAGATTTGATTTCTTCAGACAGCCCATATTTCTTTCCTAATGACAATCTAGCTTGCCATTTGAGGACAGAGTACATGATTCTTCTATCCAACTTCTCATTTTCAATAGATGGAGCTCTTTGCAAGCTTTTCTGAGTTGTCACATCCTGAAATTCTATTCCTGATGAAGTTTTTGTTCTTTTCTCTTGAAGATAAGTAGGGATTTGCTTACGTTTTCCCCTATGATCCTTCATCATGTTTGATGACAAGCTGTATGAATCTGTATGCTCCTGGTCTTCTACTGTTATGGCCTCTGCATGTGGGGTATTCACCCCATCATTTGGAAGGTTATCCTCTCTCTGACCCAGTTCAGATGAAGTAGATGTAGATTCATCTATATAGGGATCATTCAAATCTGGTATGATTGCTTTGGGGTTGACAGGGTTGTCAATCACATCTCTTTGTATTTGATGTTTTGTCCTGGAATTTGAATTCAAAAATATACCTGAAGAAGTGCTGGCATCTTGACCTGATATAGATGGAAAGGTTTGGAGACCAATCATTCCTTCTGGAGATGCAAACAATGATGGATCAGTATCTTGAAGGAATCTTTCATCTAAGAAAGAGGTAGAAATCAAAGAGCCAAAACAAATATAAACCCATAAGATAGGTAATTTTTTGAAGTCAAACATATTTTTATCTCAACACAGTAAGAGGGAAGTGCATGTAAAATAAATATTTTTGGGACCAGTTGATGGTGGTTAATTATCAGATGTCTCAACTTGATCTCACTCTCTTACTTTTATGTACTGAAACACTTTGCTATTGTATTACACATACTCCCTTCACAGATCAAATTTGTTGATGAGTCATTGAAATGTCCCCAAACATGTAACAACAAATTGATATCTAGATATGGTTGCAAACACCAAAGTTGTATTGTCTGGACATCATATCACACACTTTGAAAGTGGTGAAAACACATTTATAACCAAAACATATTGTTAGGGAGAAGCAGAAAGGAAGAAGTGATTGGGATTCAAGAAGATGACAAGGAGATGGCTATTGAGACAGATTGGATGAGAGTCAAAAGATCTATTAAGAGGAGTCAAATGTTTTACATTCTAATTGTAGAGTAGAATCACAACTTTAACTTCTCAGAATGTGTTTTTCTACTTGTGTGGCAATATTCTATTGGATTTTAGTTACTTGAAGCCAGGTCAAGGACATCTTCAACAATCACAGCAGACTATTGGAATTATGCAGATTAAATAGATGGAGAAGGTCCAATGGAATAGAATAAGGATCCTGCTATCTGCCACCCATGCCCAACTTTTGGGAGCTGTAATTCTGAACCCAACATAGTGACAAAGCACAGAACACATCCTGTAATACTAAGATAGATTGAGTTGATGGATTCTAGTGGCCAAACACCTGAAATCTCAAGAAATTCTCCATTCACATGTGTTTTAAATATTACATTCAATCACATCAAAATTTCAGTGAATCATGACACAATGTACCAAAAATCAAGGGAATGATGGTTTGTCAAGTGTGCCCCTGTAAACTAGCAAAATAGTGTTACAAGGGGTACTACAAACTTTTGTATGAATAGCTTTCCAGTGTCCTACTTTAAGTGCTACTAAAGTGCTATGTGGCTTGTTCAAGATGAGGATGCTTGTGGTACCATCAAATTTTGAGTTTGTGGTGTACTCTGCCCCTATATAGCCATCCTTTTGAAGTGTCTCAGAGGTGATTAGACTGAGTTTTATTTCTATCCACTTTGTCTGGTGCATCCTGAAGAGGTGTTCTCCAGTACTTGGATCATTTTCAAATGCTCTGTGATTTTTATTCCTTATGACCTGGAAGCAGATATGCCTGGAATAGTGCTGAAGTAATGACTTGCCCTATTATTCTGGTCATGGAAAAAGAAGTTCAGCTGATATGTTGACTTGATGAGGACTTGGAAACTGTTTGTTATGACTTTATGCTCACTGGATAATGACTATCATAACCTGCTTACAGCTTGATAATAATGGGTCAATGGATTTACAAGAACTGGGCAATATGTGCGTAAGAAATCTGTGATATCTGTTTGATAACTAATCAATAAATATGCAATAATATTCTGATGTTTTTGGTTGCCCTGGCCTGACAGTGACCTGTGATTGGGTTCTGTGTTTGTGTTGCTTGGATGTCTTGTGGTGGCATCACAACACTTACAGGTGTTATGATGTACAGAATGAATCACAACACCACATGATGATTGGGTAGACAAAATTGATGTCAATGGATGTTGGTATCAGGCAAATCAGATTTTTTTGGCTTGGAAGTGAATTTTCATTACACATGACATCAAACAATAGCATGTGTAACTCAATGTGCAAGCGCAAAACACACATTAAAATTGCAGGTCCAATACATGTTGACTGCATCTTGTTGTATATATTGTGCAGAATTTTGCTGTGTTTATCTGCCAAACAACAAAACAAAACAAAAATGCAACTTACTTTGCTGATTGTGTCCAATAATAAGGTAATTCTCTTGATTTCAACTTATCAGATGAATCATGATGTGTTGATGCCGACAGTCAGATATCACCAAAGAAAAACATCCTCAAAGGGGTAAATAGACAAGAATCATAGGAAAGACGTGATGGTACACTTTCTTGCGTCAAACCTCAGTAGCAATGTGTTCTACTGTGTCTGTGGCAAAATGCTCAGCTGATCTTTTTCATTTTATTGTGGAGTATTTGCAATGCCAACTTGAGGGCTGTGATTTGCTTAGCTGCAGCAAAGTTGTCACACAATTCAATTTCTTGCATTGTGCCTTGCATGTTGTGTAACTGATGTGCTATCAATTTGTTGGTATGAGTCTATAAATTAATGCTTGAACAAATGTGCTCTAAGTGCATGTCCATGTCTGCCATGCTAATATGCATAAACTGTTACAACACTTCTGAAAAACACGAGCACATCTTAATGACCACTTATTGCTAGCACCACTTCTCAACCTAAGTTTGTGTTGCCCTTGCAATTCAGTAACTTCTTTTGCACTGAAACAGACTGTCAGTGTGACTAGTGTCTTCCAAAGCTCCATGATTTAATCCGCTTCAAATAGCATCAGCTAGGTTTTCACTTACAAGCCCGTATTTTCCTCATTGAAGTGCTTTGCTTGCTGTGTATTATTCATGGGAATTTCACTAATGATACTATCTCTTTCAATTGATTCTTGGTGATTTTTAGATTTTTACCAAACCCCTTCTTTTATCCATCAACAAATTTGTATAACCTATGGCTCATACATCTCTACTGAGTTGTGAATTTGGACAGTCATTGGGGATGAACACTCTTGAAGGCAGAGATTGAAAACATATGATGGCTATATGTACAGCACTATACTCACGTCAACTTCCACAAGAGTTTCCTGAATTAAGATGTATTACTTACACCACTGAAAACAATGACGGAAACTTGCCCATTCTGTCAATCTTTCTTCTCCCAATTTCAATACAGGAAATAACAACTGATAAATTTTTGTGTAATTACCAATAAAAGACTTCAGCAAAACTATTGCACTTTTTGACTTTGTGTAAGAAACTTTGAATTTCTAGAAAGAAGACAAATATTGTTGAGAATTTTGATTCCAAAGAGTTTTGATGAGTGAAGCTAATGAATTATTTCATTGGTCCATTGAGCTTGTAATCCAATTCCTGATCAGGAAGTGAAACAGTCAGCATCCAATATATGTGAACTTTTCCCCTCAAGATATTTGTGTGATGAAAAAGAAGTTTAGACAAACCAGAATTTCATCTGATGTTAATTCATGACTGAGATGACATTGAACTCCAAAGGATTTAAAGGCTTCAATCAATTTAGAACTGATAGCTTGAGTTTCAGAATGTTTATGTTTAGTGAAGACAATATGTTTGAAATTAGGTACCTTCTTCAAACCATCCGGACCAGAAGACCTCAAAACATATCTCCAATAATAATCACTGTTGTGTAAGTCTGTCACAATCGTTCTGACATTCTTTAACATTGGAACTTCTAACCAAGAAATTTCTGATAAATCCTCATCATAATCTTGACATTGGGTTCGAATCACTCTTAATTTCGGAAAAGTCAAATCGGTAACATCTCTCATGAGTTGTTCGGTAAATGAAGTTGTAAAGAAACCTTCCAGAGTCTCTTTGATAGGTTCCAGAACTTGTTTAAAACCTCTAGTCAATTTAGTATCAGTAAATAATTCGATAGCTTTTATAGTATCTTTTGCAGTTTGAGTAATATATAAATTTACTTCGCGATTATTTTCAACAGGGATCAGAGAAAAGAAACGTAAATTTGGTAAAGTCGCCGGTTTGATAAGAAAAGGTAACAATGTGTCATGGTGAAGTGAAAGATTTTCAAGTTTAGGTATCGTTGAGAATAATTCTGACATTGAATCTTCATCGTACGTTCCATGTTCTTTACCAGATTCATATGAGATGGTCAATGATTTCAAGGCTTTGATACTTTGAATGGCTTTGATCAGATCGGGTGAAGCTGCCATACAACGTATAAAGTGGATGTTCAAAGTCTTCAAGTTCTTCCCGAGTAATTTGATCAATCTTGCTAATTGATCCATTGAAACTGGCAAGGATCTTTTTTCTACTAAAAACCCATTCAGAACAAATTGTAGTCAGTACTTCGAAACACTCATAACTATTCGATCATAACCCAAATCACGAACTTTCTTTCGAAGTCGAACCGTTTCTCCATGCTGGCCCTTCTTCGACTGAATACCATACTCTTTCAATCCTGAGTCTTTTGACAGGACAATCAAACCAAGGCTCAAATAGATCATCTTCCCAATTATCTAATAACACATTCGCACGTCTTGAATCGTTTATTGAAATGGTTTCGAAATAAAATAGTATAACAGCTTTTGACCAAGTTTTAGAAATTAATCTTAAATTGATCAATTCAGCGTATGATGATCTTCTAAGGTATGGTTCTAAAGTAGTTGGCGCCAATGCAAATTCACGTTCTTCATCCAGTTGAATTGTGAATTCTTGTAAGATTTGGATGATAATCTCGAATGGCAATTGATTGAATTCATTCATCGTATCTTCTATCTTTGTCTGACTTCTTGCGTGGTTTTTTAGAAGTGATTGGATTCAAGTTTCTTTCTGAGATTTTCAGCAAACGACCTTTAGACTTCGAGTGCATTCACTTGATCAAGGTCAAATCCGGCTAGAGCCTACAACTTCAAGTCATATGACTTGAGGATATAGGCGCGACGCAAATCAGAAGAAAATAGCGCGTCACCGATCGCATGTTAAATTACTTTCGCTTACATTATGCTCCGAGTCATGTCTATCATTCCACTGATAATTCAAGCGGGTGGCGTAGATGAGCTGGTAAATGGTTTGGGGGTTAAATCGGGCTCCTTTCATTCAAACCCTGCCGCAACCAACCCCGATGACTATTAAATGATATTTGTCTGCATTTTAACATGCTCCGCAACAATAAAAATGAAGAGATGCATAAATCAACCTTGAAAGCATTCAATGTATTTGTTTTTCTTTCGTAAAAAGGAATTCATGCGAGGCAAGTCTTGAAGAAGCTTCGAAGAAGTGTACGATTAGCTACAGAGTATGCGTGCAATGTATCAGAATGAGTGGTTTTAACTTCGTTCCCTCGCAGAGAGAATCGAGTGAATTAGAAAACAGATGGGATCTACATAAATATTAGTGCAAGAGTATACATACAACAACAGAATCAATGCTTGATTAAAATCCATTCAATCAAGGCTTGACAAGAAAGCCATTTCTAAAAAGATGCAAACATACAACACAAGTTTTAAAGGAAAGGGTTATTTCAATTAATACGACCAACAGCTAGTTCCTCCCAGTCAAATCCATTAAACCAAGGATGATTGATAACATCTTTCAAACTTTTGGGTCTAGATTCTTCATGTCTACTCAAAAGAAGTTCCAGTAGATCTTGACAAGGGAGTGAAAGATTCAAAGGATAAAGGATTTCACCTTTAAGAACACTCTTTTCCAAACAATCTCGATCGCAATTCACCAGAGAAGGATGATCCTCGCAATTAGATGCAAAGGGATGGTTTCCAACCATCAGTTCATATAAATCAATTCCAAGTGCATACCAATCTGCCGCTGTCGTATATGGCTCACCACAAAACATTTGAGGAGGCCTGATGATTCGAGCACCACAAGCTTTAGTTGCATGACCATGAACCAGGATAGTAGCAAGACCAAAGTCTGTGATCTTGATTTGATTATTGATAGTCACTAAGATGTTATCGAGTTTAAGATCACGATGTACAATCTTCTTACCTCTCAATGATTCCAACCCACAACAGATTTGAGCAATATAAGACCTAGCAGAAGATTCAGTAAATGAACCTTGAAGTTGAAGTTTTGACCAAAGATCACCACCAGCAACGAACTCTAGTGTAAGAGCTGTACCAAGTGTGATGGGAAATGAACCAAAATATTTAACAAGGAAAGGACAGTCGGAGTCCAAAGATTTTAATACTTCGATTTCTTTTTGAATATTGATTCGAAGATCTCGATGTGTTTGACGTGACTTTTGTGTGATCATCTTTAGAGCAAAACAACCATGACGTTTTCGGCGAGCTAAAAGGACTTCCCCACTGGACCCTCGACCAAGAACTTGATAGAGGTTGAAGTCTGATAGAGTAAGCCCTCCTACGTCAGATGAAGAGGGAATTGAGGAAGATCGGTTGAAGTGTGAAAGGTAAGAGCCCATTGGGGATATATAAGGTTTTTTAGGTGATAAAGATCAAGTAAGGGTTTCAATGAGAATTATGGAAATAGAATGGTCTCAGGAGTTGATGTTCGACTTGAAGGTTGGCGGAAAAGAGTAATGTGGTAGTCAAATATATATATATATATATATATATTCAAGCTGCTGAGGGAGAACAGCTCGAAAATGCTGAGCTTGTTGAAAAGATGCAAAAGCGAAATCAGCTTTGTAAAAACCTTCAGCTCAACCGGCGGATGAGTCAAAGTCGGTTGAAACCTCAACTATAATTTTTGGACAGCTTTATCGAAAAGACATCCTCTTCTTGAGCGTTATCTCACTGGAACTGGTATGCCAATGTGTTCAAATTGAAATTTGTTCAGTCGCCTAGATAACCTACGACAACATCATAGGAATAATTCAACATTCAAAAGTTTCCAACGTAGAAATCTGAAAGAAAACACCTGGCTTGTTTGCTTTCATTTCATGGAGATAACGCAATTGTATCCAACGCCCCTTGTGCTGAGATAAAATAACAATCAGCATTCTGATCCAGCGATTAATTGCCCGTGACGTATCGATGAAAGGAGAACTTCCTTTCGACACTCCTTCTATTGGACTCCTTTCATGTCTTTGGAGAGAAGCATAGGATTTTTTGGCATTCCCAGCTTAATTTGATAAATCTTGCTCCAACACACAGAAGGGAATGTTGTGGGCATGCAAAACCCCAGGAAATTCAATCAATTGGATGGTCATGCCTGATGAGCTCTCCGTTCGGAAAACTGAGACAATGAAAGGCCACACGGCCATTATTAATAAAAACTTGGGAAATTATTCTGTTTAAAGTCGTGACAGGTCAGACCCACTGGAACGCATCATTGGCTTTTGTGTTTGTGGATGGCGAGTGAGAGCTCTGGAACTGGGATGATAGTAGAATATTGTCGATCTTGAGCATTACCTTCTCATGAGATATCGATCAGTGAGATCTCTCAAATTCAAAGAACGTCAAACAAATCACTGAAGTACTACACGCTTTTCTTCAATTACAATTATGATATGATACGGAGATTCTATGTTAGATATCTTATATATCCTATCAATCTCAATATGTCACATGACAATCCTGAGCGGTTTATAAATTACAATGGTCATTTTTTCGTCTTTATCTATAATGATTGAATGATATAAGAGGATTTGATTGATAGGCAAGGGAATGAGATACAGTCGTGTATGAGTATCTGAGTCAGAACCTACGCTCGTGTACGTTTGCGATTCTTCGACCTAACAGAGTAGCATAGAGTGCGGTGTCAGTAGATGCGAGTTACAGCCAGATAAAAATCGGTATCTCTTGAGGAAGCTAAAAATATGATGTCACTTACCCTGCTGTCGAATCACCCTCATCCAGGACCATCTGCTCTTCTGTTCGCAATTGTGAAAAGTGAGGTTCTCTTTGTTTACCTTTGCGGTCTTTAGGAAGTTGGTTTGGTAAGCTTTGAAGGACTTTTCGGACTAGTTCAGCTTGCTGGGCTTCTGAATCGGCTGTCTTCGTGCTGAAATTTGAATAAGGATATCAGTCAGATCAAAATAAGTATACGAAATCAGAATCGAAAATACAAACTCTTTTTCTCGGATGGTATTGATGTATTGATCCAACTGGTTCAATACCCCGCCTACGCTATCTGTCCACATCTGCAATTTAGAGCGTAATTCCAGGACACTTCCTTCGGGAGGATTAGAATCTATTGATCCATCCATTTCAATTTCTCTCCCATTGGTTTCTGTAGACGTGACCAATCTGACGTCTCGACCAATACAACTCTCCATCTCAACTTGAGAGAATTTCTGATCAAGTTTAGCTTCAAGTATGTTGGAATAGATGGCATCGATGATCAACTCTTCTAGTTCCTGAACAGTTTGAATTTCCAACGTTCCAAGAAGATCGGCGTAAGGAATCACCTGTTTATCAAATCAAAAAACAACCATGAGCACAACCTTATACTACGCTCACGGATGGAATGTAGGAATTGGAGTTGAGAACAAAAACGCAACTCTTGATTGGGAAGCCTTAGATATGATAGATAGTTGTTTCAATTTGGTGGCTTGCGCAGGGTTCAATTCAGGTAGAGTGGCCGCGTTATCTGAACAAATGATTGAGGTTGCATCAGCCGGAAGGAAGAAAACGGAAAACCAGAGTAAGAAAACAAAGTTACCTCGATAGTCTTTCCATGTTCCAAAAGCAAATATTTCAAGCAATCGATAATAAGATGAATGCGTAGGATGCGTCGCCAGCTATATAGTAAATTCACGGGTAGATTAGCTACGTATCATGCAGACGGGTTCATAAAGAAGACTAACCTCTGAGATACCACGGAAGCACAAGAGTTCACCAAATGCATAAACCCTGTTGGAAGAAAGAGCATCGCTAATCAATTTCACCGCGCTAGCCCCTTTGACCGTTTTAGCAATAACAAGATGATATTCAAGTTTCGTGTTGATTTTATTAGAATGAATTCGATTTCGACTCTTAGATGAGTTGGATTGAGGTGGAATTGCAGCATTAGTAGTAGATGGCGCTGGGTCATCTAGATTCAGTTTGACATCGTCCAAGTCATCTAAAACATATTCATATATTTCAGTCATTTGAGTCGCGTTGTTGATCTTTTTCCTCCTTTCCTCGGTGGAATATTAAGAGACTCTCAACTCAACTCACGTACGCCAGCCATATTGTTGAGTATCTGCTGCCGAATCAGTTATAGTCTTGAGGTATGAGTTGATGTAGGTTGATGTTCTTGATGATGAAGTTCAAGGTAAAGAGGGTGTATTCTCAAGGCTCAAGATTCCAAATCGGTACCGAGCCCAAACATATAAGTTCCACTCGCGTGGCCCCGCCTGGTCAGAGGTACCGCATATATGCTCCTTTTGATTGGTCACTGGTCGGTGTGTAGCCAGAAGTGTCATCAACGATCATCAACTCGTTTCTTTCGCACTTCGACCTTTGGCTCTCTTACTTCAAAGTTCAAATCCATCAAAGACGACAAAATGTCTTCAACTTCTGGACCTTCTCTCAGTCTAGAACCTATCCTAGATGACATCTCTCAATTAGACACCAATCCAAAACTGGTTGAACAACTCTCATCGACTATTGGGATTCAACCAATCCAAACCCGAGATTCACAATCCCTCGAAGCTAAGCCTACTCTTCCGAAGACACCAGACCAGGCTGTTGATCGTGCTTTAGAGATGATAGGATTGGAGAAGAATCTGAAGACGAGATCCGAGGAGTTGGAGGAGAGAGATGTGGGTGGTCGATTAGAGACCAGCGGGAAAGTAGTCGATAAACTTTTGCACATCTTGGAACATGCATCAATTCCTTCGTAAACTGCGATAAGAGAATCATCGAGGGTATAATATATGCGATGGAAATGGATATCTTATAGCTTCGGTTTGGGACAAAATGTGCTTGTTCTTGATAAACGTCCGCACGGATTACATTCTTCAGCTTTACTAACGACATTCATACTCTGTTTCTCTTCAACCGCTGGCAGGAGTGGAATTTATCATCTTTTCGAACTGACATCTCAACACATTGTATCAACTTTCGGCACACACGGTCCATCATTTTCATTTACGCAGAGGTCTCCAAATCGTTGTTACATCTCTTTCTTATCTTGCCATTAGACAGTCTCGCTGAAAAAGCACAGGCCGAAGTGTCCTTATCTCTTCACAGAAATCATTTTTACGCGGGAATGAGGGTATTGGGATCCCTGGTTTGCTTCAATTCGTATCTCAGAGGAGCTCCCCAGTAGTCTGACAATAGGTTGACTTATATATGAGTTATAGGCCTCTATCAGACATACAGTGACTGCCTGCAACCAAAGTCAAACCTGGCTAGATCATATACTTTTGATCCCCTCAGGCAGATTCAAGGCTGTTTGTTGATCAAGAAGGCTCAGAAAGTCTTGACAGCCTGAGCTTCCGGGGATGAAAAAAGTTGTTCCCCCATCCCTTCTCATCTCTCTGACTGGGTTCTCAGCACATTCTTTTTGTTTTTCTGGTCGATCTCCGCACCACGCCCGCAATTGAAATGGGCTTTAGGAATTTAAGACGCGCTGCATGACTGAGCTTTGGAGTCCCACATTTGTCGTGGGGGGCAATGGATGGCAATTGGCTATTCATGATCGACTGAGATGTCTGCTGATCTCCAAGTGCTACTTGCACTCGCTGTGTGTAAGAAGATTGACTCGGCGATTGATTAGAGCTTGACCTCATGCTGATTCTCAAAACGCCCGCGCGATGCTTTACATGGACGCAACAACAAATCAGCCAAGTATCTGACCTATCTGCACTCATTTCAGATCTCTGGACTTTGGAGTTAAGAGAGCGGACACAAAGACTGAAGGTTATCAAGTATCTGACAGATTGAATAGCTAGCCGAGATGCGAGAGAATCTACAGTCAGGGTCAGAACACAGACTGGGGTTGGTAGGGCAGTCTGAGAATCTGGAAAACTGCCAAGCCGATATGATGAGGCAAAATCGATTTTGCAAATGATCAGCTTCTGACTCGGCTATATCAGAAAAGTCAAGTACACCCCAGATGTATAAATCCAGCGCAAGATTCACGATTGAAGATCAGTTAGCCAGATAGCTCATTGGAACCAGGATCACGTAGGTCGGCTTTTGCCCGAGCTTCTGAAGCTGTTGAAATGCTGTACCTTGATCAGAAAGGCAGATGGAGCCTCTGCATCTTTATCGATCCCGTTCAAGCATGTCAGTGTCCGCTTGGAATTGCCATCTGACACACTTTGGATCTTCTATCTTGGTCAGCTTCTCCCCCGCATACGGGTAGAAACTGGCTGGTGGTTGAAAGAAACATTCCTCTGGTCAAAGCTGCGCCATATACAAAGAGTGGTGTCAACAGCTGGGTCGCGGCATGTCGCCTTGCTCATTGTCCCACCTTGGACCCTGTGTTCAGAGGCTGCCTACGTGTAATGGGGAGCCTTGTAGTTTCTATTAGGCATGGTCTGGAGAACGTGGCAGGGTCTGATCTGGTCTTATAACGAAGGATTCTTGTCTAAAAAGTACGAGAGATAATGATAATTTCTATGAAGAAAAGGAAAACAACAAAAGAGAAAATAAGAAAACTATATAAAGCAAAACTCATGTAAACCAGACACAGGTACATATAAAAGAACAACTGCTAACAGAAATCTTAGCAAACGGAACCTCATAATAAAGATAATTGAACCCTTGAGAAGCTAACAGAACTGTTAAGAATATAAACTGAAATATGTACACACTGCTAACTTATAAAGGCACCTAACAACCCAACGTATATGACAGGCTGCCTACGGTGGAAAAAACACGAGTGTAAAGACCCTTTGAGACTTTTAGTGATCCTGATACCAAGTGAGATCAAGATAGGTAAGAAGAGGATACGAATCTATCTTAAAAATCTCTGTCCCCTTGCATCTTGACATCACTCCTTTTAAATAATTTTGTCTTTTCTTGCATCCGAGCGAGCAACTCTGTCGCCGAGTAGTTCATCTTCTTAGATCAGTGAATCATATTTTTTTCACATCAATCTCAGTGAGGAATAGTTTATCTCTTTAAGGTTCACCCATTCATTTGATTTGATTTTCTCAAGCTACAAGTAGTATTTTCAACCTTTACCTTTCTTTCAACTTCAACACAACGAGCGTCATGTTACTTTCATTTTTTGTTCTTTTGGATATCCTTTCTATCTTGAATATCGGTGTGATATGTGCTCCAGAGGGTCAACCTAAGAGTATTACTAGTCCTAGGAGGCCGCATCTAGGAACGGCTGTTGATAATCAACTTTTGAAGACAAATCCAGAATACGCCAGGACTATTCAAAAATACTTCAAGGTCTTAACACCTGAAAACGGTACGCACTAGATGATAACAACTCTTTACATCTTTCCTTGTTTACTAATCATTCCCCTATATCATCAATATAGCCATGAAGTGGGACGCGACTGAGAAAACCCAAGGAAAATTCACGTTTGAGGGGGCGTGAGTCATCTTCGGAATATCTTTCGACATCCTGATATACTGTCGGAAGTGAGATTGACATTTATTTTTAAATGATATAAAGCGATGAAATCGTTCAGTTCGCCTTGCAGCATCACAAAATAGTCCGGGGACACACAGTGGTCTGGTAAGTTTCAATCTCTATGACTCCAATCTCTGTGATTGAGCAAGGAGCTGACTTATTTTATTTTTTACCCTTTTCAACTCTAATGAGCAGGCATAGACAAGTCCCTCAATGGGTAATGAACCTGGATTCTGAAGCTTTGATCAAAGCGACCCAAAATCACATCACTGCTCTCATGAAACATTTCGAAGGAAAAATGTTTGCATTAGACGTTTGTAACGAAATTTTAGGAGAAGATGGAACATTTAGGGATAGCTTTTGGTATCAAAAATTAAAAGAAACGTTTCCAGAAATGGCTTTGAAGGCTGCTCGTCAAGCTAGTCCTGGCGTTAAGCTATATAGTACGTCGCAATCATTCCCACTCTCTTTCAGAAGCATTTGATCTCAGATTTTAACTTCTTTGGAACGAAACAGTCAACGACTACTCCATTGAGGGGATCAATAAGAAATCAGATGGGCTCTACAATCTTGCCAAGGGGTTGAAAGCTAAGGGATTGCTCGATGGCGTTGGGTTTCAGACCCATTTGATTGTTGGCCAGGTACCCAAGGGTGAGAAATCCATTGTTGATAAATTGCTTCTTTCATAATGCGTGCGGTATTACTGATATATATGGTTCTATAGATATGAAGCAAAACCTCGAGAGATTTGCTGCTTTAGGTATGCAATAATACTTATGCTGTGATCAACGTAGATTCTGAAGTAATGATTTGTTGACTTTTGCTCTTTATGACGCTTCTCTTTTACCATCACAGGTTTAGATGTTGCTATAAGCGAGCTGGACATCAGAATGCCGGTCCCCGCATCCAAAGAGAATCTCGAGCAACAGGCAAAGGATTATCAAGAAGTAGTCCAAAACTGTCGTTCTGTGACCCGTTGCTACAGTGTGACTGTATGGGGAGTTGCTCAAAGTGAATCATGGATTCCTAAAGAATTTCCAGGTTAGTTTCGCGCCTCTCTGTTCTTCATACAAGGTGTTCAATATCAAATATTGACAAAGATTGATTCCTTTCATCTTTTTAATGGAATTTGTAGGTATGGGATCAGGATTGTTGTTCGACGATAATTTTAAGCCGACTACCGCATTCCAAGGCGTCAGTTCAATTATCAAGTCTTCTGGATAGTCATATTGGTGACGTAAGGATGAGCGTGTTCACAATGATTTGTGACCCTTCCTCAATCGGAATCACATTGATCACATCACAAAAATACGGGAGACTAAAGTGCCTATATTTTAAACGCAAATCATCAACTTCGATAAGCTTTCCCTCCCTTTCGAGTCACTGACAGGTCAACTCACCAATTGTATATAAAAAATTAAACCTTTTAAACTTTCCGTTCTTTCTGCAATCCCTTACATTGAGATGTTTACAACTCTATTGATCACAATACCAAAACAAAGAGACGCAGCTTTCGGTATCCGCACGCAAAATGGGGAGTGATATTGAGCTAAACAAAGAGATCAAATTGAGAATACATGCCAATGACATCATCATGCAGATAGCTCACAGCATTTTCTTAATTGTTGTACAACATTCAATCATATTCTGCGTGTTTGTTACACTGGCCAGCATCAAAGTATACAGTTTCAAGACCAGAGAGTGATCGGGGCAGATTTCACAGAAAGCATGGGGTTTTCAGATATTCCCAGTATCAGTATGGCATTTTTGAAGTGTATCTTCATATACGCAATGTCGGTGATCAGACCTTTGTGGATCAAACAGAATTTCAAGTTTATAGAATTCTATACACAAGGAAAAGAAGACAAGGGAGTGGAAATATTACAATGAGATGTCCTAAATGTACAAGTTTTCAACGGGCATCTAAGAATGGATCTTTGGAAGTCAGCACCGATTCAAATGAAAACCTAGGAGGAGCCAGATCACTTACATGGATCTTGCATTGTTTCCGAGTTATAACTTGAAAAGTTTTCTCTCGTCCCTAATGCACCGTGTTCTAATATCCGTTTCTGTTCCTCACATCGGTCCAAGTTCGATTTGAGTGCGATCTTAGAGTAATAATAGGCTGTCATGATTCCTACTCTGTAGGAAATGAAACCAATTTTGATTTGCAAGTCACTGAGATACACTCTTTTTGAATGGGAAGAGAAGCTGACCCGAAACCTAATAATGCATTCTGATTTGGTGGTAATCTCTTGGGTAGACGTGAAATCAGAATTGAAGTTGAAAGACCAGAAACGAGACCTGCGATTGTTCCGTCAATTTGAGCTCGCTAATGTTCCGTGGAAAGAGCCAGACTCGAAGAAGCTCAGTTGATTGTTAATAGATGACTTTGGATGACTTGCAAACACAGACTTACATTGTTACATTTACGAATCTCTTCGACAGTCAGTAGTTCACTGAACACGACTGAAGTTCCATTCGGGTCCCAGAAACCCATGATGATTATGATCGTTTGTGATCGGGAATTGATTGATTTGTTTAAATAAATATGTTGTGTTTATGAATGCTGAGTCGCATGGACATCCATCACCCCTGCGTGACGGTAAAGTTCAAGTTCAGCTGTCGAGATGGCCCCGTCACAGAAATGAAGCCGATCCCGGGGTATGGGACTGAGCTGACAGTTCAGCTTCCCGTGCACTTTGTGATGCGCTGAGCCTGGACCGCGACGCGCCTGACCTCGCAGCTTCTTCCTCATCATATCTTACTTCTTACTCTTCTTGCTTGCCTTGATGCCAACCTCATCCTAGTTGTGCCCATATCTCTGTGTGCTTCACCATTTGTTGTTTGTTTAGTCTTTGCAATATGAGGACTGAGCATGTTTCTATGCAGGTAATTATCTGTATCCATATATGGCTATTGGAGTCTTGAGTAGTTGATCAGCACCTAGTAGAACCTATTTCATTCATCTCACAGTCTTCCTCCATCATATTCCAATTTTCTAGGATTGCAACTATTCCAGCAGCCCACTCACACCGTATACGTCAATCGAGCTCGAGTTGATTGTCATTATTTACTCAACAATAGAACGCTACAAAATTTGATTTAAATCAGATTTTTCCCGGATCCGACCCGAGTCACCCCAACGCGCTTCAGCCACGATCAACATCAAGAGATAACTTAAACGCACCAGCCAAGAGAAATGATATCTCCTTACATCTTGGAATCTAATAATCCATTAATCAAACCACAAGCTACTCCTTCTAGCTCAGCAACCAGTAAAACTCAAGAATCAAACTCATCTCAACATAACTTCAACATGAACTCAAACAACAATTACTCAAAACCTATCCCAACTTCTAATCATGAACCTACCATGTCTGAACTCTTGGCTGCTACCTCGGGTCCTGGTATTGGTCCTTACATGAACGATGGAGCTGGGTTCATGTCGGATGTTAGAGGTGATGGTGGGTTGGTGAGTTGGAGAAAAGGTCAAGGATTTCGTGCTTGGGAATCTGCTGTCTTATCAAACCCGGAAGTTCAACGTAAAGCCAATGTTGCACAACTTTATTTCTATGATTATTGTTGGTTCCTTCTTTCTTTCTGCTTTTCTATAAAGAAAACTATCTTTCTTCACAGTCTCTCATCTTCGTTGTTTCTGTTTAGATTTCGATCTATTGACTTATCTCAATGGAAGGAAGAAACGACTTGCACTGTTTCGATCAAGTTCAACTGACCCGAATCAAGATCCAGTAACTGCAGGTAGCGAATGGCGTTCTTACTGTGGAAGAGAAAGAGTCTTGTTACGTAAAAGACGAACCAAACTTAAACTTGATTCATTTCATATTATCGTTCAAGTAGGTCAAGGTGGTTATGGTGAAGTTTATTTAGCTCGTCATAAACTTTCAAAAGAAGTAGTAGCCTTAAAGAAAATGAAGAAAAAAACACTCTTAAAGATGGATGAGATTCGACATGTGTTAACTGAACGTGATATTTTAACGGCTACTTCTAAATCAGATTGGCTAGTTAAATTACTCTATGCATTTCAAGACCCTGCTCATATTTATCTCGCTATGGAATTCGTACCAGGTGGTGATGTAAGAACTTTATTGAACAATTCAGGTGTATTGAAAGAAGAACATGCAAGATTCTATTCAGCAGAAATGTTTATCGCTGTAGATGCCTTACATAAGTTAGGATACATTCATCGAGATCTTAAACCTGAAAACTTTCTCATCGATTCAACTGGACATATCAAACTTACCGACTTTGGTCTTGCTGCTGGTTCTCTTAACCCTGGTAAGATTGAAAGTTTAAAACATAGGTTAGATGAAGCCAAGGAAGAAGATTTACAACTCTGGCGTTCGACTGTGGAGATGAAAACGGTTTATAAGACTATGAGACTTCAAGAACCTAGATATGCTGACTCGATCGTCGGTAGTCCGGATTATATGGCCATTGAAGTTCTCAAAGGTCAAAGTTATAGTTTCTCAGTCGACTAGTTGAGTCATACCTATCGACTTCTAATACTTGGGATGTTTAACTAACTAGCAGTTCAAACTTGATTCCTCGAATCCACCCAAAAGTTGGTCATTAGGTTGTATCTTATTCGAATTCTTATCAGGTTATGCTCCATTCGCTGGAGCTTCTCCAGAAGAAACTTGGGCGAACTTGAAGAATTGGTCTAGAGCTTTAAGACGTCCTCATTATGATCGAGCAGAAGATTTGATCTTTAATCTTTCAGATCCAGCTTGGTCTGCGATTGCTGCTTTGATTAATTCAAGAGATAAGAGATTAGCTTCACTTGAAGCTGTTCGTAGTTTACAATTCTTTAATGGAACCAATTGGGATGATATGAGAAAGACACCTGCTCCATTTGTTCCTGCTCTAGATTCTGAAATCGAGTAAGTTTTGATTTTCTTCTTTTCTCTGTAATTCCAAATCAAGACTACAATTAAAAGCAAATGAACTGATGAATATGTTGATCGGCTTTTGCTTACAGTGCTGGTTATTTCGATGATTTTGGGAACCCAGAAGAGATGAAAAAGTATGGAGAAGTCTTTGAAAAGGCTAGAGCAGTAGAAGCCGTCAAAGAAAAGGATGAGAAATTCGGTAGAGGGGTTTGGGTAGGATTTACATTTAAAGGTGGAAAGACTGCTGAGATGTTAAGAGGATTTGATGGGATGATGAACAATGGAAAGGGTGAGGATGGAGTTTTGGAGTGTATGTTTTGAAGGATCAATTCAGGAGATATATATATATATAAAACTGGTACTTTTTTTTGCGTCCTTTCTTTTTCTTTCTTTTGGTTCTGTATTTGATTCTCTAGCTACATCCCTCTGTATATTTGTCGATTATCTTTTTGGCTTCCCTTCCTTATGCTTAGTCTCATGTTTCTTTTCTATCTTTAATAGATTCCGTTGAGGTGATTTGTGTGTTTGTTTGTGTGATATGTATGTTTTTGCCTTCTTTTACATTTGCTGGCCTATTTACTCTTTATAATATCTTTGAGTGTTTTTTTGTGTAGTTTTTCTTTTTCTTTTGATCTTCTTTTTCTTTAGGACAAACATGCAAAGTCTGGTTCGTGATAACATTGGTTATTGGTGGATTTTTGGTGGATTGGGTCATGATCTGGTTTATGATTGGGAAAGCCGGGTTGATATCCTTGGGGATTTGAAGGTTGGCTTCAAAGTTTCCAAGAAGAATGAGATCATTCAAAAGAGACCTCATTGTGATTATCTTCATATTCATCATTTATCTGTTACTACCTCAGATGTCAAAACCAGACATTTGGTGTAGAAAGTTTCCATTCGATTTCTGTGGAGGTCAAAAACTTGAGCTTTTGATCAGATCTGCAAAGAAAGGATCGTGATACAGCCCTTTTCTTGCTTCTTCAACTCCTTGTTGAATTCCACAATGCAAAATGTAATGCAGGATATGCATGTCGAATTGAACTTTCCAATGTATTCATAGAATCTCGAATCCTTTGCATATTGAAGTTCTAACATTCAGCTCATCTAGCTATAAAGAATAAGTTGAACCCAAGCTATGCATGGTGTTGGCAAAGTATTCATCTGCGAGTTTATGCTCAAGCTTGAAGACTAGATGTAATATCTTGTATTTCGAGCTTGACTAGTTTGTGAAATGATATTTTTGAGTGAACCCAGAAGAATATATAACATTATGTTCAACTTAGTCTTATATCAAGTCCGTGATTGGTTGGGAGCGATGAATTCAAGAAAGTCAATCTGCAGTCATACGAAGTTGGTTTTCAGTTCCATCCAGAATGATTGATTGAAAATGCTACAAAGCCATGCTTCATAGACACACCCTAGGAGCGCATACACTGGAACATTGTAGCTATGGTTTTAGGAGGTTCTGTGTTCTGTTCGCAATCTTCTCAGTTCTTTTTGTTTTTCCGACCTTTGTCTTTAATTTCAGCTAACCAATCCCAAATTCAGGCTTCCAGTGTATACTTAAACCAGTCTTGATTGGCTCACGATTGGAACATATGTAGTATTCATGGTGGTGTCAGTGTGTCAAGGTCGGTAAGTTTATATATGGGTCAAAATAGCGGAGATCAATCAATGCGGCATCCCGGGGAGATTGAGCGAGGATAAGGCGCATCAATCTTTTCAAGGCGAGTAAGTGTGGAGTTTCATCGGGAAAGAATATCCAACTTCTTTTATCCCCCATCTCTTGGCTCCCGCTTTGTCGCGTCCATTTACACCCTACAATTTCACGCCAAGCTCGTGAACAGCCAAAAGTGTATCGGAGACTGATGCTGAACAGGATAGCAATTGAGGACCCCCAGACATAGCTTTCGCCACTTTCCATAACTAATAAACAGATCCCCACTTGCTTTCCATGCCGAAGCTACCCAAGCGTGTCTCGATCTTCACAAAACTGTGTCCACTTTTCGATCCAGCGCGGCATTCTCTGCGACATAGTCAAGAAGCTTCTTCAGTCATTACAACATGGTCCCTCACGATGTATACTCCTTCAAATTTTGTGGAGAGGAATATCATCATGGCTTGATCATCGCATAATACGTAGAACATCGATGCCGTTACCCTGTTTCATGATGGACCAGGGGTACTCTCGTAGTCCACTTTCAAGTCACGATCGAGCAATTATGTCATTCATCATCAAGAACCCCTGTGCGAATTGCGTGTGATCGGTGAAGTTCATGACGTCTAGTAGAGACCAATAAATTGGAATCTCCGCTTACATGAATATGACTCGTTTTCAAAAGCGTAGAAAAACAACCTTGTTTTGATTCATGAAGATCATAGGCAGAAAGCCGGGTATACTACATCATCGGCTCTAGTCCCAGGGCTAGACCTCTTTTGACTAGAGTAAAAAAATCCGAGACTTGCGGACTGTTTATTTTTCTGCACGCTGCAGTCGAGTCGATCAATCACACCAATGAATAATGTACCTAATAATGTACCTGGCTGGTATATAAGTTCCGGTGAAAGTATTGGACTCCTGTAGTTTCCACCCACGATCTGCCCCAGTGTTTGTCGCACATTTCTCCATAGTTGTGCTCATCTAGTTTTTCTTTGTGAGTCTACGCCAAATTGATGGAAAAGTGTCATCGTGTTATGAGTCATTGCAATGTCGACGAGGTCAAAGGCCCGTGTCAGTTCGTCGGATGTATCTCCATTATTCCGGACTCGAAAGTCGAGAACAAAGATATTTCACCACCAAGTCCTGTTGGGTATGACGTTGCGCGCCCTACTCATCAAAATACAACTGGGCTGATATGTTGCTTCATTCTTGTGACCGTGACAGGTGTTTTGCAGATCAAGAATCGCCTACAGACCCAAAAGTACTGCCCGATGCCCAACAAGATTCTGAAAATGGTCTCAAGGAGCAAAACTCCGGATCATCCTTCCGCAATGGGGATTCCGACGTACTTGAATCTAATGCTAATGGAGGCCGGGTGAAAATTCGCTGGGGCGCTTGGGGTTATCTGGCTGGAATGTTTATACTAGAGACAACGATATGGGTGGGGCTTTTAATCTTGACTGCTGGATGTAAGAAAGCAAACGACGTATAACTCTGATTAACGATCTTGGCGATTTGTTCCTATACAGGGGTTTCCAAGCTCATATGGGGTGTTGCTCGACTACTATCTTCATACACGCTTCGCCGATGAGTCGAGTGCAAATTTCATCCTCCCTCTTGTCGGGACGGTGAACACAGGCTTGCTGGCTCTTCTTAGTACGCTTGAGGACTTGCTTCAGCTTCGCGTGTAGTGCCTTCTGGATGCTGATGACTGAACCACCTCATATAAGTCCCGATCGTCTCAGCTGTCCTGAACCGTTTTCCACATATCAAACCGCAGACGATGTATTTTGGAGTGGGGTTTACAACAATTAGTTTGATGCTCTCCTGCTTTTCAACCCATGTAAGAATCTTCCCTTCTATTATCATTCCCCAGAAATCATTAGGAAGCAGAATTTGGCTCTGCTCTCGGTGTACGGGGGAAAGCTCATCATTTTCGTCCTTCTAATCATCCAGAGCGTTCATGTTCTTCTCACGTTGGGTATCGGCTATGGGATAGGAGGTGTTGCAATATATTATCCAGCTGTAAGTGATCGTGACATTGCACTATCTTCTACAAGAAACATGGCTCACTTTTCAACAACTTGACCGTGCCGACCCGCCAGCTGACCTACCTCCCCGAATGGTTTCCTGAGCGTCCAGGCTTGGCCAATGGCATCGTTTTCTCAGGTTTGTCAATTGTTCCTTGGTTTCTTCGGGATGGTCGGTTTCACAAATCGAATTCGGATCAAAGATTGATCCGAGGCACTTCTATCTTTTTAGGAAACGGGGTGGGTGGATTGTTGTTTCCGTTCATCATAGAGAGACTGTTGGCCAAGTGCGGCATCACAATGGCTCTGGCATACCTTGTAAGTCTCTGATTTTCAGTACTGTAATCGGCGGACGTGGAAAACTGAACACCAAAATCTAGACCATCATCATCACGGTCGCTGTTCTTGTATCCTTGTATCTCGTAAAACCCCCGTATCCTTCCTCAAGGATTGACAGGAACAATGACGAGGATATATGGCAAACAATTGGGGATTGGCATGCACTTAAAGCAGGAGCGCTTTGGCTTTTCGTGGCCGCAAATATATTCCAAACATTTTCCTACTTCCTTCCCTCGCTCTATCTTCCTCGTAAGTCTTTGGATGAATCGTCATAACACTTAGTGAATCATCCTGATCTCTGTCATACATCGAAACTACGTAGATTATGCTCACTCGCAAGGGCTTTCGCCTACCTCCGGAACCACACTTCTAGCAGCCTTAAACAGTACGTCCCTTCATGCTATACTCTGATGATCTGGTAAACTGACCAGTAGGTGAATATAGTCGCAAACATCGGTTCCAGACTTGTCTTTGGAACTCTTTCCGATCACTTCTCCACCCACCTCATTGGTGGAGCCACTAGTCTTGTGGCAGCCATTTCGATCGTTTTCCTTTGGGGCGCGGAGACCTTTAGCATGAATGATTTGATCATATTTTCAATCATCTTTGGAGGAACTTCGGGTTCTTGGACAAGTCTGTACTTCTCAGTGATAAAAGAGTGGAGAGGTGAGAGGAAGTTTCAATATCCACCTTCTGATTTGAGAGCTAAAAGATTTGTTTATGCATTATAGTCGATGAAAGAACAACACTGTCTATCTATAGTATATTCTCGGCAACTCGAGGAATAGCCAACATTCTCTCTGGACCGATCTCTTCTTCTCTTTTGCGTAAAAGCAATCTGACCGCACCAAGAAGCGGATTTTCGAGCCCTTATTCAGGAGTAATAGCATTCTGTGGGGCAAACATGCTACTCACTGCAGCGATTGAAGCAGTACTATTTGCTAGTCAATTCAAAGCCAAAAGGATTGAAAAGTTCAACACCTTAGCCTCTCATCAAGATACCCTGAATTGATATGATGAAGCTACGAAAGAAGGCAAGGGAAACTTTTCTGAGTCCAAAATTACCAATGAATGCTCGTTTGTAACGAACTTTATGATGGTATAAAACTTCAGTGTAGTCTTTTCTATTTCTTCCAATGTTTATAAATGTGTAAATATATCTAACTGTACCTTGTCTCAAAAAAACAAATTCAATTTCACACCTTCTGCTATGTATCATCTCAAGTTTAACAAAGTCTGAATTGTATCTACAAAGTCAAAATATCAGTCTACTTATACACAAGACCTATATTCCTTTCTAGTTGTTTTCGTCTTTTCTATGCATTGTTTATCCACACTTTCCTTACAATATTACGAACCTTCTTTCAAAACCGGGATCTTGACTCAATAGCTATAGATAATCTTGTGAAATGAGTACGACTCTCAAAGTCCAGACTTTTCCACCAATTGTGGCCTGATTCAAAAATCTTTCACGGGAAGTGATGCTTAATCTCCAAAAACTGGTCAGGGAGGTAGAACTTCGAATGTCTACTTTGGAAATCCTGATCAATAATAACAAAGTCAAAACCTGCAAATTCTAACAATCCTTTACATGCCTCGTGTACTTCCGGTTATAATCAATTCCTTTATCCACCGACTTAGCACCATCACTTTTTCACAAGATTCCACTGAATTGATCTACAGACCAGTGAACGTTGACTGGAAAGGCGGATTTACCCTGATTTACCCGTCTCCAACTTCAAAAATCACATTAATGATTGACACGCTTTGCGGATAAGGATTCTACTCGAGCAATAAGATGCACGCAGATATATGCGCCATTTCTAACCCTGTTTGGCCTCATAGGAGCTAGTCCAGAGTCTATCAACCCAGACCCAGATGGCTTGAGTTGTGGGTAGGTCGTGCTCGAGTTTTTCTGCAGTAGGTAATCTAATTGTTGATAAATATGGGTATAGAGTACATAGATAAACTGATATCATTTGTTGGTATTCATTGAGCAGTGGTTAAAGATTAAAGAGAATCAAGTGGTACGGTTAATGAGACTCAGAGAGCAAGAAGGTGTCCAGTCAGTCAACGGGTCCATTGGCTGGAGATCCGAGAGAAATCTGAGAGCTGACCGATCACGTGACTGTACCACAGGCCTGCCAAGTTACCGCGGCGCAGTCTCTGGGCACTCCATATAAATACTTCACCGCATCGCTCACTCTTCGCTTTTTTTCCTTGTCAAACAACACCTCTCTAGACGGAACCCGATCGAGTCGCTCACTATGTCGTCTGATGCAACTTGGTTGTATCAGATTTCTTTGACTTGTTGGGCGCTATCGGTGTAGAGGTGGTCCAAATGGACTCCAAAATCAATGTGGTTTTAAAACCACTCCATCTTGATCTTGAGTGGCTCCAAGTCATTAATTCTTTTTTCTAAATTCTTGACTTCTTTAGCTTCGCGCTGCTCTTGAGGTTGAATTGGACATTCTCTTGTCATTTGCTTCATCTGACTTTCTAGATCAGGGTTGTCTACTCTCACCTCCCAACACCCACCCTTGTAGTTTGTTATTTAAACTGTCGTGTTTGTTGACTATTTGGTCTGAATTAAACAGAATAGAAATTCATAGCTCAAACAACTTTTCAGACTACGGTACACTCGTTAGGCATGAGTGGTGGCCAACTCTCATCCATCCTCATCGTACATTGCGCTGCGAGTGGGTGAAAAACCCAGGAAGGCCAAATACCTCCCATAATTTCTCAGATACCGTCGCGAACCCACGACTAGCTCGTTCACCATAACTAGACTGATGACCACGAACCAAGCCGACAACTGCACCTTGCTCGTCAATTACTGGTCCACCTGACGAGCCAGCAACGGGAATCGCCTCGAAACTGAAAGTGGCCAAATCATCATAGGTTCCGGGCTAAGGTCATCAAGCCGAATGAAATCACCCCTCCTTTTAAGCCAAGCAACGTATCGTGTGGTTAAAGATAGGTTGACTCACCTGTGCAGCAATTCCCATGACATCTTTGTACTCGATGACCTGTGTTGGCGCCCAACGAGGTCTACCAAGCCGAGAGTCTCGAAAGGCCTGGTACATCCAGACTGATGCTTGCTCAGGGCATGGATAGGGACTGATGGGTAAGGTACGAAGTTTTGTAATCGGCCCATCCTTGGGTTGACGTAGTCGTAAGATCAAAATATCAGAGTCAATCAGAGCACTAATCACTTCGTCAATCATATAGATCTCTCCTGAACTAGACATCACCAGACCAGCAGAAATCACGTGATTCGTGCCTTCACTTTTCTCAATAGCAATAGCACCAAGTCGATCAGATATCTGCCAAAGTGTATGAGCGCAAGTCACAATCAAGACCTCGGCTGAGTTCTCAGGTTGAATCGCGAATCCAGAGCAAGTGATGGTTTGGTTGAGATCTGGTGCCATTCTCTGGTTGACTGTTGTCCTCAGACGAGATGGGCTGTCGGAGATGATGTAGGTAATTGAGACAATCCCATCACCATCTGGTTCGTCAAGGTTTTGATCAACTATTCGCGGTGATTCATTTCGTGCAACTTGCTCGATCGCCTTACGCAATCCATCTTCTCGGTCCCAAATCGGACTAACTGCGCTTCGCATGATATCCACCCTTCTCTCGGAAATTGGGTATGGCTCATACTTTAATGAATATGGATCTAATTGCTTTCGATCATTCCCACGAGCTTGCTCAACCAACTTCTTGATCGGCGTGATGACTGATGGTGAAGGCGAATGTTTGATATGTTGATCCAACCAAGTGAGATGAAAGTCTTGGAGTAAAGTGCTTGGGCGAACATTAGAAGGTAGGGGCGGAATCTCTGCTGATTGGTTTGCAAATTGCCGAGTGTGTGACGATCCCAATAACGAAACCTCGCGAAAGCTGAAGCTGGCTGAGTTGTGATATGATGAACGGAAACGTGGGACAGCCATTTTTAGATTGGTTGAAGCTCGGTACGTCATCAAGGAGTGATGGACTATGAAATAATTGGGCATGATGGAAGGATTGATGCAAGCAAAGGTTCAACCAACAGAATCACAATAAGCATCACAATGAGGGTGATTACAAAAGTTCGGGTCACCGTCCAGTCCTCGGACCTTTGTAATCATCTCCTGTCATTTGCTCAGTCTTGGTCATATTTCACTGACCGTCATATCATCTTTACAATCTTGGAATGATTGAAACCGCATGAAGTCACTCACAACAACACTGATTCAAAGCATTGGAAGTATTGCATCTCACGTGGACACTTTTCAATGTTGGATCATTTGATGTTTGGATGAAAACAAACCAGTAATAGCATTATATGTTTGAAAATGAGGATGAGGAAGAGGAAGAGCTTTTGAAGTTGATGTAATCTCACATTCTTCACTCGTCACATAATCACAAGATACAAGCAAACTTTTCATCATGGTTTTCTAATCTCTTCACTTTCTTTTGACCTCATGAAGAGCACAAAGATAATCTTTGTCATATCATGATCAGGCTCCTTCAATTTTAACCCAGCACTCTTATCCAAAAGTTAAAAATATAGCAACACAGTGTAGACATCTGATTTTTGGTGTCTCAAGCAAGTCATCAAGGGATTTCCAATGGACCATTGGCTGGAAATTGAATGTGAAGGATTGATTATATGAAGTTGTTGAAATGTGAACTTTATCAAACTTACCAAACTTAGTATGAAACATACTAAAGCAGGCAACAGTGTTTTGGGCGAAACCCAAGGCAGATTGCCGAGGGTGAATGAATTGCTAATAAAAATATAAAGTGCACCCTACGGTCACGCTCACACCCGATGCCCCGATGCCTCGTGGCGCCACGGCAGGGCTCAGGGCAAGGGCCGGGGCCTCGGCCTCGGCCATGCCCTGGCCCTTCTGTGTGATTTCGTGTTCTCTGTGCTTCAATGAGGGCGAGTTGGATTCGTTCCGTCTTTGCGGCAAATATCATGAAGGATGGTGGCATTATAACGTGTATAAATTGTTGAATTGTGCCATGTTTTTAAGGCCATGCGTGGCATAGGCCATGGCCCTGGCCACGCCCTGGGCCACGAAAAAGTCACCGGGTGTGAGCGTGACCCTACGGGGTGGCTAGCGGACATAACTAAGACAATTTTTTAGAAAAAAATACTAAAAATAATGACAGAAAAAATATAAGATGAATCTTGCTACATAATCTTTTTTTATCTTTGTCTTTGTACTCATCAACTTCTACAAAAAACCGTAACCATAAAAATACGTAATATCAAAAAACAAAAAATAAAGCCTCGAAAAACCTTTCTCACTTGATAATAATATAACAAAATAAAAAATGGGAAATAAGGGAGGGTGGGCGCAAAAAAAAACTACCACGATAGAGAAACTTTGATAGAGAAAAAGAATCAAAGGAATCGGTTGTAAACACTATGGGAATGAAATAATGAAATTCGGTGAAAGCGGTAAAGAGCCAATGATGTCATGGCTGTGGTGCTATAATAAGAAAACGTGATCCGACCCGTTAGTATGATTACAACCATTATGTACCGCCCGAATTCATTCACATTCCCATTCGTTAATAACCCGTTACCAACAACTAAGACAAAAAAAGCTGCAGAGGAGATGTAGAACTTCAATTTTATCATTTCCAAAATAAGTGCGTCCAGACACTAATATCTGCTCTTTCCTATCCTATGCCAACAGTGATATGTTTATTATAGATACCAAAAATCTGAGACATGCTTTTAGGTGCCAAATTACAGTCAACCCCCTCTAATTACATACAGCTTGGCGGGTGGTTTTTTCATGCACTTAAAGGAACATGCACTTATAGACCTCATTTTGGCTGGAGAACCCCTTTTTGGCAGCAAAAAATCCTATGTACATAGAAAATTATGCACTTACAGGGATATCAACTCAGAGGGAGTTGACCGTACAGAGCCAAGCTCTTGGGTTCTTCCAAACAAAACCTAGTCAACCTTGATGATATATACTTGTGCTATATGATGTGCTCTGTTCAACCTTAACTTTTGGTATTCACCAGATAATTTCTGCAAGCCCAGAAATTACCCAATGATCATACCAAGAGGGTCATCAGAACATTCACCCAAAAATGGCCCACTCAACTTATCCAGTACATGCAATCAAAAACACTTGTACCAACTTTGATCCAACACCTGAAGCTCTCCACTTCAATCTGCTTTTTTCTTTCTTTGGTAACAGGGCACAATCCTGCTAAATCCAACATCCTCTCTTGCTCCACTTACAAGACACACCTGCACCACTTGCACCCCACCACATATGATCTTTGGTTATCAGGGTGGGGCGGATTGTCCTATAATTTGATTTCATGGGAGCACAGGAATAAGTATATGTATAATGAGCAGGGAGAAGCCAAACAATATATGGAAGGTAAAACAAATATCCAGGAATAAATCAGTGGAAACAATCACATTGGAACTCAATCATTAATGTGCAGTAGAACAACCACTATCCAAAGAGGCATGTTATGGTATTTGTCTCTTGACAGCTTTCAGTATCTTTCAGATTGGTTTGCTGGATACATCATGTCAAAATTTAGAGCACAGCAATACTTGCAATTGCCCCGCTAAAAATTCACTTCACTATATGAGATCAGAGAAGCTGGTAGTGCAGGCAGAGCGCTTAGACCCGCTTTTCAGCTAGGACTGTAGTGCAAGAGGAGCAAGCCACTCCACTTTTGCTTTTTGTGGCGGGACACTTCAGGTATTGTTTGATCAACTACATGGTATTTGTAAGGAACCAGCTTGGTTTGACTGATTCTGATCAATCTTGAAATTGTAATGATCAGCTCATCATTAGCCAGTTTTCCACAGGGATTGCTCAGTTTTCTGAAGACAATTCTTTATCTCCCTTGCTATTTGTACCTGTAACTCTGATCCAGAAATGCTATAAACACAGCATTCACTGTCTTAAGTGTACTGAAATTCAGTGCTTCTGCTACTTCCAATCAATCTATCTGGGTCTACCAAATGGTGATGAAATATTTTGAACACTTTCAATCAGTCAAAGGATTCTGGAGAGATTAAGAACTTATTGAAGAGCGGTGATACAAAGCTAATCAAGAGACGACAGGACTGCAAGTGTCTCAGATCATTCTGTTGCTACAATTGAACACAAAGGTTGATGACCTCCTCAATGGATGTTCATTCAGGTTCTTTCAATACTAATTTCAGGTTCATTCTCTGTTACATGGAAGCATACGGCAACAGACTCCATGAATTTATGAGAATTTGTAGAGCAATCGTTGTTGCTTTGAACAGAGCCATGAGTTTGCTGAATGTTTGATTTGACATGCGGATTGAAATTCGTGTTGAAAGGGCATCTGGCAATTTGACAAACATACTATGATTGACGTTCATCGAGCGAACACTCCTCACGACTCACAAGTTCAACATTACTCATTGTCACTAGGCTCAAAGATAAAGTTTTGATCAGGGGAAAGAAATTCATTCACTACTTCGCGTTACGACAACTAAAACTATTTACTAAATGAAGACCACGCAAAAACCAAAGTGATCATCCAAAAATTTCCTCACAACCCACACCATTTCCCCCCCAAAAAAATAACGAACCAACAAAAAAGAAAATGTCAAAGAGAACGATTTGACAAACTATAGCTATTCAGTATATTCTCATGGGTGAGCGAGCTTAAGGTGGACATTAAAAGAAGCAATAACACCAATAATGAAGAAAGAAATAGGGAAAAAATCAATCGTAAAGAGAAAAAAACCTCTCAAGACCCCAACCTCCACTGTTTGCTCGATCGACTTGACGCGTACCAAAAAAAAGAGAACAAGTAGTTTCCATCATAATACCCGCCTCTAGATTATATCTTCTTTTCAACTTGAAGAAATATGGTATAAGGAGAACTTCAATGAAAAAGTGCGACTCGAGTTGATCGAACAAAGAAAACTTGGGGATAATCGACAAGTCGATTATTGATCAGTCTTTCCATCCTTGCGCTCGTACTCATCCAAGACTTGAACAGCCTCCGAGACCTTGGCATCGAGAGCAGTTGTGTTCTCCAACAAGTGAAGTAGCTCAGCATTGTCGATCTCTAAAATCATTCCGGTGATTTTCCCAGCCTTCTCTGGTTGCTTCTCGGCGATTTGTGGGTAAAGGGCTTCACCAAGCATTTCTGTAGGTTGTGAATAGAATAAAGTCAGACAGGCTTGAGGAGGTAATAGAAATTGTATGACGAACGCTTTTGTTCGGCTGGGCTCGCTTTGGCCAAGGCAGCCGGACTCAATCCTGTCTGTGGAGCTTCCGGAGCACGGTGACTGGTAGCTCGACCCGATAAGGTCGAAGGCTGATGGTAGGCTGGGTCACGCGATTGAGGTGGAGCCCCTCGCATACCTCCGGCGGGTGGCATACCATTGCGACCGATTGGAGGACCATTTGGACCGCCGGGTCCACGGAACCCAGCAGGGGCAGGCCCACCGGGTGGACCGGGCATACCTCTCATCGATCCAGCAGGAGCGGGGCCACCAGCGGGATATCCAGGGTCGCCAGCGGGGTATGCATGGTCGGCTCCAGGGAATGCGGGATCACCTGCAGGATAGCCAGGGTATCCTTGAGGCGGCTGATAGTGAGGTGCGCCAGGCATACCCATGGGTGGCATTTGTCCTGGAGGAGCGTAACGAGGACGAGGTGGCATACCAGCCGGCATGCCATTGGGAGGATAGGCCATACCACGCCCAGGAGGAGGGTATGCGGCAGCCCCACCATAGTACATTTGGTTGGGTGGGGCACCATAGGGCGCACCAGGGATACCTGCAGCAGCCTAACACATCAAATGAGATGAGCAAGCGTGAAGACGTTGAGGAAGAGGTCAATAGAAAGAAACTCACAATTTGTTGACTGCGCATTTGAGCCCGCTGGGACATCTGGGCCTCGAGTTGTTGTTTTCGTACATCTTTCCTTTGAGCGAGGGAGACATACAATGGCTTCGATCCAAGCATCTTGCCGTTCATCTCGGCCACGGCTTTGGTAGCCTCGTCAGGAGCAGAAAAGCAAACGAATCCGAAACCACGAGAGACACCTTTGTCATCCTTCATGACCTTGCAAGACGTGATGGTACCGAAAGGTAAGAACTCGGCTTGAAGCTTCTCGTCGTCGTACTCGTCATCCAAGTTCTTGATGTAGAGATTGACACCTTGGTACTTGAGTGTCGTCTCGTACTTTTGCTGCTCATGAGCTCGTCGAAGCTCAGCATCACGCTCAACACGCTTTTGAGCACGGGCGACGTAGAGGATGTTGCCCTTGTAGTCTTTGTCGTGGAGGGCTTCGACGGCCTTGCTAGCGGATTCGTGATTCTCGTAGTTGACGAAACCAAATCCACGATGCTTGCCAGATTCGTCAGCCTGGACAGCAGCAGAGGTGACTGGGCCATACTTGCTGAACATCTCGTTGAGTTCCTCGGTGGTGACCTCGGTGGGCAAGTTCTTGATATAGAGATTGGTGAAGTGGGCCCTAACTTCATCGATCTTAGCTTGTCGTTCACGTCGAGGAACGTGGATCCCGACAAAGACCACCTTGTCGTTCAATTGCATACCGTTGACACCCTTGATAGCCGCTTCAGCTGACTCGGCAGTGACATAGTGAACAAAACCGTAACCTTTAGAGGCACCAGTTGAGTCCATGGCAACTTTGCATGACAGAATGTCACCAAAGGCAGCGAAAGTATCGTGCAGGGCCTTGTTGTCGATCGTTTCATCCAAGTTCTTGATGAAGATGTTGCCCTGCCCAGTCTTACGAAGAGAAGGATCGCGCTGCGACCACATAATTCGACATGCCTTGTTCTTGATGAGCGAGTAGTTGAGTTGCTCCAAGGCACGTTCGGCTGTTCAAGGATGTGTCAGTACATGCAAGTACATGATTTGAAAGAGTCAATACTACGTACCATCAGCAGCATTCAAGTAGTTGACGTAAGCGTAACCAAGCGAACGCCTAGTCACCGCATCACGACACACCCGGATACTGGAAACAGGACCGATCATGCTGAATATTTCATAGAGCATGGCTTCGGTGACAGTAGGATCCAACTCGCCAACATATAGTGAGGTATTGGGTTGACTAGCGGGGCTGGCATTGGGAGTTGCAGTGGAGACAGAAGACGGAGCAGAGGGCGTGTTCAAAGCCGGAGCTGCGGCGGATGGCGGGGTAAGAGTGTTGGCAGCGACAACAGGTGTGCCCTCCGAAACATTTGGAGCAGCAGCGACCTCAGAAGCCATGCTAGCGAGGGTGGCCTCCTTCCCGGAAGAAGAGATCTCACTTTGAGCGATGGAAGCGGCGACGGTGGAAGTCATGACGATAGCTATGGGATTCTTCTTGTTGAATGAAGATCGATGTGATGGGATGAAGATAACTTCGTCCGCTGATTGTCAATTAGAGAGAGACGATCGAAGACTGAGGCACGAGCTATAAAGATAAAAGATGCAAATAGTCAGGTTGAAAGTTCAAGTGTATGAGGGAGTGCGACCAAAAGACTTACGAAGTATGAGTTAAGTCAAGTCTAACGGAACAGTGACGAGACGCTTAAACGAAGTTTATCGAAAGGTGAATGATTTACTTTCGCCTGACCGGTTTTATATTTTGATCTTTTTTTGCGTTTGTTTAGCGATATGAAGATCTGTTTTCTGATAACGATATTGATAGAATAGATGTGAAGATAAGTTAGTTGAGGAGAGATGAGATGAGATAAGTGGGGGGATAAGGAAGTGAGATCGAGGAGTGATGAAAAGTGAAAACGAAAAGTGAAGACTGAAAAAGGAAAGTGAGAGATGAAAGTGGAAATGAACGAACGTATGATTTGTTTGTTTTAATAATTTTTTTGGTTCTTGTTGTTATTGATGAAGATGATAAGAGACAAGTGATTTTAATAATTTTTTTTGTCTTTTTTTTAGAAATAATAATTTGATCGTGAGGCTGTGATGGAGATGGAGGACGAAGGAAAGAAAAGAGGAAAAGGGAAAAAAGTCAAGAGAGAGATTTGATTGGGTTTTATACTTATTAGGTCAAAGGTCAAAAACCTTTACCTCGGTGACGGTTTTGGCAAAAATTAAATCAATCAATCGGAACCAGCACTCAGCCCTGAAGAAATATAAATTACAATTTAATTTAATTTCAATTTGACTCAGTCAAAACACGTTCATGGCCAGGTCAGGACTTGTGAGAAATTAATAATACATTTTAAACGCAGCCCTGAAATATTTACTTTCTAAACGGCAGCAGCATTCAGGACAAACTTAACTCTCAGGAACAGCACTGCCCTCAAATCACGAAGTCTGCAAGGGCCAGTGCAAAGTCAAGTTTCATTCCCATAACATGCAAAGCCCGGGTTCCCATCCATAGAGAGCAGTTCCCTAACTTCACCCGTCAAGCGCAGCGACCTTTCGGATCTCAACGGAACTATCATGCAGTTCCCGTTAACGAATCATCGTGAGCAATACATGGTCATTTATAGTTCCAAACGCGACAAGAACAGGACAAAGAAACTAGCCTGTGTTGTTATTATTAATGTGAAGAACGGTTAGAGCCATTGGTATAGGAGCATTCTAACTGTTGAGCATTGCCAGTGATATGTATCAAAACATGAGGAATTAGCTCATCAACCAGTGGTGCTACCACAGAACGTGGTTGAGCAAGTTCGTAGGAAACATATCAAAGTCGCGACTGTCTTCAAGGGAAACAATCTCAGATGTAGAAAAGGAAGCACAAGTATCATCTGATGTGTCAGTCATCACGAAGCTAACATTCAAAGTATGAAGAGTAGAGCCTTTTGAAGGGGGTGTTATTATGTGAAAACTCATTTTCTATAAAATAAAATGAGCCTACAGAGCATAACTTCCGGATAAAAGCCTGTGAATTGTTCAAATTTCTTGTGTTGTATTACTATAGCCTTACTATCTTGACATGACTTGAGGTTATAAACAACATCTTTCCAAAAGATCTTATTTCCATGACCAGTATCGAGTGTGACAACACATAGAGTCAGCTGATCAATACCTCAGAGATAAGATTTGGTGAATAATTGGTTAAACAGTAAGTAGCCAACAAATGTCTACCAATCACACAAGGCAAGAAACACATGCCTAAGCTCTTGTGTATACCCCTGTCCTCAAGGTCAAGGGCTGAAGATTCCAGTCAATCTCTCGTTTTATCACATGAGTTGATAAATTTGCTACGCTACTAAAGTACCATGGGTAATTCAACCGGACACTCAAGCAAAGGGATCAGTTATCATGCTCGTGTCTTTCTTAGATACTCAAAAGGTCAATAATCCAGGAATGAAGTCTCAAAACCCAAAACATAGTCCTAAGAATTTCCTTCCCTCTCAATAACACTTGCCATCACGATAAACATCTTACCCAATTACTCACGAGTATTGTAAAGTGTTGGCACAACTCAACCTGATCAACTCACTTTGAACCTCATGCAAACAAATCCTTTCAAAAAAATTGAACACAAAGATAACAAATTTCATGTGTTGTTTACAGACTGCAATGTTTCAAGTACGTTTTGTTCCCATTCTTCATCCCAGTTTGACCAAGCTCTCTTATTGACTCCATAAGTGTTGGAATTAATCCCATCTCTGAGTTTGTTCAATTGACAATCTTCTAACTGATTATCTGGAAACCCAGACAACAAACTCTATAAAGAATAGGATCAGTGCAAGTCCAAATCATATTTCGCAAGGGAAGTACTTACCTCGAGCTGAGAAGCTAGTTCTGCTTCTGTATCGAATACCAAACCGTTCTTGTTGTGCTTCACCAATTCCGATATACTGTAAATATTCATCAACGAACAAACTAAAATGAGATCAAGGAGTGGAAGAGATGATAACAATTCAAATAATCATACCACGCAAAATTCCGAGCACAGACCGGTAATCCACAACCAAACATATCTACTACTTTCATAGGCAGATCTAATCCTGAACTACTCTGATGTAAACTAATACCTAGATCACAAGATCCTAACAACCTTTTATAATCATCTACATCATCTAACCAAACCAATTCACACTTCACCGCCTGTGATCCCCATTTCTCATCTTTATCTCGTTTTGCAATTTCTTGACGATAAAACTCTTTCAATGGGCCTTTGCCGGTGATCAGACAAAGTAGGCTTGGTAGGTTTGGGTTGTCTTTCTTGGATTTCGTGTAGATGGATAAAGCGTTGATGAGGATACTGAAATCTTCATCATGGGTCCAGGATGTGGATGACACGATTAGCGCTGGTCGATTGGGCTTGAGATGAGCTGAGGTATCTGTTGGTTTCATAGACACGAGTGTTTCATGTGATGAGATGTGATGGGAGGGATAGAATGTGGAGAGTACGGCCGGGTCTTTACTCAGCGGAAGGCGCTCCCATAACTATTTCGCCATCATCGGAGAATGCAGTGGTGCAATTGAGAGATCAGCTCTTGGGAAATCATCAAGAGGATCAAATCGGATTGGAAAACCTTTGCAAACGTAGCGCAGAGCTTTGAGTCGAACAAATTCACTCAACTTGATGGATTTCATCAACGGTTAGTCGGCAAAAATCAAGTGGAGGTCGATCGTAAAAGACATGAGTCTTTCCTCTTTTACAAAATCAACAAAAATTTCAGAATGTCAGATCACATCATTAAAAAACCAAACAAATTCAAAAAGAGACAAACTTACTGAAGCTGCCAAGTTTTGGAAAGATATACACGTTCAGCTTCAGTGACAAAGAGATGCAAATGTGCTATTCTACCAAACGTTTTTTCAATCCTAAATTAAAAAGTACATCAGAAAAATACACTTTATTTAGCCAAATCAATTTGAAGAAGCTACAGACAAACAATTCGGCAACTCGGACCATAGGATGACGATCGGATCCGACTTTAAGTGCGAGGATGGAGTAAGCAGTATTATGCCAATCTATGATCAACTTGAACCCAAGTACAAGTCGCGCAAGTTGAACCATTGGTAATGTAGGAATAGCTGGTGGATTCTATGAATACAAACCCATTGCTTAGTTTGATGTTTACTGGAAAAAGATGGATCAAATCGATCAGACTCAACTTGTACCATCACATAACTAGAGTCTTGAGCATGAAGCAAAAGTGAATATAATAAGTTTAAGCTCAAGTAAATTGCTTTCAAAGGACCACCAATCAACACGAAAAGTCGTCTTGGAAGATCATCCGAAATGAATCGTGGTGGTTCAGATAAAGGCAAGATTCGAATCTTGAGATGTTCTGTCAGTTTTTTCGGAAGAGTAGTACCTGTGTGAATCAACCAAATTCATAAGTCAATAAATTATCTCTTCAAATCATTCAAGTATTTAAAAGTTATTTTCATTATTATCTCACCGGGATATGCCAAGATGTTGACCGACCAATCGTGATCGGCAAATGAAACAGCATGTCTCATCATTCTTGGACTTCTACCCAAATCACCCAAAACAACAATCGTGACGGTCTTGGCATTTGGATTCTTCGATCGTCTGAGAAAGAAGTACGTGATGGTCACTAATCCGATGCCTAGGAAGGCAATGTAGTTGAAGAGTTCGTTCATAAATCAATGATTCGCATAAAACTTGGCAGAATTGTTGATGGCTTGATTACCGAAGAGCTCTCAACCCCGCGGATATCTTCAGATCTGCACGGTACAAGCCCGGTGTACAAGCTGTCGAGTCTTCGGTTGAGTCCCAATGGCATCAGCACATCACCATCATCCTCATCGATGACCACTGCCTGTTTGTCCACTTTAGAGTCCAGCACTGGCAGTGATTGATATTTCTCATACAATATCATCAATTCATCCACGATGTTCAGACCTGTAACTTCTTCATTCCGATCTCTAACCTTGTCCCGTCTCTCATCCATTCCAAACTTACCTTTCAACCCAACCAAAAGATCAACACAAACAACCTCAAAAGTTCAAAAAACCAAGCAACCCTTCAAAGTTTATAAAACCCGATTAGATATTGATGAACTACTTGATCGACCAGAAAACTCAAGTTTAATTAGATCTGAATGGAAAGTGATACCAATTGAAGTTAATGGAAACCAAAGTTATGCTTTGAAAAAAACATTTGATAACCAATTCAAAACTTGGGGAAAAGCTATTGAATGGATAAATGATAAACTACGACCTATGGCTGATGAGTGTGATGTGAGTTTTTTTTTCAGAAACTTGTTCGGTTGACCGCTTGGAATTTATTAGGGCTGATTAGGAAGTATCTTTTGTTGATAGCATCATCCTGATATCAACTTGAATAATTATAATCAATTACATCTTACCCTGTTTACCCACTCGGTAGGTGGACTGACTCCTCGCGATATTCGCTTGGCTTTGAAAATCGACCAATTAAACCCCAGTGATCCAACATCATAATTATTATAAGACTTAACTCTTGCACCCAAGTCAGTCTCTGGGTCTTCTTTTCTTTGCACAAGATTGGATTGGTGACACAGAATTTTGGCTTTGCTGAATACTTCACATCATATAAATTAAGCACAAGCTCTGCTTGGCTTTTAAACAGATTCATGACCAGCGTCAGGACAAGCCTTCCTCTGGAGTAGGAGAACATGACAAAGAAATTTTAGATTGTTTGATTGTATCCAAGAGCTGTTGTTACAACTGAGTACGACTCTGTTATGTTATAATCATCGTCAAATAGAAATGCATTTCCATATCCTAGAAATAGCAACAAAAAGGTAAGATGATGACCATTTAGTGCACATACATATCCAACCACAGAGTGATCTCTTCTTTACCAGATGATGATCAAAAGTGATAGAGGACCTACCTTTAAATGTGGAAGGGATCCATGAATCCTTGTATCCAACACCACAAATAGTAATACCCAAACACCGGTCAACGGATAAACAAGTTTCAACAACTGATTGATAGTCTTGCACTTCTTGTTCCATATCACTCTTTGTTGCTGGCATCCTCATTCGGATATCTAATTCAGTAATGGGAACGTCTAGGCCTTGATTTGATGATGATTATGTGAGTGTGAGGAGACACTTCAGTAAGGATCCGGGTTGTGGAAAAAAGGTATCTTATCACTCACCTAGATCACTGAACCTTTGAAGATTCTGCTTGAAATCTATCAAAAGAAAAATCACGATTGGTCTCAGAGCTAGTTCAGATTAGAAGCTGAAATGGAAATGCCTGGTGATGAAGTCGATGAGGCCATCATTGTGGTCATCATGTAAAAGTGTATATTGACTTGACTGAAGGGTTTAAGAAAGAAGAAACGTATCACAAATCCAATCACTAACCATTGGGAACTTTTCCAACTGTAGAATGAGATTGAAATCCAACACCATCAAGTAACCCCTTTACTTTCAACTTCTTTGCCAAGCTGAGCGGAACATCTTCACAGCAAGAAGACTCAATCAAGTTAGATCCAGTGAATATTCTTTATGTCAATTCATACCAAAAAGACTTATTCAAACTCCATATGATGAACCATGTCTGATGATTCAAAATCCAAAAATCCAAGTAAAAAAAAGTTCAATTCCAAGAAACTAATTTGATTTTAAACCCAACCAAGTTCACAAAAAAAGACACACAGAAACATATATACCTACAATTAAGTAAACCAAAAACCATCCTTTTTCTGTTTTTGGAACATATCAAATTAAGTTATATAAAGCAATGAAAATATATCATCAAAAGAAAAAGAAAGAAAGAAAAGCTTGCTAATTGATGATGATGATGATGATGATAAAAGAAAGTAATATGAATCATCCTTAAAGAATTGTAAGAAATCAAGATGTTTAATAATGACAACAAGGATCTTGATGATTTTTTTCAATTTTTTTTTCATATATATATGATATTCCCTAAATACATTTCATTCTTCCAAAGAAAACATTAATCAATAAACAAAAAATCTTTTTCAATCCAACTTCCGGTCTCCCAAAAAGCCCAACTTGAATATCAATTTCAACTTGAATTTCAATTTTCAACTGCGATCCAATCCACCCAAACTTTTCTGAAACTCAATCAATCTAGCCCGATTAACTTCCGTCAAATAAAACTTCCCACCATTATCAGTCCAAGAAACCGAAGTAGATCCATAGGAAAACTCTTTAGGTTGATTTAAGATCGACAAAGGTGAATTCATATTCCGTTCACTAATCTTAAAATCTTTAGACACAAACGGTTTTAATGAAATAATCTGAGTGAAATCTTTTAATTCTAAAAATAATAATGTTAAACTATCATTCAATGTAGGTGTAAAGACTTGATTGTTCACTAACACCACATCTGCCCTAAATATATTTGATTACAAAAGAATTTTTCATGGTATAGATCAGTTTTCGAAGAAAAGAAAGGAATGTGTGATCAGTAGGAATCCAGACGTACTGTTTTAACCATTCTCCAACCCTTGGATCTTTAGTAAAATCAGCTTCAATCAATAAAGGTTGACCCAAAGAAACTCCCCAAAAGGATTGACAACGACCGATGACTTCTTTCATCTGTTCATCTGCCAATCGACAACAACTCGACATATTCTCAAACCCAACCCCAACACACCCAGCCTCCAAGACGACTTGCATCACGATATTTCCAACACCTGATCCCAGATCGATAAACACTTGACCAGGTTTGAGTCCTACTAGATGAACTAGATCAGAAACGAGTCTAGGTTTAAGTTCTCCATATACATTACTACTCCAAGTTTCGTATTCTTTGACAGTTTCGATCTTTGGTCCGATTCTTCTTTCATACGATTGTCCTAAGATCATTTCCCAGATATTCATCTTTAATCCTTTCATTTCTTTAATTTGGTTTTGAATTGATTTTTGAGCAATCAAATGTCGAATCACTTTATTATACCAATTCACTAATTTTAAAAAATCTGGTCCGTTCTGTCGACGAATCGATTTCGAAAGAGATTTAATCAATGGTAACTGACTTAAATCGGGTTCATCAGATCTTAGTTCTAAATCATGTTTTGGTATAATAGGTTCTTGAGCACCTGTTTGAACTGATGAACTTCTACTCGGTTTAGTTGAAGATGATCGATTTAAGAATCGGAAATCGTGCTTCGGATACGTTACATTGGATGAAGGAGCAAAGATCGGATGATGTTCAGAAAAGTATCCAATAGATTGTTCAGGTGTAAGATACTGAGCCAAAGTAATCGTGATCACCTATTCACAGAACATCATCAAAGAAACCCATCCATCAATCAACAGAACTCATCTTTCTCAGATCAGAATAGAACAAAACGTCTTAAAGATTCAAATTAAAAAAGCACTAACATTCAAAATATCATCAATCGGTCTATACTCATCTTCTTGATCTTTAGGCACCAACAATGGAAAGACTTCCTGACCACCCGCCGGATAAACCAAAGAAACCTTAGGATCTTCTGATTCTTTAAATGGCCAATCACCTTGTCCAGCTCTAAACCAATGTTTAAACTTGGCTCTGTTCTGTTTGATTAATTGATCGGCAGTCAGGATCGAAATGTTGGGATGATGATGGGATAGTAATGGATGAGTTGAGGAGAATCCAGTTTGAGTCCGTGTCACATCGCGTGGTATAAATCGATGATATCGATCTAATAATTGGTTTTCTTGTTTGGTTCTTTCTTCTGAATCTGAATCTGAATCTGAATCTGAAGTTTGGATATCGAAATGAGTGATTGAAATAGATTCTGATTTATCATCACTTAGTAAAGTACTAGTACTAGCACTTGGTTGACCCGGTGTTTCTAAACATTCTTGAAGTCGATTTGGTTTTAATGATGATTGAGTTCCTGACCATTTTGCTTTTTTTATAGGTCTTACTTTTGGAATAGGTTGATCGATGGTTCTTTTTTTGGTTTGTTTTTTTAATTGAGGTTTTGGTTTGGATGGTGGGTTGGTTTGACTGATTGAAGGTTTTGTTGAGATTGTAGTTGGTTTTTTAATTTGAATTGAAGGTATAGTTTTGACTTTGATATTATTATTGTTGTTGTTAGTGGTTGTTGTTGTTGTTGATTGTTTTAATCTTGGATCTGAGAAGAAGTCCATCTTGAAAGAAGTGAATGTAGTAAAACCAGTCAACAGTCAACCACTTAAACAGTTTGTAATCCTTTCATTTGATATCTTAGCTTATGTATACTTAACTCACTCTCTCACATGGAACTTCACTGTTTCATCCATCAGGTTTCAAGTTCAATCAAATATTCATCAACTCTCTCTTCACCTCACACTACACAGACTACAACAAGACTTCTGAGGGTAGATGTTCATCCTTTAGTGGTAATATGATTCAACACATAACATCCCATCTCAAACTTGACCCTGCATATATAACTTCTACCTATAGAAACATACTCCGCATGAAATTGACCCAAGATTACATATATTACAAAAATCACTCGTGAAGGGTACAATGCTAGTTATCTTAAAAACAAAAAGGTTACAACTTTGACCAATCAAGTCAAATTGTAACACAGGAGCCGACACGTACGCATGAAAGAGAATGAAAGAGACTTTAAAGATTGAAGGATATTACAACGATTTGATGAACACCTTGGATGGTACTACTCCTTGATTTGAGGATTTGGAAGATGTCTTCATCAACTTTTCAACCTCATCAATTCCATCACTTTATGGTTGTTCGAGAGGACGGTCCTCTTTCCCCTTGAGTTCGGTCCACGAGACTTGGTCATGATGACCAGAAATAGATTATCGAGTTCGAGCGAGTTGAACAAAGCATTGTCTGATCCTACAAAGGAATTGTCGAAAGTCACGAGTTTGATTCAATTGTTTAAGAAGTGATTGAGCTTCCGCTGTTGTACAAAGGGAAAAGGTTAGATTATCTTGTTGTTGGTTTTTCGACTTTGTTTAAAAGTGAAGTTGAAGACTCACGCAAAGGCGGTTCGATAGCCAGGATTTGATAATCGAATGAAGATAGATCAAGGTCAAGAGTAAATGGACGTTCGTAGTTATTCATATCAATCAACTTGAATTGAAACCTCAGCTGATCAACTAACACGAGGTAGTAAACAATAATTCAGCAAACCGACTTTCTTTTATTATACGAATCATTACCAAATCAAACAAACTAGACTGACCTGAAATCACACTGATCTTCAAGCCAGTGATCTCTTCCAAAAACTTAGACTCTTCCTTAGCCATCTCAATCACCTCAGCTACCTGTTTCTTCTTAATCTCCTTTTGATCTTCAAGCATTTGTTTTCTCCTTTGAAGTTCATGTGCCATTTCTTTCAATTCGGTCGATTTCAATTCCATCGTTCTACGATCTTCTACTAATCCTCTCACTCTCTTCTTCGCTTCTGATTGTTCTTGTTTCAATCGCTCTGCCTTTTCATTTCCTTCGCTCACTAACTTTTGTAAAACCTGTAGCTTACATTTAGCTTGAGTTCGACCGTGTTCATAAGTTGACATCTCTACATGTAGTGTATGTGCTGATTCTAGTTTCAGTTGACTGTACTGATCAATCACTCTATCAAGCATCTCATGATGTTGATTCAAAAGTGTTAACAGTTCAGGATCTCGTCCTACAACTTGATGTGGTAAGTAAGTCACACTCGTATCAGTCGGGGGTCCTTCACTACGAGCCGGTGTAGTGGGTGCTGGGATTCTAGAAGGCGTTCGTGTGATCGGTGGTGTTCCATAGATCATTTGTGATTTCTTGGATGGACTTGGCCAGTATGGATTTCGTAGTGCACTTGAAGGTTGTGGTTGATATCCACTTGAAGAAGCTCGGTTTGGGTTTGAGAATCGATCGTATCGAAGTGGAGTAGCTGGTGCATTGTATTGAGAAGTGGAGGTTGACATTGTGCGTGTTGGGGTAAAGTCTTGAAATCGTTTGATGGACCAGAAAGTCGAAATGATTTGCTTCCTATATTTGAGACGCGGTACTTGATGAGAGGAATTCAACCCCGCCCGGACTACATAGCAGTGCACGGGTCGGGACACACCAAAAACAAATCAACACGTTGCTGAGCTCTGCTGACCAGTTGCTCTTTGGAGATCTCTGTGCTGTTGATTTAACAGCAAGTCATGCATATAGGTCATGCATATCAAACTACGAGATGGAAACAATGTCATTGAAGATAGCGCTTATGCCATTCAAATAGATTTACTGACGCACATCCTGGCAAATCTTCCTCGCTTGGAATTTTTAGTGACAGCCAAGCCGCACTCGACCTGTTGGCAAAACCTACGCAACTAAAAACGCTGCAATACCTAACAAGGTTTCTACTGAAATCGTATAAAGTGATCCCCAAAGACTTTGAGCTACGACTAGATTGGACCCCGGGACATGAGGGCATCAAACTCAATGAACAAGCCGACCAAGCTGCGAGAGCGGCAGCGGAAGGAAACATACCACCAATGTTACTCCCAATAAGGCTTGGTTGTTTATTACGAGATTTGCGGAAATTATTTAATACCAGGGGAGATGTTTCTATTAAAACATACAAAATAAAAGGCAAATAGATAACTGATACAATGGCCAAACTGGAAAAAGGACACAATACAGCAATTTTCCAACTGAGATGTGGACTTTGTCCTTTGAAGAAGTTCTTACATTGAATTGGGGTACGGGACACCGGCTTTGCAACAGAGACGCCAGTACATTTTTTAATATGTTGCAAGACATATATAAAACAGCGTCAAGATTTCAGAAAACAAATCAAAAAAGGGGAAACAAAAGTCGATATTAATTCAGCAACTAGATTATTAGAGACACAAAAGGTGTATCCTTACTTAGCACAATTTATTCAAGACACTGGGAGGTTTCTCTACCTCAAAGCGTACTTAGATAGACCAATCAGTTATATTTTATACGCCAAATTTGACTTTCTGTTTTTATGCCATTTCCTGTTTTCTTGTTTATAATTCTAGGAGTGTTTTTCTTCAAAGAGAACTGATTGTAAAGGCTCAGTAGTCAAGAACCCTCGGAAAAGTAAAGGCAATTGTAAACAATAAATATCGTACAGTAGACCCACATATTTAGTTAGTGCAATATATGAAATCAATAGCACTTTTCAAAAAAAATCTTACAATTGAACTTTACATTTGTTCTTGTGTTTATTGAGGGCGCTGCTACTTAAAGAAATTCTGACCAGAAATCACATTCTGTGAATTTTTTAATGCAAAAATGAAACATGCTCCACCAAATAGACACTTTAAATTTTACAGAATGTGATTTCCCCCCAGAAATTGCTCAAGTGAACGCGCCCTTAGTGCACAAGATTTTAAAATCAAGGCTTCTTATTGACTGGTCTTTGATCAAGATTCCAAGCCAAATCATTCACAAGTTTCATCTCACAAGACTTGATGATTCACACCATTGGCATACCACAGTACCAATCTCTTTCCTCAGAAATGAACTCAAGACTCACCACAAATTCTGCTTCTCATCGACCCCCTACTACCAAGAGTCCACTTTTCATCTCAACTTCGATGGCGGACGTAGTCGCCGAATGTCGGAAAATCAAAGGACAATCAGAATTACGGATTTGGGAGGATGTTCACCTGAGGTGTATTATAATTGGTCACCTTCAAAGCGATGGTTGCGTTCATGGAACTCCGTCATGAAGGCTGTCACTCTTAAGGATGTACTTGAATTAAGAACAAAAGTAGATCTTCAGACTGTTTAGTCATTCACCGTAGGGTAACAACAAAGCAGGAAGAGAAACTCTACAAATATAAGCGCATCCAAACTGCATGTAATCATTCTTGGAACACAAGTTTCTAAACAGATATAAACTCGAAAGAATCTCGATGACCATGATATGCAGGTAGCTAATATGTAAATTCGAAAGAAACAAGAATGAACGATAGAAAGCTTTGTAAATGTAATATAAGCAAGAACGAATGGTAAAGAGCTTCAATATTAAAAATATGATATACAAACAAATCTTATAACCAATCCAAATACTTCATAATAATAAAATCTTAATACATGCTTTGGACAAGAGCCATCCTACTAACAGGAAGCGTAAAATCTGATGAAACTTACAAACAACAAGCATAACATCTCACATGAATCCGGAACATGTTAGAGATAAAGATATATTCAATCGTGATGACCAAGAGCTGAGTAATAAACAGAACAAATCGACTTGCTCAATGGGCTAGTTAATCCAGATGATCTCGAGAGATACTTCTCAGCGGGTTGGTCTTTCGAGTGAGAAGTTGTCGAAGATTGTGATTTCTTTCGGAACCTTCTAACCTTGGGGGTTTCGGACCTTCCTGTGATCTTCGACAGGTTACTTGTAAGTCTATCCCTTCCAGAGTTCTGCGACGCCTCTCGATTTCCTTCCGTCTGCGCTCGTGAATCCGGTGAGAGTGTAATCTTGTGATCTGCCTGATGATCATCGATTTGCTCTTGCATGGAATGTGGTTGGGGTGATTCTTCCGGTATCGTTTCAATGGACGTGTCACCTTCATCGGATGCAAGAAATAGTTTGGCAGTGTTCCATTCCTTGGTAATGTCCTCGCTCAGCTGAAAACTAGCTATCCGACGAGATCTTGAAGCCGAAGGGACCGGAGAGGTCGTATTCTTGCTCGTGTTCTCAATAATACTGAGGTCTTTGCTCACTCGATAGTTATCAGGTTGAGATAATGAGATCGAACACTTGGATCTTCTCGCAAGAGGAGAGCTAGCAGATTGGTAGCGATCCTCAGTCTGTTCTTCGGGATGAGAACAACGCTGGGAGAAGTCGGCGATGGTACTGGACCGAGGTCGACCGTGGGTGATGGCAGATGAGCCATCGCGAAAAGCGGTACTAAAGCAGGTCTTTGCTGAACTGGGAGCTGTGTTGAATTGTGGGTTTTGGAAAATGATTGGAGTGAGGCCTGGAGTAGGGGGTGCAAACGGATCATACGACGTCCTAATCCGTGGAGTCTGGCAGTCCTCCTCCTGCTCCCTGCAATTTGATGAAGAACAAAAGAGTCAGAGTAGCACATAAGATCTCAACGACGCAATGCAGCGCTCAGAAAAAAGGTACAAACACATGTTCTGCTTGTCTGCTTGGGGTTTGACTCTTGATAGTAAGTATATTTTTCTTCCTACGACTAAAATTAGAGCTTTTGCGAGTACGGACGGTAGGAGAGGCTGGCGAATAGGCTGCTAAAGACGGTAAAGCTCCAGATGTAACAGCTTCTTCATGTGTTGACGTTCGAGCGATCATCATCGGGTTTCTTATGCTAGCCATCAGCGAAGACGCGACGGACGGCCGTGGATGTCGCGATATTGAGGTTGAGAATAAGTTTGAGTCTTGAGTCATGTTGGGCAAGGCTGATGATCTCTGATGACAAGATTCGACATCTAAATCGTTTGTTGTCAAAGTAGATGATTTGGTCCGCTCACACATAAGATCGCCTGGAAGGGTATCGTTCGGAAATGAAGGAGGATGGGTATTGATGGTCGACTTTTGGCAAGGAAGAGATTCGTTCTCTACATCCTCCAGATTTTCTCGACCAAAGCAAAAGGCGAAACAAGAGAACATTGAAAACGAAGATGTTTGGGATGAAAAAGATGCAAAGATATTCTAAAGGCCGGGCTCTAAAAATAACATTAGCCAAGGATTGCGATTTCGACGCAAGGCGCAGCAAGCTAGCGAGTAAGACAATTGATGAGAAAGAGGGAGAAAGAAAGCAGCTCAAGTTAGATGTTGCAAGACTTGTGCGGTTCTGCGTACGATATAGCTTCAGATTTGGATAGGAAAATGAATGTTCTTCTTGTGCTGCTCCAGCAGGAACACACCGATAGACTGGACAATCAAATATGAAAGAAACAGTCACAGAAGTGGTGGGGTGAGGTCTTGAATATCAAATGATCATATCAAGTATTGTTCGTGGCTGAGATCTTGCGGATGGATAGGTTCAAGTAGATTGAGGTGAGCAACCTTATCAGGGTTATCAGCCTTGATCAGCAAAGTGTCGCTCACAACAGATTAATGAAGGTGGGAGAAACAACAGTGCTGTTCTCTGGCTTTTGGAGTAAGAGCAGATCTAGATTCCAAATCTGGCGTCAACATACAAAGATGAACTAGAAACGAAGATGTGAGCTTACGATATGAGCCCCAATTGGGTTTTATGTCGAACTCAAGCCTCCTTGAGATCCAGAAATTTGCTGCTCATTAGGAAGAAACTGTGGGAAATGGGTGCTACTTGGGCTAGGGATGCCAGCTGTTCCATATCTAAGTGCTATGTATGTCATTGTAGGTAGACATCTTGGCGTTGGGCGCTCATCCTCTCTTCTTGTCGCAGAGGCGTGAGGAGGAGCAAGACTCAAGGGGGTGGTCAAAAAGATGACAAACAATATAGGTGAGGAGATACAAAGGTGTGGTGTTTTGAGGGATGATGGACAAAAATGATGAATTAAGAGAGGGGTTGAAAGTGATTGGGGGCAGCAAGGGTATTCACCCACCTGCTGATCACGATCACACACTATATCAAGTTGCAATTCCCATATTTTTGACACTCATTGTAGGATTACTCAATAGACTTGTTCAAATATAAAAAAGAAATTTGGAGTTGGAGATATTAAGTCGAGAATTTGGAACTACAGTCGTCTCTCCAATAACCCATACCGTTTTATGGACACCAAAAAGTATGGGTTTTGATGGAGTATGTCCTATGGGGATCTCTCTGATAACCCATAAATCTTATTCTGGGGGTAAAATATGGGTTAATAGAGAGAAATTTTTTTAAAAAACAATTTTTATTTCAAAGCAAAGTACATAGTGAAGTAGAACAAAAAGCGGGAAGATTCAAGGATTGGATGAGAAGTAGTGCTTCAAATTTGATTGGTTCATTAGCGGTGTACAAACCTACAACCCAACATGAAAACCCATGAAAAAAACCCATGAAAACCCAACTTCTTGATGGGTTTTTCTGACGGGTTTTTTTTATGGGTTGCCCTGGAAAGGTTTGAACGCCCCAACTCCTAAAACATGTCTTGAGTCACAGGCCACACGCTGCTCTTGTCATCACTTGAGGCCTTAACTTTACTCCACATCTCTCTTTTTGCATCCAGCTCAACCATCGCGCTTTTTGTATTGATAAAGGTTTTTCTTGATTTGAATCTCACACTACTTCAAGGAAATTTTAGTTTTGAAAGTTTCATCTCTTTTTGTTTGAAATAAAACGATATCTTGTGCTTTTTTTGAAATAAAACGATCTTGTTTGCATTTGACTGAAAACAATATCTTTGCTTTAGAAGTATCATCTCAAAGTCTTAGAAGCCAACTTAGACAGTTTCTTTTTGAGATGAAACAATATGTGTTTTTATTGAAAACGATGTGTTCATTTCAAAAGTCTCATGTCAAAGGTCTGAAAGGCAACTCAGATCAGTTTTTGTTTGAAGTATAACAATACATTGTGCGATCGTTTGAAATAAAATGATCGCTTTTGAATTCTTCAAATTGCAAACACTGCGTCCACCACCTCCCTTCTTGACGTCGAGAAGGGTAGAATGGTTGTAGTTTGGTGAGAGAAAGGTCTTTTCAAAAAAATCATTTCTTCCGCTCATTCAAAACCTTAGCAATCCTAAGCACCCCTAAGCAGCCTAAGCTATTTGAAATCCTGTAAGCTCACACCTGCGCATCAACGTCCCGCCGGATTTTATTCATCTGAACGTTTCATCCCTTGGCCAATCGATATTCCTCCGAAGGATGTATTCCAAACGAGATGAGTTTACTTACGACGTACCTGGCCTTTACTCAGTTCCAACAATCAAATCCAAGACTCTTCACTCTATGAGACTACCTCTATCAGTTCAGCAAGAGCATGAGCCATCCAACGACTCCAAGAGGCATTTTGCGAAATCAATCGATCACAAATTGATGAAATAGATCACAAATCACTTTTAGACTAATGAACTATCTTTTTACTTCAATTTTATTTCTTTCTTATTAATTACAGACTGAATCCAACAATTTTACCAAATCTACCATCAATCAACATCCATCCCAATAATCTCAGTACAAGTACAACTTCAATTGTTAATCAGAATCACAATCCGAATTCAAGTACTTCACCCACTTTAACTTTTATCAATAGTAACAATTATAACATCATCTCATTAGCATCTCCTGAAGCTGAAAGAACACCTACTACACCTACTAATTATCATTCAACTATTGATTCACCTTATTCTAGTCCAACTCCTATAGTCATTCAATCTTATAACATTTATCATCACTTTATTCTTCTCAATCTACTCCTGCTTTACTCAAATCCACTCCAATCAATCATTTCAGTTCAGTATCTTTTTTTCAAATCTTCCCTTTCTCCTGTTTTTGAAGCTGATTCATATCTCAGCCTTCACTTCACAACAGCATTCGCACCAGTCACCATTTCACCTGATCAGATGGGGTTCCATTCATCTCCTAAAAACAATTCTCAATCTCCATCAAATCATAAACAATTGAATCATAATCGGTCTAATTTCTTCATCCCATATTGATCTTACGTGGCACAGTACCCGATATGAAATTGCGAAATAAACTTGATCAGTTAGAAGATGTAGTCGATCTTCTCGCCATCAATCACCAGCTACCTCGGCTCCAACTGCTTTCGCTCCCAATTATCTTGGGAACTCTTTCAATGAAGGATCTCAATCGCCTCGGCGTCATCTGATTCAACCCTCACGTATGAGCACTAGATTTTTTTTCACATATCATAATGTAATGAAGCCAAATTGATTTGCATGTGTTACTTACTTCTTGATTTGAATGGACTATCCTCTTTAAATGGAAAAAGATCGGTACAAGTTTGGAAGATGATAAAGCTGATTGCTTGCTTATTTGGGGTCAGAAGGTTTTAATTGATGCACAATAAGAAGTATTTTTGCTTGGTCCTTTTGCCTCTTTTACTTGGAATATGTAAGCTGACTGGCTATTGGTCATATCTTCTTTAAATTAATCAAAATATTCTCATTGAAGACATATCCTCACCTTCATTCAAACTCAATCAGAACACAATCATCTTACAATAAATCAATCAAAAGTCATATTGGGATTCATCTTCATTTTGTGGGGGGTCGATTAGCTGAAGAACCCAAAAGTGTGCCCGAGACAAGTTAACTTGAAGTTTGAGTTTGATTTCAATCCCACTTTACATATACAAATCTCATCCATCCTCATTAAATCACACAGCAACACCATTCACTTTGGTTTCTATTTTGATTGCTTTATAAATTGGAGCATTAATCATTTCAATTATTAGAGAACTTCATGATTTACTTATCGATGACATCTTGAACAATCTATACTCGAGTAATTTATTTTGTGTTAAGAGTTTGATCAGAAATCATCATGTAGTTTGGTGATTTTTAGCATGTTTGTTTGGAGAAATTTGATGTGATCTTTATGGATTATGATTATGATGAGGATGAGGATGATGTGAGTCTGGGAGAATTAACCACATGTTTTTAACCTATAACGACTCAAGTGAATTGTCTACATACTTTAAAGATCTAAAGAGATACCGGTCCAACGAGAAACTGAGAGGCAAGTAAATGGTAGTAGATCAGGACAAGAAAATGGATCATCGGAAGTGATATCAACTGTTGAAAGGCCTGGTAAGGATTTGAATGTTGAATTTTGGCCAACTCGATAGCTCTCTGTTGTTGCTGTTCATATAACACATTTTGACACCAAACCAAAGGTTGCTGAGAATGAGAATTAGGCTGATGATAGACCGGAGCTGAGCTTTGAAGAGTTGAAGGAGTGAGAGTAGTGGGAAGAGGCTGAGCAGGAATAAATTCCGAACCAGGTGGTACTGCAAATGAAAATGTTCCTTCATCTTCTTCATAATATCGAGGATTCTGATCTTGTACCTGAGCAGTGATTGGTGTACATACAAGTACACGAAGCTGATGTTCTAGGTCTTGAAGCGGTCATAGTGCGGCAATCAGATGTACCACCGCCCTCATCTTGCTCAGCTTGATTCATGAGACAACATGAAGAATGGTGAAAATTGATTGATTAGATTGAGTAGTGATTTGAAGAGTAAAAGGCAATTTGATTGTTGAATGTTGATTCCAATTGTTATTGTTGATGTTGATTTGATGGAATGGAATGGATTGATGGTGATCAATAAATGTAGGTTCCGAAGTTGAAGAGACAAATGAGATCAAATCAGATGATACATACAGAAAGCTCCAATTGTCGACGTTTGCGAGAGGTACCTAGAATCAGATCCATTACCGCCAAAAATTTAACTGGGTCAGCTGTGTCTGTTCTGATTGTATTCGATTTATGAGCTTCCTTTGAACATGAGAATTACAAATATCTTCAAAGGCCCATATGATTATGTAGTTGCATTTTACTTTAAATACATAAACAAAGAGATTTTATAACTTTGAAATATGTACAACAGATAAAGATGTAAAGAAAGAAGAAAGGCCAATGAGCTTGGATAAAGGTGTACAAACGAGAAAGGAAGTACAATTCATAAAGGTCTAATCCATCATTATATTTGACTCTTGCTTCACAACTTGTTTCAAAAACCTGATAGCCAAAAGTTAAAACAAAAAATAAAAAAGGTAAGTTCACGTTTTCATGAATCATACATATAGTTGTCTTTACTTGATTTAATTCTTTGACTTGATTCTGAATAATTAAAGGTTTTGGTTTTGATAGGTAGTTTCTTTGTCCGGTTTGATTTAATGAATGATTTTTTAGGTGATGGTGATGAATCAAGTTGATGAACTTGAAGTTGAGTTCGTGTTTTGGGTCAGTAGGGTTGGATTATAGTCACCGTGTCTGTGTGGCAGTCTCTCAACGACAAGCGCACACGGACTCCCTTTGAGGCACAAAGGCGACTCGTGTGCGCTTGCCGACGAGCAAACATTAGACGAACACGGTGAGTAGAACGAAATAAAGGAAACATATAAAT